CCATGAAGAACTATATCATCTGCATTTTGAAATCAATTGTGAAATCTTGGTAAACACCAGTTAATATTTTATTCCTCTTTGCCAAACAGCCATCTAAACTATATATTACAACTGTTCTTTTAGAAAATAAACGTGGCTGCTGTCAACAAAAGACAGTTACTTCTACAATGCTTAAAAAACACACTAAATGCTATCTATTTGATTCGTCGTAGAAGAAAGGTTAGGATTCCTACAAAACGGATATTTTGTATGAGAAAGCTCTTTCGCGGAAAGCCCATAAAATGTTTTGAACTTACAAGCAAAATAATGTATTCAAAAGTAGAACGAATTCAACTTTGTCGCGATGCTCTTGAGCTATTCGCGAGCGCACGAGTGCTATTGACCTTTTGAGCTTGACATGTTGCACAAGCGTAATTTAATGAACGTGTAGGCATTTTGCGCTACAGCGTAAAATGCAGCTGCATAGAAATTATCCTTAACTCTTTGGCGACGGTCCCTGGTAACTTTTGGTCTTTGAAGACCTACGAAGTTCATTATGTCATAACTTTGGATATACACAACTTAAAATAATAAACTTACCAACAAATTATAGCTTAAAAACGATCTTTTAGATAGTGTGGAAGTCGTTCGTTTTGATAGCATTTTACACGAGATATTAAGGTTTGAATTAACGTAAAACCAAAAAAACGCATTTATTTAATTGTTTACTATTTTAATTTCGATATATTTTGCCTAAAATTCATTCAGATTTCACCATGTTAAGACTAGAAGAACCGTCGTCTTGAGAGCGTATTTTTGGCCTATCAGCGTGCCCATATCATGCATATTTAACCTTTTATCGGGGCTATTGTTGGCATAGCGATAGAGACATAATGATCGGAAATGTCATGTCATGTCATGTCAGTCCCGTGACATTTTCATGTCGTAGGGGTGTCATAATAGAGACTGCAGTCAGGGATCTCCATTGTCTTCGGTCTTCTGTCATTCTCAGCAATTTGCTTAGTGTGTGTCCAGTCCACTCTTTAACATTGTCGAACCAGGTTTTCCGTTGACGGCCTCTTCTACGTCCTCCTTCTACGGTTCCCTGGAGTATGGTCTTAACCAAGGAAGTGTGGCGATTAACATGGCCAAACCATGCAAGTTTCCGTTGCTTTACAATGGCTGGGAGCTGTTGTTGTTTGCCTACAGCATCATCAATTTGTTGCCTGACATACTGGTTGGTCTTGTGCTCTGAGTAATGGATGCCTAGTAATTTTCTGTAGCACTTGTTCTCAAATGCCTGGATCCGCCTTTCAGTTTCTGCATTTAACGTCCAGCTTTCACATCCATATAAGAGGATGGAAATCACCAGTAATTTGTACAACTTGATCTTAACAGGGAGGCTGATGTTTGTGCTCTTCCAGATGGAGCCAAGTCTAGTCATTGCTGCTGTAGCTGTGCCAAGTCTTGTTTTGATCTCTTTTGTTGAACTGCCATTCTTAGTGATGATGGAACCCAGGTATTTGAAACTGTCTACCTCCTCTAAAGCTTGTCCATTCAATCTGATGTTGGTTGGTCCTTGCTTGCTGCTGCTGTTGACAAGAACCTTACTTTTCTCTGCACTGATTTCCATTCCAAAGGCTTTTGCTTCTTCTTCAAGTTTTGTGGTGAGGTCTTGAAGCTCTTGCTCGCTACCTCCTATAAGGTCGATATCATCAGCGAATCGAAGATTGCTAAGTGGTCTACCATTGATGCTTATTGATGGATGGAATTTAGATAGTGTCTCTGTCATGATGTTTTCTAGGAAGATGTTGAACAGAACCGGAGAGAGCAGGCATCCTTGACGAACCCCAACTGTTGTCCTGAATGATTCTCCAATCTTGTTATTCAGATGAACTGCAGTAGTTGATCCATCATAAAGAGCCTTTATTACATCAATAAGCCTGTTGTTGATGTTGTAATTCCTTAGGACTTTCCACAAGCCATCATACCACACATGATCAAAAGCCTTCTTAAAATCGATGAAGTTGTGAAACAGTTCATGCTGGTGTTGCATGTGCTTCTCTATGAGAATTCTGATGTTGAATATCTGCTCGACTGTGCTTCTATTAGGTCTGAATCCTGCTTGTTCTTCTGCAAGTATTTCTTCAACCTGTTTCTTCAGTCTATTTAGTACAACCCAAAGCATGACTTTACTTGGGTGGCTGATCAAGCTGATTGTTCTGTAGTTCTGGCACTGTTTGAGATTGCCTTTTTTGGGTAGGGGTATGATCAAAGCCTGACTCCACTCTTTTGGCCATTGCTTCTTTTTCCAGATCCTTTGGCAGATGGTGGTTAGAGCCTTTACAAGTTCTGGGCCTGCATGCTTCAGAAGTTCTGCAGGTATATTGTCTGCTCCTGGTGACTTGCCTCCTTTTAATGAATGTAGTGCTGCCTTGACTTCTTTCTGAAAAATTGGTGCATCTCCATTATCCCTGTTTGTATTGGGTGCTTTGGTTAGGAAGCTAGTATCTGGTCTCAAGTTGCAGTTGTGCAATTCCTGACAGTATTTTGTCCATCTTCTAAGGACTGCTGTTCCGTCGGTAAGAAGGGAGCCGTTTTTGTCTTCGATTAACGAGGATCTTGCTTGTTGTTTCCTTGTTAGCATCTTGAGGGTGTCATATGCAATCTTGCTGTTACCATTTCTCATGCCTCTTTTTAGAATGTTACATTGTTCAGCAATCCAATTCTCTTTAACCTTCTTCATTTTGTTTCTAATGTCTTTGTCGACTTTGGCATACTTCTGAGCGGCGGATGTATCTGTGGTCTTCTTCCTCTTGAGCTCTCTTTTGTTGTCATATAGGTCCAGGATGTCATTTGTAACCCAAGGCTTCTTCCTTTTCCTTCTCTTCACAAGTACCTCTGTTGCTGTTTCTTGTAGCACTTCTTTCGCATTTTCTGTGAGGTTGTTGTTGTCATCTTCCAACAGATTGAGCACAGCAAATTTCCCTCCCAATGTTGCCTTGAACGTGGCAGCAATTGTTGGATCCTGTAATTTTTCTAGGTCGAATCTTATAAGGGCGCTGTTAGGCTTGTAGTATTTCTTTAGTCTGAGTCAGCAGCACCATGTCATGATCACTACCAATGTCTACTCCAGGGAAGGTTCTAGTCTTGGCTTTGTTAATGCTGGATTTGAATCTGCAGGAGAAGAGAATGAAATCGATTTGGTTGTGGGTCTTGTTGTCAGGTGAGTGCCATGTTGCCCTTCTGGATGTCTTATGCGGAAACAGTGTGTTGGCTAGGGTCATCTTGTAACTCGTGGCAAATTCTAGCAGTCTTAGTCCACGATCATTGGTCTCTCCCAATCCAAAGCGTCCAACTGTACCAGGCCATTGGTCATATGCATCCTCGCCTACTTTAGCATTCCAGTCTCCCATGACAATCAGCAGGTCTTTTTTAGGAATGGACTTGATGGTCCTGTCCAGTTCTTCATAGAATCCTTCTACTGTCTCGTCGTCATAGTCAGAGGTCGGGGCGTAGACTTGGATGATGGAGAGGTTGTTTGGCCGTGCTGCAATACGAATCGAAATAATTCTGCTGTTGACTGGTGTGTAGCTAATCACTGATTTCACTCTATCCTTGTTGACAATGAAGCCAACTCCATGTCTATGCTTGTTGTTATCCCCAGTATACTACAACTTGTTTCCCTCATCCCTGATGGTTTCTCCAAAGCCTGTCCATCTCACTTCTGCTATTCCTAGGATGACCCACTTGTATCTAGAAAGTTCATGTGTGAGTTTTTTTATCTTTCCACACGCATACAAAGTCCGTACAGTCCAGGTCCCAATGATGGTGTTGTCCCGTGGAAGTCTTAGTGCTGGAGATGGTTGTGCCCCAGTAGCATACTTCTCACTCCCTTAACCCTGCGGCACTGCAGCAGGAAGGGCGGTCGTTGGTGATCCGGGCCTCGACCGATCTGGCATGTCGATATGTCTATTTGTCTTATCATAACAAGTCCATGGGCGTAGACAAGTTTTGGCGGCGCCCATCTCCTCTCTAAAGCTGATTTTTCCTCAGGGTTTACTCCCGAAGATGGATTGCCAGCCAAGGCTGGTGAGCTCCATCTGCCCACATGAGACAGGTAGTACTGGATTACATGGTACCAGTAGCTGGGAAACACTGACCTGACCCTTAATGATCGGAAAGCCGACCGCCAAATTTTGAGTGTCAATATCTCCGGTTCTATACATCCTATGACTCTTAACCACCGGCAATTGACTCAGCATCATTTGTTCTCTCAACATCAAATGTTCCCGTAGTCTTATTAAAAACAAAGTCTGTTGGAGCGATGGTTTCCCTAAGATGTTATTAACGTATCGCCGTGGCAACAGACGTTCCGCTTGAAAAAAACTTTCGAGGAAATATTACTCTAATGCCAAAACCGCAATATATTTGATTGTGAAAAGCTGAAATTCCATCTTCATATAGAAAATTCATTGAATTTTACTATGGTCTTATCTGTTTTTTTTGCCATATCTACAAAACAAAACACTAAAATTCCGACAAACTTGTGTAAGTGTTTCATTGCGTTATAATTTAGGAATTATGTTGATGGCAGAGCAACAGCGATTTAATCGTTCTAAAACATGTCCAAGTAATAAAATATATATTAACAGAAGGCATTGATTGCAGGCTATCTAATGCTGTGATTTGTTTTATAAAAGCTTAAGTATTTAATGAGATACTTTGGATGAAACAACACTTCCGGAAATATATAACTTAGTAAAAATTATTGCATGAATAATCGCCGTCGCCATAAAGTTAAATGACAGACAAATCATTAAATGTGAAGTATCACGAAAATTTTCAACAACAACAAATATAAACCACAAATTTGACGTCAAAATCACATCATACTTTTTATGATGCTTTTAAGGCACTGAATTTTTTCTCTCGACTCATGACATAACACTCGACTCTCAACTTTTGTTCTCGACTCGCAAACTACACCCACGCTTTTAAGATAAACTCTCACATGACCAAAGCCGCAGAAAGTGAAAGGACGCTTCTCTACGATGTTTCTATAGAGGCAAAACATGGCATTATATTCGTTGAACCAAGGCGAACATGCTCTTTATTTAAGACAGAGCGATAACATAAAAAATTACAATTGAACGTCGCACTTCACTTAGCATTTAACGGTATGTGTTTACACTTTAATACAAAATGCAATTTAAATGCGATATGGCTTTTGTAGATGGAAGTCAAAGCGCCATTTTGTATATTTTGATATATTATCACCAAATCAAAGAGGCATTAAAGGAATACACAAACTGATTTTCGTGCAATTTTTTTTAAGACTATAAGCTTTCATATGGTTATCAGATAACTTGTGATTATGGTACGTTTCCAGTTGCAAGATAAGAAAGCCACAGTTGGCATTGAATCACTGCGTTGAATTTTGTATGAGAAAATATGGATATTTAGATTTTAGTTCTCGTGTTACACCTTACAGGTCCTATCAGCTTGTAACATGTCAGTTATCGAATAATATATGAGGCGAATAACATAATATTATATAATATGCCCGCATGTTGTTGGTAGTTTATGAACAAAAATTTCTTAATAGTGGTGTCGTGGACGAGAACATTTGTCGTTTGTTAAAAGATTCAGTTAGGTAAGGTTTTGCAGCATGTTGGTAGTGTTGTATTTGTGCTTTAATTTTCTTTGCTTTAAATGGATAATATTGTCTGAGATTTAAACATCATGTTACCCAAAAATGCAAACCTTGCCAATTTTACCCATTCCTGTTGTGTGCAGGGTTTTGTCGTTTATAAAAATGCTGTAAATCGTGATAATATAGATAAAAACATAAAGGGAAAATCTGCAATGTACAACATCAGACATTAGAAAGACAACTACCATGAAAAATATAGCGTAATCACATTGATTTACTATTAAAGTGCAAACGTTTGATTTTAATTACACGAGAAAATTTTTTCGTAAATTTACTTCTGGATCTTCACAGTTTCAACTCTGAAAAAACTTTGATATTCTTTTTTAACTTGTAAATTTTTTGATAACATTATGCTAACCTCCTTGATAAAAATTACTTAATAGACAAGGTTTATTGATTTTAGCTTGGGCTGGCTTTTTAGATCTACTTTTCCGATCTGGGCCAGCTTTTTTTAACATTTGGAATTTACTCATTGAACTAAGGATCTATAAAATCTTTTATTACAAAGATTTGTTCAGAAGATCACAATGATTTAAAGTAACATGATCCTGCTGTCGGTAACGAAAAATAAAAATAAAGCACAAGCACAGCAGCGCAAATATTACAAAACCTTACCTGATAGTTGAATATGTCAACAAGCAACAATAGTTGTATTTTGTTCATAAGTGCACGCAATCTACATATATTATTTCCTAACAACTTATTCAATTTATGCCTAATATATTTTCATACATATCTTCCGTGATGATTTTGTAACATTTGGCACCCCATAGAATCACTGTGCACATCTATCATGGATATTACTGAAAACATTCTTGGCAAAAAATATAAACAAAACAACAAAACGTGGTTTTAGTATAAAAAATTTAAAGAACGTGCAAGTCAAAGTTTATTGCAGGGGAGGATCTAATACTTTTCAAACATCAGTCATGGAATGCCTCCGGCGTTCTTCACTTAGAGGTCAGGGGTTATGCTCCCGTGGAAATTTTGAATTGAAGAAATGCAATTTCGCGCGTTTTAGAGCAATACAAAATTTTTTGAGGGCATGGTTTTTTGTAAAAACAACACATTATGCTAACGTTTTTTCAAAAATGAATGTTTTGATAAATGTTAAGGCTCATTGGCATACCTAGGAACATAAATTTACTATACAATAAAGCTATTCCAAAAAAGACATAGGCTTTAAAAATTTTTTTACCATTTTGCCAGACCCCCTAAAAACCTCCATTCACACCTCTATGTAATGAGTTAAGTTAGAGATGAGGTACTACAAGGGACAGTTCATAAGCTCAGATTTGAAACCATGCAAGTTAAGTCTAACCCTTTGCCAATCTCCACATACAGTGACAAAAAAGCCGCCTTTTAAGAAAATAATTCACAAGTTTTTTCTGCCATAGTTTTAAAAAGATTCTCAGAGTGATAGTTTGCAATTAAGAGACAGCCTAATGTTATTCATGTTTACTAAGCATTATATTATTATCTACTGCAAGTCTATATGTAAGCTGCTTTATAGCAATAACCAGTTGCATTGTATTTGCCAATATAAACAGAATATAACCAACATGCCTTTAATCATATAATTACATGAGATGACAAGTACACATTACAAAAAGTTGATGACTAGAGATGTTAAAATTGGTTCATGCATCACGCTTAGTTACTGCTTACGATAAGCATATTTTTATATAATCGAAATGAGTTAAAATGGAAAACTGAAATACTTTAGTTTAGAAATTATAATGATTATCAGAAAAATTACCTATTGATCATGACAAATACTTGGCTGTTTTGCCAAATTTCAAGGCTTATCTACATACCTAGGAAAACATTTTTACTTGATAGAAAATGTTCTTCCTGCATACGCAGCCCTTAGGAATTTCCAGAAAACAATTTGTTCTAAGCTCTAGATCAACACACCTTCACATCTTTACATGAGGTGTTCCGTTAGAGATGGACAATATGTGACATGGAAATTTCATGGATGGGAAATTGCTCAGGTTAATACTAAATTATACTATGCCAGTCAATTGTCAAAATAAAATATTTTATGTATCAGAAAAACTAATAATCACTGGTTACATTTATAGTAAACTCCTTCTCATGTTATATATTAATTTTCTCAAATTTTAAACGATGTTTAGCACCATAAACTAAAATCCACAAAATTTATTTATAATAAGGTAAATAACAGCATTGCACCTTATGGCCACCAATGTTTTTTGTCCACTGAAATACATTTGAAGGAAAGCAGGATTTTGCCCAAGTACCAAAGAAATCATAACTAAAAGTCTTTCAGCAACAACAATTTTAAAAGCAAGAATCTGCTTACCTTACGCCACATTGACATAAATTGCATCACATACTCGCATACATTGATTTGGATATTTTACAGTCATGCTTACACTTTAGTTACCCTTTGCTTACGATTTTGGATGTATATGTCTTCTCAGAAATCTCTAAACAAACAATGATGGCTTGTTGCTTTTCAAAAACAAAAACTTCAATGTCTCTCTCGAGATCGTCTTTGCTCGAGCATTTACAATTCATTCATAAATCTCTCACCCTCTTGAAAAAATCGAACTATAGACAGCAGCATTCAATATATGAATTTGTAATAGATTTCCCTAAATTCCAGTTGTGGCTTTGATTGTAATTTTTGCAAATTACTATGAAACGATCAAACATTCAATTCAGTTAGTAAGCTTGGCTATGTTAGTTCATTAGCTATCAGTCGAAATCTGTCAAACCAATCTCAATAAGACAAAAAGTTTAACGAACTAATAACACGATAGCAATTAGTCCCTTATCGGTAGAGAATTTCCAGATCGTCCACTGGTCTGACTCTTGCCCATTGGAATGGCTTATATCAGAGTTCTTGGACTCTGTTGTTGGTCAAACTTGTCGAGCCCCCTAGCCTATCTGTCAGTCAGTTTATATAATTCCAGATATGTTAAAATCTACTGATCTGTTTATTAAGGTGATAATTATATAAGTTTTTATGTCTAACTCAGAATTTTGACATTGAAATTCGAACGATTATAAATCGGGAATTTAATGATCATAAAAAATTGTATTAATTAATTTTAATAAGTAATTTTTCAACTATAAACATCAGTGTCGTGACTGACTTGATACATACCCTAGATCGGCCGCTGATTAATTAATACATTGGAATTATTACGACGCATAGCACTTGGCAAAGGATGTTGAAAAACTTTACTAAGCACGCTCACCACTAAAGTTGAAGTTTAGTAAGCTGTTGACTGTGGGAGGAAGAGTAGCAAGGACAAATTATTTATTCAGTATACCAAGAATCTCTTGCTGTTGCTAATCGGAAAAATTATTCCAACATTTAAGCAATAATCAAAATAAACTTGAAATCTTCAAACTTAAACATTTTGTACTAAAATATCGCATGTTAAAACCATGTAACTGGATTCTTCAAGTCCTAAACTTTAGCTACATATACAAAATACCTATTGAAATTTAGACAGTCTTTTATTGCATACACAAGAATTATTATTAAGCTGTCTGAGAGGAGACAGCTTAGTAGAGAGTCATTTTGCTCTGCGATTGTTTTACTAGTGTTTTTAAAATCATTATGTACCGCAATCAACTAATATCAAAATTGACTGAAGCTTCTAGGGGCGGAAAAAGTAAATTGAAATAGCATGTGCTAGCACCACTGGCATTTGCATTTGCATTTTCAATAACTGCAAATTTCAACATGGAGTAATTTTAGACTTTTAGGTCGTTTTACCTGCCACATTTTATTAATTGTCAGCTAATTGAAAGCGATAATTATTATGTGCGACAATGATCATAAAAAACAATCTCAAATAAAGTGATAATGAATATTTTGTCGTTTACAAGGACCGCTATAGAAGAGAGCGAATTATGGATTCACACGTTCAAGAAACAGGATATGAGCGCGTCTGTTGTATACTAAAAGAAATCGACAAAGAAGAAATGCTTCCTGTCTTTAAGGAAAACGAGTTTAACGTAAGGGATAGTGATAGGCATCGTGAGCATTTGTACAGACAGACCAGCACAAATATAGAAATGCTTTTACTTTCATGTTTATATTATTAACGGAAATGTGCACACTAATAATAAAAAGAGTTAGATATTAGTCCCCCACCCCCCACCATATTGAATTATAGTTATAGGGTCCTTGCTTTTCATTCTTATAGAAATGTTGCAGAAATGAAGCCTCATACTGTTAAGGAATAAGGGCGACGAAAATAAAATGTTGACAACCAAAACTTCAATAGTACAATTAAAAAAAGTATAACTTAAGAAAAGGGCAGCCTTCTGCGGACGAAATGCTATTAGTTGTCTTTAGTTACTATTACGCTAAAGAAAAGGTTGTCTATGGAAAATTACAGTCCTTTTTATACTCATATTCTTTTACTGTCAGTGCGTCAGCTTTTTAATCTGCTCACGTACTACATTAATTTTTTTAATGAATGATAATCACGGTAATGATTTGCGTGCTTGTGTTAAGCTGGATTTCCACTTCCCGGTAAGGACGGAAAACGGTAACCGCCAAACGGTACAGGCATGCGCAGTAGAAAATGTAGCACCGCAAAACGGTATGCACACCGTACTGCTTTCCAATTTTAAAAGTTGAAGTCAAGTCAACTTTTTTCCGCGGAATTCATACCGTTTCACTTTTTAGCCAATCAAATTATACCACAAAAATTGACTCCTGGGTAGTAGCAAGATGGCGGATAATACTAAATTGATGCTCACAAAATTATTAAGTTTTCAGAGAAGCAATCCGCATGTCAATTATTATGGTAGCCAAATATTTACTGGATCTGAAGAATCCACGTATATATTGGATCAAGATATAATGCAGAAGATGACGGCGACTGAAGATGTTTCCAAGGAGCAGCAACTGCTTAGCCAAACCAGTGATAATACGATAGATAATTTTGGACATAACGAAGAGAGCGAGTACTCTTTACAAAGTCAGAATCACTTCAGTAGTAATTTGATTGATGAAGTGAGGAATTATCCTTGCCTATGGGATTTGAAGTCCAAAGGGTTCAAGAGCAGTGTTATGAAGAAACAAGCATGGTTAAAAATTTCAGAGCAACTCCATGTGCAAGGTACAGTCTCTAAATATGCATCAATGACAAAGCATCCTTTAACAAATGACAAGCAGGAAGCTTATCATGTTTATTGTGGTAACCAGAAATGAAAAATCTCTCATGTTTTTACTTTGTTACATGCCATTTCATGTGTTTATACCTGTGTGTTTGCATACCTAGCATTACATCTAAAAAACCATATTGTTAGTTTTGTCCTAGTTATGTAAAGTCCATAGCAAAACTTCAGATGATATTGATATTTTGTTCATAAACTCATTTGCAGATGCTTTTATTTTTTTGCTATTAAACCAGATGTGTATAAAAATATTGCGAGTATTGCACACCACATGTTGTGTTGTGCTTTCTTTTAAATTTGTGACTTGGTATGCTTTTGACAACAATTAGTTATTTTACCCATATGTTTTCAGCAATTGAAGCAGAAAATGAGTTCAAAAGGTTAAGAGAAAGTTTCCGAAAGTGTCTGAAAAGAGAGAATTGGAATCACGATCTGGAGCAGAAGCAAAAAAGTTACCCACATGTGCCTTCTTTGTTGAATTGAGTTTCCTTAGAGATAGTGTTTCTAATAGAAAATCAACAAGCAATGTGAATGTACCCAGACTATCAGATAGTCGATCATCGTCACCATTTGATTTAACTCAAGTATCCTCAGGCAGTTCCAATGAAATAGCAATTGCTGCACCTGGAATGAGAAATCCATCACCCAAGCCCAAACCATCCTCAGAAATCATAGCAGCCTCAACGAAAACTCGAAAACGAAAAGAAGATGATGACCCTTTGAATGCAGCTCTTACTGCAGCAATAGTCAAAGACATTAATAAATCTGGTGAAGACACAAATGATTCTGATTTACTTTTTTGTAAAAGTCTGGTGGCACCTTTAAAACAACTCTCATCTAAGAAGAACAAGAGAGCTAGAATCAAACTTTTAGAGGTATTAATGAGCTTTGACATTGATGATGAATGATTAACTGCATGCTATATAACTGCATTAACTGGAACTATAAATACCATTTTGATGTTTAAGTTCTTGTTTTATTTAATTCTAGTGTGTTTTGTTGAAGGTAAATTGGTTTTCAACTGATGCTTGTTGTTTTGTCATTTATAATTACAGTTGCTTTTTCTGAAGGCCTTATCACGATTAGAGCATTAAAATTCTGGTTATATGTGGGTATTTTTATACAAGTTTATTAGAAAACTAGCATACTTAAAACTTAAGAAATTACAAACTTTCTACACATTATATATGTTCTACTTTACTCATATGTACATGTTTCATTAATGAATGCTCCAACAATTGTCAAACCCAGTTAAAGATAACTTGTATCATTCATGTGTTGCTGTGACATGCTTCAATTGCCATGGTACTTGCCCTGCCTCAGACATGAAATAATCACAAAAATTTTCTCGTATTCTCTTGGCTATTTTACTGTAATTATTAGAACCAAGTTGTTGAATGTCAGCCAACCCAGCTGTGCTATGAAATGCTTCTACTTCGTTGCGCCAGGCTCCTTTTTTAAATCCATAGCTGTTTTCGGTATCTGCAAAACCTGGAGGACAGTACCTACTTGCCCAAAAAGATTTGCCATGCATCACGTAATTATGCAATGCCACAACTGCTTTTGTTGTACAAACGACCAAGTCAACTTTACCAATAATGTGGCGTCGCCAAATTCGGAAACGTGCAGCAGCTATGCCAAATGAGTTTTCAATGACCCTCCTAGCTCTAGACAAACGATAGTTATAAATCCTCTCTTTCAAAGAGAGTACCTCGCGTGGGTAGGGTTTCATCAGTTGCTCAGACAAACGGAATGCCTCGTCCCCAACAAAAACATAAGGAAATTTGTTTTCTGATCCAGGTATCTTCTCATTTCTGGGTAGATGCAAAAGATCATGTTCTATTGAATATCCTAGATTACTACTAGAAAAAGCGCCTCCATCACTATTTCTGCCCGAGTCTCCGATATCTACGAGGGTGAACTGGTATTGTGCATCGCACACTGCTAAAAGAACAATTGAGTGAGTTTTTTTATAATTAAAGAAACTCGACCCTGATCTTGCTGGAGCTTGCATGACTATGTGCTTGCCATCAATTGCCCCCAAGCAATGTGGAAAATTCCATTTGCGATTAAAATCTTTCGCAATGTTCTTCCATTCGACTTCACTTTCGGGACACTTAACGTAAATGGGTGAAAGAACATCCCAAATAGCTGCCGTGGTCTCTCTTATAACACGGCTGATAGTTGTAGGATGTATACGGAAATTGCTTGACAGCGAAGCGTGAGATTTTCCAGTGACCAAGTATCTTAGAGTAACTGAGAGCCGCTCACTCGGAGATATTGGTTCTCTTTTTTCACTGCACTTGGCGATTTTAGGAGCAACAAGCTGCAAAAGTTCTTCGAACTGGGATACGGATAACCTGAAGTATTTGAAGTAGTATTCCCTATCAAAAAGTCTCATCTCTTCTACAAGAAGGTGAAACTCTCCTTTTTGCTTTCTTTCCTGAAATATTCTTCGAACCCACATTCTCTTTTTGTATTTTTTTCGCAGTTGCATTCTTCTTTTCAATAGCAACAGCATCATTAATGTTTTTGTTCTAAGTTTAGCCATGATGATGCGCATCTGTTTTAAAATGTCCGCCAAAACAAGAGGAAATTAATAAACGGAAAATTTCCTTCATGTGTACCGTTTACCGTTTACCGTTACCGTCCTTACCGGGAAGTGGAAATCCAGCTTTAATGACATTCCACCTTCGAATATAGAGTTGCATAATTAATTAACTTTACTTTATTGCAAGCGTCACGTCAGGCTAAATGAAGCGCTTTGAATGGCTCAGGAATATTTTTGCTGGTCTTGTTATTTTCCGGTGATTAAACAACTGTCCAAGGCACGTAATTTTACAATGAAATGTAAACAAACTTTGTAATGCATACAGCAAAACGCAAATAAACGGAACAAAAACCATTTACGAATGTAATTCGAAGGAAAAAGACTTGGAAAACAGAAGATACAATTTGTTTCAAATTTATTTTTTATGGTCGAAAACTAGAGAAGTGAAAGCCAACCCGTAAAAAAAGCAAGGACGAGAAAGAAAGCAAGCTTCGTTTCAGGTCAAATGATGCCATATAATAAAACATTCAATGACCTCGCTCTCTCAGTTTTTACTGAGAAATATTGGATCTCTGTCTTTTTGTACAAAAAGACCTTGGTCCGATATTTCTCCACAAAGACCTCGCGTTCGGTTATTAAGGGCTTAAAAATAGTGCACAAAATGTTGGAATTTAAATAAGATCTAAAGGATTTAAACTATTACGGATCACCAGCTCAATAACCTGATCATGAAGAACAGGGTGTAGTGCAAACTGCTATACAAAGCAACTCGATCCACGTACAAGTTTTTGTACATAAATCGATGGACAAACGAGCTAACTTGTTTCTGGCTAATTATATTAATTATGAATACATCTTTATTTAAAACAATCCTTTTTTTTTTATTTCCTGGACTACCGCGTTTTGCCGTCTATATATCGATTGTCTACGTCGATATATCCTCGATGTATCGAAGTAGACATGTCGCTGACCACCTAATGTACCGCCATTTTAGGGTGCACCAAAAAGCGCTGTTGCGTGCAAGCATTACCGTGAGACTATTTCTTTAAGTAAACATGCAATTTATAATTTTTTGTTTACTCCCTGTGGCTGAACGGTTGAAATTAAGTGATCAATTATAGTTTTTATATGTAACTATTATTGTTAATAAAGGATGTCTTTTTCACGGAATGTACAACAACAGAAAAAGAAATGTGGGAAGTACTGCAGGTAAACTTTTGACAAAATAAACATTTTTGATAGCTTTTTTGAAAACAGCTCTATCCCCTTGACTGCTAATACAGCAAAATGAAACAAAGAAAAGCCAAATTACCAATTTTTTGTCTGATTAGATGTTTATTTTCTGCTGTAGACCAGTCCCCATCCCGTATTAATGATTTGGATTGATGGTTATTTATTTGTTGTTTTTTTTCCGTAATGATTTTTTTTATTTTTTTTCTCAATGCATTTGAAATGAAGACGGCGTATGCTTTTTATCACAATCTTGCTGTAATTGCAACCAATTATTTCTTAATTGTGTAGAAATTTGCAATTAGGTTTGCAGCATGTAACATGCATTTTCCCTTATTTATTTGTTCACAGAATGTTATCCATATGACTTCTGGTTCTGCTCGCATATTCAGTAAAACATGGTCTCTCAACAATAAGAAAGGTTAAGTGATTTTTTTACAACATAATCTCGTGTAAATAAACTGTAGTCTATTCAAAAACAATATTTGAAAACCTTACAAAAATAACTTCTTCAGAGATTCTAACTTTGTGATAAAGAACACAAAAATATAATTGAAGTTCTGATGTTTGCAACAGTAGCGGAAATTTAGTTGTGGAGTGGAAACAAAGCGTTTTTATTAAGCCAAACTGAACTTTTGCGTACTATGCAATGTTTAAAAATTCGTTGGAAATCTTTCAGAAGTTCCTAGATTTTGTGTAAAATTCCATGAATCATTTTATTTGTTTTCAAAGGTACATTCACAGGGTAAATAGATGGCATTAAAAGCACATTGAAAGAACGTAAATTATTTATAATCACGTTTTTGCCAGAACTGCTCTTGAAATCAACATTTTTTCTGAATTCCTCTACATTAAAACTATTTTCAAATTTCTGAAATCACTTAAAATTCTGAAAAATCTTTGGTTTTACGAAGAAAGGGAGGCAGCTTTTAATGACTCCAACGAGATCCCTGTCCAACGAGATCCCTGTCACTGGTTTGCGAAATAGAATGTGTATAAACAATGACTGCAAGAAAGCATTATATGTGATTTGTTTCATTTTTCTCATAACATTTTATTATATAGATTGCCTAGTCAATGTCAAATTTAAAAGTAAAGAAAGTCTTCCTCAAGCACCAAAGACAAGTCTGCCACAGGAAAATAGTGAAAAGCAGGAGGAGCAATTACTAATTGAAAAAAATTTCTGCGATGCAGCTGTTGATGGTGATGCTAAACACACTGACGTTCCAAAGTTTTGTTAGTATATCAATTACGAACGTTATAAGAACCACGCAAATACTTAGTTTGCACTTTGACAAATGACATTGTTTTTTTTTTGTACAAAATGTATTTATAAGCAAGACACTGCTTTTCTTGTAAAGTCTGAGATGTAAATATAAAATGTGTGCTGAATATAATGCTACGATTATGGTCTCTTCATATTTTTATATTTCCTAGACTTTGCAAACGTTTTCATAATGCTTAAACGGCGATATCTGGCTGTTTCAAGCCATTTTTAAAAGTAATTCTCAGTATTTAAACACATTTGCATTGTTTTCAACTCCTGTTTCATTTGTATGTCAGGTACTCGACGACCATTTGGACAAGAAGCCGCCAATCACAAATATGAGCTTGGAGCGGTGTTTTGCGATGCAGAAGATGTAAAAACCGAGATCAAATTGTTTACAAAAGGAAACCCCCAAAGACTTCCTTGGGTAATGATGGAAATAGCTCGCCCATTTATAACTGGAGTTCTAAATGCAGGTAATAATGGAACAATTTATTTTGGAATCGGGGACTCAGAAAACAAACGCGATAATTACAAACACGGCGAAGTTGTTGGCCTCGAAGTAGAAAAATTGAAGGATTCAATTAACAAATCATTAAACACTGTACTGGATGCTCACGTTAAGAATGGTGTCGATAGTATGTCTAATGCGGAAAAGCAAGCAGTAAAAGTTTATTTTATCCCAGTTGAACAATCAGGTAGTAGAACTAACAAGTACATTGTGGAAATTGAAGTGCATCGTAACTGGAAGGTTTGCAAGGATCATATGTATTTTATCGAAGAATGGAAAAGATCAGAGAACTGGAGTAAGTTATTGACAATGTTTTCATCGTGATGAGCGCAAAAACTGTCATCAGTCAGATAAATAATTGTGTTATTCAATTGTAGTTTTTGGTCGTTTTTGAAGGTTGTTTTGCATGCCTGCAGAGATGACCACTACGTGAGAACTGCATAAATTCTTTGTGGACTTCATGTTTGTATAGCCAGCATGGCGTTATACTATAGTGAGGCAAATATAAATCGTGTTGTCGGATTAATCACATCACAACAATTCATCGAAAATAGTCTATTCGCTACTTATATGCTTCAGAGCTAGCAATTAAGTCTGCATTTAAAAGTTATATGCAACGCTTTATTTCATATTGTGCTCATGCATACAAGGCACTGTTTAATGAAATAAACGAACTTATATTACTGCAAACGAACTTCTAACGCTATTCTTACCACTTAACACATCACGACATTTCACTATCATTATCTAGCTTTTTCACATGCGATCTATATTGTTATTTTTGCAGAAAAAGCTTCAAAATTCAATCTAAATGTTTTGTACGATATAAAAAAGGGCAACGATATTGCATATGTTCGAATGTGCGGAAGTACAAAAAAATTGAACCCCGGAGATATTCCAATGATGCAAAAGGAGCTATCAGGAAAATACGAAGAATGGAAAGGTCAGTCCTGTGGGTTTATAGTTTTAAGTTCATAATTTATATTTTATAGTTGACCTAGGTGATGCAGCATTATAGTTTGGTGCATTTGAAAATGATAGTTTTAGAATAGTTCCTATTATTTAACAATTATTCGTTAAGTTGAGCATGATATATTAAACTTATTTAAAGCGGATCTCCACTAGACGATTTTTATGATGATCATCTTAAAAATTAGTACGAACTAAAACACATAGCTAGCATCATCGCAGTACGAATTAAAACCAAATCGTCAGCAAAATCGTTAACAAAATCGTCATGCGCTCGACGAAAAGTAGAAATGGTTTTAACTTTTTGTCTAGCGCTTGACGTTTTGCTGACATTTTTTATTTCTTCGAACACATTTGGCGCAGTGAGTTTTTGAGACGATCGTCTTAAAAAAAGTCAATCTGCATTTTGATTCGCGGACGCGAAGTCTAAGACGACGTTATTATGGCGTAATCTGTCGTAAATATTCGGTTTCTTTACTTCCGCCATCTTTGCGACGTCTTCTTAGTGTTTTTTTTTACGACGTGAAACAAGCTGTTTTCACGTCCTCTTAACGACCAAGGGCGGTTCTAGGGTATGTCAAATCAGTCACGCGACTGATGTTTATAGTTCAAAAATTATTTATCAAAGTTAATGAGTACAATTTTTTGTGATCATTAAATTCCCGTTCTGTAATCATTTGGATTTCATCGTCAAAATTCTGTTTTATTCATGAAAACTTATATAAATACCACCTTAGTAAACAGATCAGTAGATTTTAACATATCTGGAATTATATTAACTGGCTGACTGATAAGCGGAGTGGCTCGACTGGTTCGACCGTTAACGGAGTTCAAGAGCGCTTATTTAAGCCATTCCATTGGTCAATAGCCAGTTCAGTGGACGATCTGGAATAATCTCGACCGATAAGTGAGGTGGCCGGACCGATAATGGAGTCCAATTGCTATCGTGTAATTGGTTCGTTTAAATTTTTGTCTTATTGTGATTGGTTTGATCGATTTCGACTGATAGCCAACTGAGCTAACATAGTCAAGCTTACTATCCGAATTGAATGTTTGATCGTTTCATAGTAATTTTCTTTAGCGTTATAGAAACTACAATCTGATGGAATTTAGGAAAATCTTATACAAATTCAAATATTGACATGAATGCTGCTGTCCAGACTGTGAATTTTTTCAAGTGGGTGAAAAATTTATGGATGAATTGTAAATGCCTGGCCAAGACATTGAACCATAATAGATGGAAGGCTACCTGTGATAGAAAAGCCTAATAATATTTTGAAGCCAAATTTGACATCCAGACACACGTGTCTGGAGGCCAATTTACGTCAATTGCACGTGCTACACGTTAATTGAAGCTACACGTTACGCTAGATTTGTTAAAGAAACACTTTTTTACCTAAGCCTTTTTCTGATTTTATTCAAAGAGTAAACGTAGAAAAGTATTGTTGCACTTAAAGTAATGGGGCTTAGTCTTTATTTAGTCAATTATGATGAAATAACCTGTGACTGTTAGTCTTTTCGATCCACGGAGCTTTTTATTTTGACAATTTGACTGGAATGGTATTAAAGCTGAGTATTTCACATACATGAAATATTGTGCCATGTCACATATTGTCCCCTTTTCTAAATAAACATCTCATGTAGAGATGTCAAGGTGTGATGATCTACGGCTCATACCAGATTGTTTGCCATAAATTCCAAAGGGCTATTAATGTATGAAAAGCATTTTCTATAAAGGAAATATGTGTTCCTGCATATGCAGATAAACCTTGAAATTTGGCAAAACAGCAAAGTATTTTTATGATCACTAGATAATTTTACTGATGATCAATATAATTTCTAAACTAACTTACTTCAGATTTACCTTTAAAAAAGTTATGATTATACGAAAAGATATTCATCATGACCAGTAAGCATGACACATGTACCAATTTTAACATTCATTTAAATATATGATTAAAGGCATATTTGTTACATTCTGTTTATATTTGCAAATACAATGCTACTGATATTTTCTATATGGCACACCTTGCATAAACTTACAGAAGAGAATAGTCTAGTGAATTGCCTAATAATCATTAATGGTATTAAGCTGTCCTTAATTGCAAAATTTTACTTTGATAATCTTTGTTTAATCTTTGGCAGATACAAATTTTGAGTTTTTTCTCAAAAGGTGAATTTCCTGGCACTGTATGTGGATATGGGTAAAGGGTTACAATAAACTTGCGAGTTCGAGCTTTTCTATATCTTTGAGCAGTTCCTTGTAGTATCTCATTTCTAACTTAACTCATTACATAGAGGTGTGAATGGGGGTCTCTAGCTGGTCTATGCCTGATAACTTAGTTGAAACTTTTAGAGACTATCTCTTTTTTGGAATAGCATGTAAAGTAAATTTTATGTTCCTATGCATGCTAATGAGCCATATATTTGGCATGATAATGAGTCTAAATATTTAGCAAAACATTTAAACATTCACTTCAATTTCTTTGAAAAAAACGTAAGCAAAATGTGTTGTTTTTACGCCAAAATGATGCCCACAAGAAGCATTTTGCATTCCTCTTAAACGCTAGAAATGGCATTTCCAGGTCTTTGAAATTCAAAATTTCACAGAAGAGAAGGCCTCGGACCCCCAAGGGTGCGAAATGCCTTCAACGTCCAATGATTGATGTTTGAAAAATCCTCGATCCGTCCCTGTTAAAGACGTCAGTGTTTCTACTTTTTTCGCTTTAAAATATATGTCCATTAAAATTGATGACTAATGTGTTTTGATAGTTTGGTATTGAGGCAATTCAGCTAAAACTTGTGTGTTTTTGCAATCAAATTTTTCAAAATCATATGATGCATAATGTATGCATGTTTTGTTATTCATGTAAACAATCAACAAGATAGCTAAATAACTTCGTTTTTATTTTTCATTTTGCTCTAGTAGCTTCCTATATTTTTTATGCTATGCAGAGGTTCAATTATAATCCAAACTAGAGAAGGCAGCCTACATTTTATCGAAATTTGGCGTGTTTTTTAGGCTATTTTTGTGATGTTTTGTTAATATTAACGCCAAATTTATTTTTTTATATCAATAAAAACAAATATACCACTCAAATTTTACATGATAAATAAGCAAAATGAGTGCTCTGATTGGTCGATGCCCGTGTTTGGAAACTGAAAGGTCGTGATAATTTTTAACATGCCTGAAAATAAAGAGGATTTTTTGTTTAATTTGGAGTGCATTTCTTTCAGAGTACTCATGTGAACTTCAGCCAACATTGGAGATTTTTCTAAACTGTTAAAATCAGCATCCTTGTTTTAATTCTACGTTGTAGTGTTTTTGATTTCTGACTTATGTCAGCTACGACTTACTCGCTTGAGAAGTAAGAAAACAGCACATTTTAATGAATACTAGTAGCTAAAAATTGCACAAAGATAAAAAATAAGAATCGATGGAGAAACTGCACTTGAGTCAAACCAGTGGGTGGGAAAATTGAGTTGAGTACGCCAATGAGTTTGCCTGGCATGATTTTTATGACAAATCGAGTTTTGGTGATGAAATGTTTCTCTTCGTGGTTTGAGTTAGATAATTTAATTAGATTATTTCTAAGAGCACTTATCATGGCGAATTTATTGATGAGTATTTTTTTTATTTTTCAGTGGAAAATGATAAAAAACAGCTTCCTGAATTACTCCAACAGGGTAAGTATGTTGCAATAAAATGCATGGTTAAACAAAAATTTGTAAAAAACTGACATTTACATTTCGACGGTCTTGGTCATCTCAGCTTTGTTTGCATTTTCTATACATAACAGTTTCAGTATTTTTATATTTTACACGCCTATTGTGGAAACCAGCTTTTGCTGACGATACCAGCGTGGGTATCTATCTTTCCATTGATCAAGTTGCCTTGTGCTAAAAACATTTATATGACCAATTTTATCGTAGAATCAATAGATACCCAGACCTCTTCAAAGACAAGTGAAGATCTAAGAATGAGTCTTCAAAATCTTCAACCAGAGATTAACTATATTTTGATTGCAAGTAAAGTCCCAAAACGTTACAGAGGAACGAGCGAACTTTCTTTTCTAAAATATATTCCTTGGCTGTGTGTCTTTGATTTGTTTGATAAGATATCAGAATCTGATGGCCTTTACTATATCGTGAACAAAACCAATGATTCTGCCCATGCGATTTTGAAAAACTTGGGAGACGTTAACAACCCATCAACTTTCACAAAACGAGCCACTACATGGATTCTGCGTAGCCAAGAACTTTATGATCAAGATTGGATTAGGTTCTCAAAGAAACAAGTCTACGAGGCTCTCTCAGCAGCTAAAGAAGAATCACCAACTAAGAAGCATTGGGTTATTTTGTGTTTAAATGATGAATTTTTGGAGGAAATGGCTGATATGATTGAAATTTTGTTTACTACCCTTGGAAAGGAAGCCCAATAAAACAATTACAATCATTTCAGAAAAGAAAGACATTGGTGAAAGATTAGTAAAACCTATGAAAGAAACAATTCGAAAGGATTTAAAATATCCTAGTTCATATTTTGGTCTTCCACTTGATATTTTTGAGAAAAACGTTCAGGAAATGCTGGGTCAAAACAGTTTTCATGGGCCAAACAGTACTACCGATCTTCCTTATATAACAGGTTGTCTTAAACCTGTTTTGAATAAGAGAATCAAATCCCTGACTGATTTGGAAGTGTTCTGCCCAAAATCACCCACATGGTCTCAGAATGAAATCAAGAAAGTCAGAGAAGACTTTTATAAAGGTGATGTCATCCAGCAACTAAATCTTTTCCATAAACATGGTATTGAACGAACACTTCAAGAAAAGTTAACAAGCAAGATAGAACAGTGCCTTATCAAGCTTTCAGATCCTAATACAAGTGAGTTTTTACGTTCCGTAGAAATAGTTAACTTAAAATATGAACCTGGCTCTGGAGCTACAACTTTATGCCGTAGAATATTATGGGACGAGAAAAAAAAATACCGGTGTGCTGTTGTCAAATCGATTGAAGCAGACACAGACTACCAAATTGACGAACTTCACCGATTTGCCTACGAAGCGGGTTTTTGTTTCATTCCTCCAGTGTTGGTTTTGGTGAATAAATTTCCAGAGCAAAGTCTGAAACGTCTGGTCGACAAGCTTTTCGAAAGAAGAACAAAATGTGTTCACTATACCAATGAATACCCATGTTAATATAAGTAGAGAAGAAGAAAATAATGATGCAGTTTTGGCCTTGCTTGATGACGTTGAATTGGAGAGAATAAAAAAAATACTGACTGAAGTGGAAGGAAAAAATGAAGAGCAAAAAAAGGCAGCTGAAGACAAAGTGAAAAAGGAAAAAAGAATAATTTGGCTGGGCTTGGAGTTATTTGGCCAAGAGTACAGTGCAGATCTAGATGATAGGCTTTCTGAATATATTCAACAAATTATTAGATACAGTCCAACCAATCGACTGAAAGCTGCCTGCAAGACGATTCTACACTTTTCTTCTTTCTTGGATTACTACAGCAAAGGCCAATATAATTACGGGACTTTGTAAGAATGTCTGCTGTCATTTCTTCGGTTGGAACGTAACTGATCTTTATTTCCTTGCTTTGTACTCTTTCTCGAATGAAATGTAGTTTCGTATCGATGTGCTTTGATCGTTTATGCATTACGGGATTGTGACACATCTTTATACAAGATTGGTTATCTTCTCCAATGTTGGTTGGTTTCTTCATTGGATAACCTAAATCTTTCATTAGTGCTCGTAGGTATATTGCTTCTTGTACAGCTGCCGCCATAGCTTGATATTCGGCTTCGGTTGACGAAAGTGCTACAGTTGCCTGTTTCTTCACTTCCCAGCTGATTGCACCTCCGTTCCCTTCAAATTTGAAGTAATATCCTGTAGTTGATTTTCGGTCATTGAGATCACCACTCCAATCTGCGTCTGAATCACCAACGATATCGAGATTGGAATTCTTCAAGAATGTTAATTGTAAATCGATAGTTCCTTTAAGATATCTTATTACGTGCTTTGCTGCTTTCCAATGTGACATGTCTGGTTTATCTAGGAATCTTGATAGCTGATTAACAATGTGAAGGATATCTGGACGGGTTTGTTTACCAATAAATAGTAATGAACCAACTAAACTCCTGTATAACCTTGCATCGGCTAACTTCTGATCGTCGTTGCTTTTGATTAGCTTCAGATTTACTTCACCAGGCGTTGCTGCTGCTTTACAATCACTCATATTGAATTGTTGAAGAACAGATTCGATGTATTTCTTTTGGTCAACGGTAATCTTGTCGTGAGATCGTAGAAATCGCATTCCTAAGAACCAGTGCAGTGTGCCACGGTCGTCCATCTTGAAATTTTTGCTCAACATTGCTTTGATATGATTAACTGCTTTTTCACTCGTACCAGCTACTATAATATCGTCTACCCAAACTAATACGTATGAGGATGTTCCATCTTCTTCTTTTCTCACAAATAAACAATAATCGTTGCAGCTACGTTTGAATTTTTCTTTAACAAGTAGACTAGCCAATGCTTCATACCAATTCTTTGCCGCTTGTTTCAATCCATATATTGATTTGTTTAGCTTGCAAACTTGCTTTCGTCCTGATTTTGCTTTCTTGGTAAAACCTTCTGGTTGTTCTAGATAAATTTCTTCTTCTATGCTGGAGTTAATGTATGCTGATTTAACATCCATCTGGCCAATATGTAGACCTTTTTGTGCTGTCATTGCGAGCAGGATTCGAAAAGTTTCGGGTTTACATGTTGGAGCGTAAGTATCGAAAAAGTCTAAGCCTTCGACTTGAGCATAACCCTTGGCTACATATCTTGCTTTATATTTGTCGATTTGACCATCTGCTCCATACTTTACTTTATATACCCATTTTCCTGGTAAGACTTGCACATTCTCTGGTTCGTTCACTATTGTCCATGTGTTATTGTCTATTAGTGAATCATATTCTGCTTTCATTGCTTTTCTCCAGTTTTCAGCGTGCGGTGTATTAATTGCTTCATGATAAGACTTGGGTTCTTGTAAACTTTCATTAGTTGTGTTGAACGTATAGTATAATCCATACCTTTCTGGTGGCCGCCGATTTCTGCTTTCTCTAGGAAGCCAGATTTCTTCCTCTGGATTTTCTTCATCTTCTTGCTGATGTTGAACAGCAGATATCGGTGCATTATTTTCCCCCACTTCATCTTGAATCGGTTCCTTTGTTTTCTCATCTTTCGAACGATCATCGTCGAAATCCATGTTGGGGCTCATAAGATTTGGTTGTTCTGGATTTATCGTATCTTTTACTGAAAAAGGTTGAATTTCACTTTCTTTGAAGACAACATTGCGTGCTTTGATGACTTTCATTGATTCGAATTCTTGCAGGATGTAAGCCGTGCTTTTGTCATCGTAACCAATAAATTTTGCTTTCACAGATCTTGAATCCAATTTCTTAAGGTTGATCTTCCTTTTCATGACGTATGCTGTGCAGCCAAAAGTGCGTAGATGATTTAATCTTGGGTTTTTTTCGGTGAATAGCTCGAAAGGACTTTTACCTTGTTCGCTGTTGGCAGTAACGGTGAGATTTCTGATATGAGATGCTGTTGATAAGGCTCTTACCCAATAACGTTTTGGTAACTGTGCTTGGATTAATAGACATCGTCCCATTTCAACTAGAGTTTGATTATAGCGTTCGGCAACTCCATTTTTTTTGCGGGATTTCGGGTACCGTAAATTCCTGCTTTATTTTTGATTCGATGCAGTAAGCTTTGAATTGCTTTGATGTATACTCTGCTCCATTATCGCTTCTCAATTTTCGAGGTAATCCTGATTCTGCTACGTACTCTTTAAATTTTTCAAATGCTTGTGCTTTCTTGCTCATGAATTTAACGATTGCATACTTCGAGTATTCGTCCACAAAGGTAATTGCATATCTGCATCCACTGAGGCTAGGCATTTCAAATGGACCAAGAATATCTGTGTATACCAATTCGCGTGGTTTCTGGGACTTATTGTGAGCTTCTTTAGGTACAGGTTTGCATGATTGCTTTCCAAGTGCGCATGTTTCACACACTTTCTTTAATTTGTCTTCGCAGTTAACAGTGCGTTTGACATCATCTTTGTTCGAATGTCCGAGGCGTTGATGCCACAGTTGAAAATCTCCTTTCATTTCTCTTTTATTCTGGTTGCTTTTAATGGAATTACAGGAACTGGATCTTTGGAATATGATCTCCAGATAAAATAAACCTGCATTTTTGTTTAGGGCAATTTCTGGACAATGATTTAACATCAACTTTGCTTCACTCTCTTTGAATACTAACTTATGTCCAAATTTGACAGCTCGGTTGACAGAGAGTAGGTTGACTTCGTAATTTGGCACATAAAGGACATTTCGCAGTACCATCTCTACTTCTTCTCCATCTTTCAATAGAAGCTTTACTGGTACGTCACCAATACCTTCGATAGGTGTTAATTTTCCCTTTGGATCCTTAACATTTTTGGTATTGCATGGTTTTAAGTTGTCGAATAGTTCCTTTTTAGTAATGATGTGATCTGTGCAACCGGTGTCAATGATGATATAATTCAATCTTCTACTGTTACTATTTATTTCAGTGCCACTGTTCATGCATTGAGAGTATGATCAGAATGAATTTGGTCCTCTTGTTGAAGGTTCTTCGGTTTTACTCTGACTCCTACATGCTCTTGACAGATGTCCCTTTTTCTTGCACTTTGAACAGAAAGCTGAACTTCTTTTACTGCATTGCTTGGCAAAATGACCAGGGAGTCCACAAACATAACAAGTTCCTTTTTGCTTGATTGGGGCTTTGTTTTTGCCTGATGCATTTCCAGAATGCATTGCTATTGCGCTATCTTCTCCTTGGTTTCTTTGGATCCGACTATCCTCATAATTCTGTAGTCGAGTTCTCAGTTCTGAGAAGTTGGCTGCTGGGTTGAAACTTTCTTGAACCACGAAGTGTTCAAATTTTTCTGGAAGTCCATTAATGACTAGAGCATTAAATAATGTTTCTGATATATTTTCTCGGGCTTCAGTGAGTCGAGACATTAATTCTTGTGATCGTATAAAATATTCGGATAACTTTTCACTTTCACCTAAGTGTAATCGAGATATTTGTCGAACTAGACTTACTACAGTTGGTTTTTCTACGTTAGAAAATCTTTGTTGTAGTATACGCCACGCTTTTGCTCCGTCTCCGCCACCATCTGGCGACAAGCAGTCATGTCGTATGTATAAAAGGCTGTTGTTGTCAAGAGCTAATGCAATATGACACCATACCGTGTTGTTTCTTTCTTTGATTTCATCAATTTGTTGATTTCTCTCGCGTACTTTTGTTTCCCATTCGGCCCTTTGCTCACCTGTAGCGTCGACTGTTAACGGTGTAACTTCTTGAGGTATGACTTCTCTCCCAATGAGAGCTTTGTACAAACCTTTCGTTTGCAAATATGTGGTAAACTTTGTGCTCCATGCCGGATAGTTCTCGGCTGTTCCATCGAACACAAGCCACTTTATTGTTTGACTATCCATAAATACGGTCTTGTACTATTTCTGTACTACTGCTGAGCTATTTCTGGGCTATTCCTTTGCTACTACTGGGCTACTCCTGGGCTTCCTTGGCCCATAACCTGTTAGATTATGAACTTTATTCAAAGAGATAAGTATTGATTTTACAACAACAAAATATATATGTGCAGGAAGTATGTAAGATCGTACGATTGTCACGTGTCCACTGAACTATAACTAAAGAACTGAAATAACATTAACTTTACAAATTAAATACTTTATGTTATATTGTATCATGTTAACAAGAACTGAGTGCTTGCACAGCTAAATTGACTTCCATTTTTTGTGACTGCCAATGAATATGACAGGAGCGAAACTTGTTTGCTAAGCGCAAACCCTCTGAATCCTGTAGCTCTACTAGTTTTAGTAGCGTAGCCAGCCCGCTAATTTGGTCGTGTTATGTAAATTTAAGACCATTATCATTATTCATTTCTTTAGAAATCTATTGTTTTTGCAGTGAGTGAACACAGAAAAATTTACATAGCACGACCAAACTTGCGGGCTGGCTACGCTCTTGACTAGTTTAATCAAATAATCTTACCTTATCAGGTCATTATTTGCATCCTTCAATTCTCCCAATTGGGTCAATGCACCTCTCATCAATTTGATCATGTGACATACATCTAAAAAGTATAAATTTTCAAACGTGAGTCACATGGATGCTAAATGTATGCTTGAAAATTATCTGAAGAGAGTTTTGCTCCAAGAATCTTCATCATTGTTTGATGAGAAGATGGACAATCAGCAGTTAAGCTGGTGACTCTAACACCAACGTTATGTAGTCTGGCAATACATTCTCTTGACAGATCAGCTTTCATCTGTCCAGAAGTACTATCAGTTAGAAAGTAACCAACAGGAACTTTCCACGAGTAATCAAGAGCGACAACCATGTATACTAAGGCTTCTCTTGCTTCAGGCAGTGCGTCATCGTCATTTATACCAGTTCCCATGTCAACAAAGCCAAAGACTTTGTCGCCATCAAACTCAACATGTTTGCGAATTGCCATTTCATCCAACATTAAGGCCCATAGAAGGTCTTCTCCTTCCTTTTTAGCTTCTTCAGCCTTAAATTTCAGTGCAACAAATGCATTTAGAGTGAATCCTGGATCACCATCAATTGGATTATACCAAGTGCGGATTGTTCTTGGATGAAGCAATGCTAAATTAAACTTTGCACGTACATACCATAAGCTTTCCTGGAAGAAAATTTCAATGTAAGAGCAAATGATCTTTGCTCAGTAGGGTAGGAAACACGTGTTTTATCTTCATGTGTTAACCTATTTAATATATCCCTTGACATTCCTGAAAGGGTTTTGTTAAGGATTTCAGCCTGAGCAACATTAATAAAGCCTTCCTCTGTTAAACTAGAAAGTGCAGAAAACATATATTGACTTTCATTCTCAGTCTACCGTTTCCCATCCTGCTGTTCTTAAGTTTTTTCTTAAGTGACTCAGGTTTCTCAATGACCTCCTCTAAATGACGCTTCAGTCTATAAGGAGACTGACAACTGTGTGTATGATCATGCAATAAACAATTAAAATTGATCACCTGATTATCATGTTCTTCAATAGTAAAGTCATCTTGGGTCAAATTTTTTTGATTATCATCCATCACTAAATCAGGCATGGGCACTCAAATTTAACCCCCTCACTTAAAATAGATTTTCCAATACATACTTCATTCACAAGTATATTGAGTTGTACTTACAGTCTTTTGGAATTGTGTAATGTATGTCAAGAACAAGATATAATTTTTCAAAAATGCTAACCCCTCGAGCACTACTACTCTTCTGTTTTGCTTGAACAACTTACAGCTACCAATACTAATTATTTATAAGTACAAACTAACAATAGGGAATTAAATGATAAACAACTTGATAAATCTTTGTATTTTCCATCAAGCCTTTGGATGTGTCCCTTTTATCTCTTGATAAAAAAAATGTTTATGAAAGACTTACAAATCAAGTTTCTAGAAAATAGTATTTTGTACATAGAAACTAAACATAATTGGAAAGGTCACATGTTGAAGACAGACTTTGCTTCTTTGACTAGGTTGCTTGACCATGAGCAATTTAAATTTGTTTACAATTTGTTTAAAGAATTCTTTCTGTTGATTTCTACTAATTCTTCATAAGACACAAAGAATTTCTTTGCCATCTATTTTTGCTTCTTCTACATTCAACTGCATTGTAACCAATGCATCCAATGTGAATTTGTGGACCACCTGGAATTATACCAAGTATGGATTTGAGATAAGACAATAATATGTTTAATTTTCATGCATATCAATGATGTAATCATAAGCTATTGTTGAACAAAAATTTCAAGGTAGGAGTAAATCTTAGCACATTGTTCAACACACTTCTTTTATCTTGGTTTTGAAGTATTAACCTGTTTACTATAACAATAAATACTTTATTTACAGAAAAACTAAGTAGTACTTTAAAACTGTTTGCATAAATCCAACTTTCCAAACCCATTATAATTGTGTACACTATATAGTCAGTCAAATTGAGCAGGCAAGCAGTTTAATAGTTACTTTTATTATACAACATATACCATAGCTCTCATTAACTTTGCATGGCACTGCATTCAATTTCAACACAACTCTGTTGTAAACTTTCACTTTATCTCTTAAAAAAAATATGAACAAATTCTGCCCCATTTTTGGTAGGTAAACTCAATTCAAATCAGGAGAGTTTAGCTTGATCATGATACAAGATGGCTGCAAAACTCGAGAAAAATTGGCTGCTTCGCCTCTTCAGGCGAGCGATAAAGTGAAGAACAAACAAGACTGGACAAAAATAACTTTATATTAAAACTTAGTAGTAAAAACACTCTTCAAGTATCGTGTTAAAAAAAAATAGTAAAACTAATACTATGCTATTTACTGGAGTCATGAAATGTTTCCTTTTCTGTCGCTATTTCAGCATCCGCAAACCGCGGAAGCTTGCAGATTGTTTAATAAATATAATTTTAAAAAGTGTTTATGTTGGGAAAGTAGTTTTGATATTTTTTATACTCCCAATCATGGTGGTCAAATCAGGGTGGACGACAAAATTTTTATCTCATGAACCCGCGTCTCTCCGCTGACTTTGACCACCAAAATCCGCCATGTTTTTGACCATGCGGCCGCCCGCTAATAATTTATGGTAATTTTGTTGACTTTTCCCCGCCAGGTCTTATAGAGCTCAATGGTTCCCTCCAGGTCTTATAGAACTCAATGGTTAGAGATGGGCAATTACCGATTACTTGGTATCGATACCACCCGATACGGAGCCTAATCCGGAAGTAGTCGATACTGCGTGGTATCGAAAAAGGATTTCGATTACTTTTAAAATTTCACTATTATGTAAGTTTGTCTTCTTTTTCATTATTGGTTTCGAGAAACATGTTTTTTTTTCTGTTTTGTTATTTTAATATATTATTCACTTTTACTAATCAAAACACTTCGAAATCTCGCCTTCAGAATAATAACATGTACCAAATTTTTCAATTCGAATTTATACAGCTTCTGAAAATTTATCGTTACACCTAATAATGTTATGACAGTTTGTAATTTAAGACAAGAAAAATAAAAATAAAAAAGTCGTATTGTTGAAGTATATAAGGCCACACTTTAGCAATTCCATTATCAGATCTTTATCAAGTGACTCAGACGTTTATTTTCGAATTTGGAGAAAGTAATCGCTTTAGTAATCGATATCTCGATACTTTTAAGAAAAAGTAATCGGTATCGTATCGAATCGATGCTAGCGGTATCGCCCATCATTATCAATGGTTGTGGTGAATCCTGTGCTGAGTGTAGGGATAAATGTCGGGATGAATGTCAGGAGGAATGTCAGGATGAATGTCAGGATGAGTGTCAGGATGATTGTCAGGATGAATCCTGTGGTACCTTCACAGTAGTGTTTCTATGGCGATTTTTTATGTTTTTTTTTGGCAATTCGATTTTTTGGTGGACAGTGTACAAAGGAGCAATCAACGTTTCGAAGCTAAGTGTAAAATAAGAGGAGACATCGATAGTGAAGTTAATTACTCTTCATAGCAAATAACGTACGCGTATGTAAACTTTAGACGAGGAAAATATGAAGAAATTCGTGTCAAGGTGTGTTAAGGCAATACTTATTATTATAATTGGATTAGGTTTCATTGCTCTCAATGGTATGAACAAGCAAAAAATCTTGGAGAATTTTGACATGGAGATCAATTTACACAATGTGTTGGGGAATCTTCGTTCAACTGCTCAGCTTCATCTCGTGACAAATTACCCTATAATGGCTTTGCCACCATGGAAGATAAATCAAACAGAAAAAATACGACTCGTTTGATGGAAAGGCAGAAAGAAGTCGAAGAAACTCTTCAACGAAATCTAAATCACCCTCATGTCAAGGCTTTACATATCTTTCTTAATCAAAACAACGCTGAAGAGCGCCTAAATTCCTTGGATTTAAGAAATAAACAGAAACTTGTTGTCCGTCCTTATACAGGAATGCCAACGTACAAACATTTCGCTTCTTATGTCAACCAGAGACTGACAAATGAGTTAATCGCAATTACGAATATGGATATCTACCTTGGAGAAGGATTTGAAAAAATCAATGTACGTTTGATGACAAAACATAATATTGCCTATGCTTTAACCCGCAGTGGAAAAAAGGAGAGGCGATGTTATATGAATTATACAATCGGAAGATGTGAAGAAAACCCATACATCGGATCTCACGATACTTACATAATGAAATTAAAAGAGCCTGTGTGTAATGAGGTGTTAGAAATGCTTACGAATCCCATGAACAGAGTAGGAGCTGAAAAAAAATGGTTTGGTTATTGAAGAACAAAATGAATATGACAGTTTTGAATACGTGTTTAATTTTAAGAACATATCACAACCACTGTTCTGGTGTTCATGGATATCGAAGGTACGATAGACTACCAAGGGATAAAGTTCTCTTGTGTCCACCCTCTGGTTTATACGAATAACCAAACTTTTATTTTTAGTAAGAACATAAGTTCAAGTTATGAGAAAAGAAATGTTTTAAATCAACTAATAAGCATAACTTTGTGTCATTTTTTCATGATAATAGTTTTATGGATATGTCAACAGTCAAAACTATTCTACAAGATGGCAACATAAAGATTAGAGCATCTGTTTTGTTTTCTGTTGTTTCTGTATTAATACAGCTAAACATTAGCATGAAACTAATGATTTTGAAAAAACTTGTTTTAAAAAAATGAGAGTAGCCACATGAGGCTGGGGCGGATTGAGCATTTTTCATGACTGTAGCAAAACGAGCGCTGAAGGTGCAAGACACCGTAGGGGGGTCCAGGGGAAATTTTTGAGTTTGCAGTGTTAGTCATGTCGGCAGAAAGGTTATTTTGAGCGCTTCTACAAAGTTGTTCGAAAATAGCCTTATTTGGAACTTTTTCATCAAAACAATAAAGTGCATAATATATAGATAAAGAACCAGATAAATACATGGCAATTGCATTTTCCTTACAAAAAATGCACCTTGCATATGCATATCAAAAGAATGGAAAGAATAATAAGGCATATTCATGAACAATTCAATGCTTGTACAGCATCAAAGACAGGAGACTAAGGTTTCATCAACATACATTGCAATGGCGCATGAATTATAAAGACAATTACCATCACAAGAAGTCCACTATTTTGACAAAACAATGAATAAATGCAAATTACCAAGTGACATAGAACAAAAAACGTTATCTCTTACAGAGTTTATAAGTTATGACAGCAATACATTTACTACAATTTCACAGGGAAGACACATCCAAATCAGTGTAATTTTGAACGATGCGATCGCGTTTAGATGATTTATGCGTTGATGATTCATGTTAGTCACTAAATAGCCTCAATTTAACAATAGTGAATTTACAACTTGTACTGCAAGTTTTTTACGACTGATATTTTACGAATTTTTTTTCTGTTGCTTTTGCAATGTTTGCAACAGTCTAAATCCTGTGCAGTAGCCTGAAAACAAGACGACATACTGCGTACTCTTTGGCGACGGCTAAAATATATGCAACATTTTATGAGATTTTTATTAATTTTCGGTTGTGATTGTGTAGTCCTAAATATCCATTGATATGTATATTACATGGAACGTGCATTCCCAATATCGTTCGTTAGTACAAAAATTTGAAGCCGGAAATAGCTATAAGTAGAAGTTACTTATCGCAAGGAGAAACAAACGAAATTAACCAAAGAAAAGTATAATAATACTGTACTTTGTCGCCAATATTTTCTTAATAACATTGTGATAGGACCTTGTTGCATGTTATTCGCTCCGTGCCAAATGCGATTAAATGATATTAAATCTTCGAACGCGGAGTCATCGCATACAGGAAATTTTTCATTGTATTCTTTGTCCATGCCATGGTTAGATTCGCGCCACGTATTTGACGTTTTGTTAAATCCATACTAATATCATATTTTCCTCACCCGAGCACTGTAACAAGAGCGGACAAAAAATGCGAATAAGTATCGAACTGGCTAAATACGGCAACGGTGAAAATCAAGGGGTTTGCTATAACCCGAGCGATAATTGGAGACGCGCCTAATACCTTTCTGGTCAGCGGCAGAAGTCTTTACATAATAATCGCTAATGAGTACAATATGTTTCTTGTATAAAATAGCATAACACAAATCAACACAAAGTATATAGCACAGTGCCACATTGTATAATATGTTCATTTGGCTTTTACAAAATATGCTTTACTTATATTAATTATCGTCCAAGCGGCATCTCTGACACAAAACCTGTGGTCATTTTTATAACAGATGTTACTTCAAACGCGCATTGTGAAATATAGTAGTTCTTCAGCGTGAATCTGCAGAATGCTCAAAAATACAAGCAAACCTTCATTAGAGAAAAACTCGCAATTGTGCAAATTTTGGAAAATTGCTGCACAAGATACATTGATGGAACGGTGGAGCAAATGGAAAAACTTCTTGAACAATTTCATGTCTCGTAGTTTATTTTCAATTGTTGCACCATACTGCAAACAATTTGTAACATATTCCGAAAAACATTATCATGTAAACTCAAAATTTTAGTTATAATAGCAAGAAACAAAATCTAAAAGCATTATTTTGACTTTATTTCAAAGTCATTATAAAGCTAATGTAGCTAAGTTTACAAGATCATGTTTTGTTGAAGTATGTTTTGTATTTGTTACTTCAAATTGTCGGCTTAAAAAGGTTTTTGTAATTGTTGAACAGTTAACTTTCAAAGGCCGTCAAAATACGTAAACTTTGATAAATTGATTTCACACGTTAATATCCTTGAAAAGTGAAAGATCTTTTTGAATTTAGGTAATTGATTCTATCTCGTTTGTAAAAGCTGACAACCACTCAAAAAGAAGGGGCAATAAACGGTTTTCAGTTACAGGTAATCAACTCAACTGCATCACGCATCTTACCCCAAAATATACCGGGAAAACACTAAGAAATTTTCCACCAACGCATTTCATTTTTTTTTCTAGCACCGTCAGTGTTTTAAAGCAAGAAGGGAAATATTCCAATTCAGATTTTTTGAAATCCGTTTTTGATTGTGAGCAACGAAACAAGACATTGTTTAAATGAGAGCGCTAAAGTATTTATTTTCCGTTATGATATTTAAGATTTATTTGTGCACATTTTGTCTTGACACCACACCCTTTTATTTTAACCAACTTCTCAGGACAGGAGAGGCACTTGCAGACACGACGTAAAGAGTGACCATGATTATGAAGAAAAGGGATGGATTCCATTACAGAACAGTAGAAAACTGGGTTCCCTGCATGCCCAAGAGTCTGAATTTTAACTGCCAGGTGGAACATACAGAGTTTCAGAAACTTTAGGTGATTCAATGTTAACAGTACTATATTGTGCGAGCGAGCTCTTTTAGAACAGGCCCCAACGATGACATTCCTAATATTATATTTGATTAGTTACCACAAACGTCATCGTCTTGTGTTCAGTCATGTTCGATTGCCAGCAGTAACGGATTGCTAATTACCGGACCTGTAGGCTAAGGCAAAGTTGTGGGCTTTATTTCTCCCACTAACTCCAGTTAATTTTTTTGCTTTGGCATTTCCTTGTGCATTTAAACAGTAGATAGTACGAAAGCCATTTTCCTCAGCATTCAATTGATCGTTAAATTTTTTAAACGGCATAAATGATCTAAGTTAAACACATTTAGCTATCCCTGACAAGCAAAAACGTACAAATCCTAATTATGTTTAGATGCAACAGGCCTCTTGAAAGCCTGGTCCTGTGGGCTTAAGCCTATTTAGCATACGGGATAGTCCCCCTAGATGATTGACAAATGGATCAAATCGGTTTTGAATTGCGCTGGTACAGATGGCTATATTTAAGGGTCTATCAACGATGTCATCGTCAACCTCCAAGGCTAGAGTAGCTAGGGTGTCACTAGATCAAGAGATCATGAAAATGATAAACTGGTTGGGTACCTCTACCTTTACTCGTTTCTACTATCGAACAAACTTTGACCGTTCATACAATAGAGCAGTGCTGTCCCGGGCACTGTAATCACCGCATCCAGTTTGGGAAGATTGCTTTAAACAAGCATTGTTACATCGAAACTTCTGTGTTTGATATATATTTGGAAATTTTGCAAGGGCACACAGCACCCGCAGTAAAGTCAAGATTATATGAAAACACAAAAGTAAGATAGCTAAAACAATCCCTCCCACTCTCCCATTATGTCACGTTATGTTTTGTTTTCAAGAAAATGGTTGAAGCCCGGAGTATCGTTACATGTTTGTAGATTTAAATAGTCCAGATGAGTATAGAGTCCTTGAGAAGGACAGTTGATTTATGTTGGCTGATGTTTAGACAACCTCAGCGATAGTCATTTTCAGTTGTTGTTCTGCTCACATGAGTCTCTGTCGTGGACATATGGTGGGCCAATATTTTAGCCTTTCTATTGTAGTCTTTTTTAGTTTAGCTATTTATTACTTTTATTATGTTTAAAGTAAATGGTTTGAACCCGGGAGTATCATTACATGTTTGTAATTGTAGATCGTGCGGGTTGGTATAGTCCTAAGAAGGACTGTTTTTGTTGTTGTTGACTGACGTTTCGACAAACTTAGCGGTAGTCATTTGAAGAGTCAAATGAGGAATAACGTCCGGTTAGCCGTATTTGTTACCTGGTTCTTACGTCATTGTATTGTGTGTACAAGAAATGTGTACGCGAGTTATGAGGAATTAAGCATTGTTATAATTCACTTCTGTATTTTCGTATAATCTCAACTTTACTGGGGGCGCTGAGCGCCCGTGCAAAATTTCCAATTTTATGTGTTAGATACGGTAAAACAGAGTAAGCCGTAGTAAAATTTACTCGCTTTCTAGAGCTGAATGAAGTTTCAGTTTTTCACTGTAAAAATTAGTGCTGTTATGAGCACGAATTATCTACTATATATGATTCTTTAATCGACACAAGCTGGTACCGGTTTGACTTCGTTCCGGTCTCATGTAAACAGGGCCTTATTAGATGTTTGTGTTCCCCTTTTTTTGGAATCAAAATTCTGAGCGATCGTGCCTTCCAACAAGATACTTCAGCAAGATCGTAATAGAAATTAAAGAAGAATTTTACAAGTATATCATTTTTTACGAAGTAAACCGAATTTGTCTTGAAAATTTTGCTGTCAATTTGTGTTAGACAGGAAGTACACTTCAAAAAATCGAATTAAATAGGATTTATCCAACGAAAAGTCTTTATTCATCGGAAAATTCTTCGCAGTCTGAAATTCTTGCTGACATTTTTCTCAGGCCAGTTTCTATTACGAATGCTTCTTGATGAACGACGGGTTAGATTTGCATGATTGTACATATTATTACATATGTTTCACTGTAACATAATTGCGAGAAGATTTGTTGGCGGAAATACTTCACGATTGATTAGCAAGCTGTGGTTGGTGCACATTTTACAAACAACTCGATATGGGATACTGGGGCATGAGTGAAATGAAACTAGAATTCCTAGGAGTTTCTTGAGAATATTTGTACCAACATTTTTTAAATGATGTTCTTACATAGAAGAATTGTTCCATCAAGTTCTATCTCGACGACCGAATTTTGTTCCAAGTTCTAAAACCAAGTTATATCTGGACGATCGACTCAACGATCAACATCCTCATCGTCCAACCAAGTTTCCATTTGATCGCTGAGCCAAAAATAGCTATTTTTTCGACGATTGACGATTCGACGATTACATGGAAACCGAGCTTTACAATTACGTACTGTTTTCAAGACAATACAGCTACGACAATATGGTATGTGTTTTTTTTCGAATTTTGTTCACCAATAATTCTATTTTGTTACATAAAAAAAGAGGGTATGTGTTATATATATTACAAATGCTAAATATAGTATAGAGTTATACTCCGTGTAAATTCAGGGCTTTAATATTTATGATAAGAATAATCATAACTTAAAGTTGTCCATTTCAAAATTTAAAATTAAGAATTTCGTATTGTAGATGAAATATACTGTCAAAGATTGCTTACATTTACATATTCAAGGAGCTTGAAGAAAAATCATTTTCTATCTTTGCACGTTTGTCTACAGAATATCGGTTGTACGTTTCCTTCACGAAAACTAAAAGCAAAGTGGACGCTGCACAAGTGCCAATAGTGGCCCATAACATCCACTTTGTACCCAAATGTCCCAGAGGTACAACCAAAAAAATTGATTGCAAAAAATTATTGAAGAACATAACAGAACCGGATGTTATACCCTCGGCTACCGGGTATGTCAACTCGACTCCTAACTCATAAAAGAGTGGTATTGTTCCGTTGAGAAAAAATCCACTGAGGCTAAACAAAACGTAGACTAAGCCTTTGTTAAATCCAATAACTCGAGTAAAAACGTAATAAATCAACAAAATAGCAAACAACGAAAAGGCCATGAACACAATAAGTAATAATTTCAAGTGTCCGGTAAAACGATCGGCGAATCTAAAAATCAAAATATGAAAACCAGAATATGAAAATCATCACGCGGGAAAAATAGTATGTAATTTGTACGACTACAAATCAATCAAAACACGAAGAAAACAATGAAAAAGCAATTTTCCCTCTTTAAAAAACAAAAACAGATAATTCTATAAAACACACTTTAAACAACCAAAAGTCTTTGTACAAGATATATTTCGTTTTTACACAAGACATCATTAGACAATGCAAAATAATCACATTAAAATTTACATATAATGTACTTTGTTACAGGTGTTAAATAACATCGAGTAAGTGTGACTGGACAAAAATAAAGTGTGATTTAGGATACTCGATGCAGCTACACAAAGTGGTGGATATGAACACAAAAATTAATGGTGTATACGTAAAGGCTTGAGTGAGATGAAACTGTCTATGTCTGCTTTGGGCATTTACAGTCATTTGCAATTAACCGCGAGGCGTGCACAAATGAAACGTGCGTTATAGTTTCAAAACTTGGCGTTACTAACGGCTAACTTGACGTTACTATACAGCTATCTCATTGTTTCTAAGGCGTAACCCCGAGATAACATTGGTTAATAACAAAGTGTCGCTTTACGAGTCTACGACACACTGTGTCTCACCAATACCAACTTAAACTGTTATATCTTACGATAGAGTTTAACGTTTTCAAAAGTCTTTCCATCCTTGCCAAATTTCAACATGTCGCAGTTGTTTATTAAATAAAAACAACATTTTCCACAACATAACGCGTGCGCCTTAGCAACAATGAGTTAGCCGTTAGTAACGTCAAGTTTTGAAACTATAACAAACGTTTAATTATGCACGCCGCACAGTCAATTGCAAAAGGCTGCATTGTGAAAGTGAGCTTTCATTAATCATTAAGTCAGGGGAGCAGTATGATGAAGATAGGATAACAAAATCATTAATGGAAGCTTAGGTTATTTTGTTACGTGTGACTAGATGTTTCATTATGGATAAGATGCTGGATGGTGGTAGGGTATAATGACTGTTTTCCAGGTATGAGATGATTTGTGTGGTTTGAATTCGAACTATACACGATGCAGTTCACCGGTAACATGAACTTGACATGATAAAAAATAACAAATCTCAAGAATTTGGGAATATTGTCCTTCAATGAAAAAAAAACAAGAATGCTTGTAGAATGACAGAAAACAATTGCAAGACTTATATAAGGGAATGCCGGCAGCATTGTAGAGGTGTTTAAGTTGAGTGCGTATTTGGAAACAAGTGCGAGCCTGTGCAGGAAAAAGATCAAATCTACCAACAAGTTAACGGGTGAGTAACCCTTCGGACTACTTTTTGCTACGATCTTTATATCAATTCATGCACAGAAATGGTTAAAAACTGCCCTCAATCTTTCAAACCACTTCTATATACATACTACGTTGACGACGCCTTTCTTCTTCTAATGTGCCAACGTATGACTTAGCGATTAGCACTGTTTTGATCACATACATCTGTTCCTCTGTTCCCTTAATCAACAACACACAACATGACGTTCACCTCTGAAACGGTCAAACGAACTTCCCTTTTTGGACAAGGATATTACATTTCGATGAAAAATTATTGAATCAGTGTATCAAAACTTCACATTCATGCACTGGACTTTTCACACATTTCTTCAGCTTTATTTCTATTACTTTTAAGCGTTGCCTAATTTTTACCAATATTCATCGCGCTTAGTTTCAATCTTTATTCAAGATACAAAAACTTTCACAATCAACTCCAAAATGGTTAGAAACTCTTTGATAACCAACGGTTTTCCCCCTCAAATATTTAATAGCATTGGTCGTTGCTCTCTTTACATATTCTACCCCAAAACCAACACTTTCACTGCGCCAAAGCTCATCTGCTTTCCCTACACAGGATGACCCTCTCTTCAAATACGCCCCCCAAGTTAATCGCAAAGGCAATGCCGCCATCACTCACATGAGTGATAGATTTGTATTCCGCCCTTCCACAAGCATGGAACAGATTCCCAACAGTCTTAAAATATATTATTGTTATCACTTCAAGTGTCGATGCTGTACCGTGTCGCAAGTGGAACCAAACCATACGCCATCTTCATACCAGAACACCTGGGATTGTCTTTAACAGGTGATGCCTTACCACATCTAGCATCTTATCCCATATTAACACATCAGATCACACAGCCTCCTCTGATGTTTTAACTTTATCTTTTCATCGCTCTACCCAACTTGAGTTAATGTACAAGGATAGTCTTGTGATCTCTAATCTCACACCCAAACTGAACGTCCAAGAGAGTTTCATCCTACTCCAGTTTTTTTAAGTAGGTACATTTTATATCCATATCCATCAAATTATGTATTTTTATCCTCACTCACATGCACTTAGTACTTTTTTCTTTGTTCTATTCGTCACTTAAATCTCACTGCAATTTAAATCTGTAACTACGCTCATAATATGTAAATTTTCATATGTAAACGAGCAATATGATTTCAATGACTTAGAACCCAGTCTACTAGATATTAGACTCCGCCAAAATTCTATAATTACGATTGAAGTATTGATATGCAGATTACATGAATCGCGCATTCCAAATATAGTAAGGGCAAAAAATTAAAGCCGGAAGTAGGCAGCTATGATTGGATGCGGCCCCATATTGAACAGTCACACTCGTAATAATAATCTATAGTAAAGAACCACGATAGCAATTTTGGAATAAATCCTTTCTTAACAGTACAACTGCTTCCAACACTTAATCTTTTTAAAGCTAATACGTAGGAGTTTTGTCAATGCATCATAAGAGACGCTTCTCGCAATTTTTCATAACAGAAGTTGATATAATTTGTATGTCAATCTCGTGAAGTGGGACTGTTCAATATGGCCGCCTTCGGGCTTCAAATTAATTAGTGATGCGCGATCCATGCATTGAATTATAAATATACTGGAATGATAACTCAGGGAGGAAAATTGAAGCCGTGTTTTGTAGGTAGTGCTAGTCCTTTGTAACCTTAGTTTTTCAAAAAAAACACTTTATATATCGCTAAATTTCACCCTTTTCTCTTTGTTTATAACCTTCAATATTTAGCTTTGACTATAGTTGAAGCATTAACTTTTTCACTCAAGTAACTACATTGAACAAAGGTCGTTTAGTTTCTGAAATATTATCTGACAAAAATAAAAGTTGGCATTAAACCGCGCGAAAATATTCGCTTTTTCTGAGTTATAAGAAGTAAATATAAGAAGTCATAATAACAAGTAAAGATTCTCGCAAAAAACTATTTAAAAAGCCTTATTCATGTGATGTATAAATACAAATAACATATTTCAAGTAAACTATGTCCTATTTTTGTATGTTGTGAGTAAAAAACCCGATAAAAAGGAAAAGAAAATAAGCACATCGCATATCACGAATAAGCAACATTTTAATATAAAATGTCTTTATATATTTTTTAGCATTTTCCGTCTTGTAGTAGTTTGTCGGATCAACCTCGATTCTTGTCGATTACGTTTTTCCACGTAAAAATCTCGCTAGGTAAAATGGTACAATGCTGAAAAATTGTCGAAAAAACGACCAGAAATAAAATTTTTTGACGGAATTCCCGTTGCCAAAGGTAAAAACAAACATCGATCGCCAAGAAAATATGCACTATTTCAGGGGGGAGTAGAAAAATTTTAGACGTATGTTAGCTTCATCCAATCACAGGGCATTCTTATTTTAGTTATCATTCCAGTATATTTATAATTCAATGGATACATGTTATACATATCAATGGAGTTAGTCCGTATATTGTGGTACTATATCGTTCAGCTTCATTTGGTAAAACTGAGTAAATTTTTGCCATCTTGACATTTTCGACTACGCTGAATCAAAATCCGAAGAATTACCAAGTCGTAGATCAGCAGTTTTTTTCTAATTCGCAGTTTTAGTCATCACTCATCAGGTACGTTTACTAAGATGTATATTAGACTGGATAACGCATCTCTTGCGAAAATTGAAGCCGGAAGATCGACCATTTGCTACTGGCTTCATGGGGGTATCGGTCCAACTTTACTATACTTTGTATTACAAAATCACAGTTTTCGCGTTTTTATTCCTTATACAAACTCTGAAGCTCTGTTTTTTTGTCTTTGTAACGACTGAAAAATAAGATGGCAAGTTGTATTGAAATTTGAAAGATGAAGGTGACGAGGACAATTTCAGCCGTGCGAGACATTTTTAGAAGATGAATACTTAAATTACAAATTTACAACAAAGTAAGAACAAAGGTATTCATATCTTTAACCTATTCATCGATATTGAAGTTGTTCACATAGGAACTGGTTGAAAACTTTGCATCGCTTAATGACAACAGAGTACATTTATTCGCATATTTTGATGATGTACATCTCGTAGAGTTTGATGATACCGTTTTCAACTTACTATTGTTCATCAAAATGTCTTTCTGATTATTTATTTTGTTTCTTTACTGATATAATAAAGACGCAATTTGAAATTATTATGATATTAGCGATGTGAATAACAAATTGTTCTTAAGTAAATTTGTAGCAATCTTCCATAAACGTCATTGCAGATGAAATTTTGGTAGCAGTAGTAGGATTCTGTACTATTTCTACATTTTTTAAGAAGCAGCAACATCATATAATCTCCAGCTTGTTTCAAAACAATGCAAGTCGACCTTGTACCATCTCAATTTTCTGCCATTATAAAGCCAAACTTTTTAGGATTAAATATTGTTGCCGGTTGTTCTGTTCCTTTCACAAAAATTTTGCACGAATCGAAACTTTGTAGAACGAATAAAAACGCAAAAACTGTGATTTTGTAATACAAAAAAAAGTGAAGTGGGACCGATACCCCTAAGGTCATAATTAGATTAGCCAACTTCCGGCTTCAATTATCTTACTATATTTTATACATAGATGCGTTATCCAGTATAATATACATATCAGTGGTCTGGGGTAAAATCTCGCGTGTCTGGCGTAAGATATGGCTTCAATTATTTGCTTGAGGTTGCGTCCCATGTATTTTAGTTCAATGGTCATAACATACGGACTAAGTGAAGCAAGCCGCCATGTTGAAAGGTGGCAAAACTGAGGATATTTACAATTGATAACTGCTTTTTTTGAGTTTATGTACAGTGGCTAAGTTGACAGTCTAGGTTTAATTTTTAAAATATTTGATAGGATTGGGTTTTTAAACCTTCGTTTAGCATATTTTGAGTTTTGTATTTTTCTAGCTTCCAAAGTGGGTTCTAAATCATTGGATGATTTCAAATTTCTCTCAGATGCCATGTGTAAAAACCAAACGTTACTTTAAAAATATTTTTCTTCAAATGGGCATGCTTAAAATTTTATGTTGTGTAAGTTCTTTTCAATACAAATCTGACAAGATATAGCAAGGTATATACTTACACGGAAAACGAGACGCCGGAAACGGCACCGCTCATAACAGCAACAAAGCCAAGCCACTCGGCAAAATGCTCATTCACATCAATGCCATACCCGGAAAGATTCTGATACAAGACAGCACACCAGCCACCATAGACACCCGTTGTCGCTCCGTAAATCGTTGCAAGAAGAAGAAAATTAAAGTTTGTAATCAGACGTCTGGCACCATCTTTAAAATCAACACGAACCGTGGCCGCTGAATGACTGGGTGGACTGGGAGGTTTGGATGGATAATATACAAAGACAAAAAAGAAAAAGACTGCTTGCAATCCAGATTGGGTGTATAACAAACTATTGATTTGCTTTTGGTATTTTGCTTCTTCAGTTTCGTTTAATCTGTAGTTATCACCAACTTTAACAGCATTCGAATCTTTGACATCGTCGACAAAGCTGGGTCCGACAAGAAACGACAAAGATGTACCCACATAAGACGCGACACTTGAAATGGCAGTGGCAGTAGTGCGTTGAGAGGGAGGGAACCAAGTTGAAGAAAGAAGAGGAGCAGCAGCTATACCACTTGCTAAACCAATGATTATCTGACCGCAATGAATCAAAGCAGTCGAGCTTGTCGTGCTGCCAGTTGGAATAAATCGTAGAACTGAGCCCACCAACGTGAATCCTGCAGATAACAGTAAACCAACACGTAAACCTAAATAAAGACGAGAAATCTATCAAAGCTTAAGAAGTTTGAGACGATAGAAGAAACTGATCTTTAATGATTCGTTTCAACAAATAACGTAAAGCAGAACTAATATAGACTCGATCTCTCGATTATCTAATCACTTCAATATTGCACTACATAATCACGTGATACGTCAACATTGATCTCAAAGTCTGTGACATCAGTTAACACCGATCTTTTAATGCACGACAATCTGATTTCGTTGTGCACACTGTTAGACATCGTCTAATTGTTCCACACGTTTTCGTAAAGAATGTGTGCCAACAAAGATGCATTGCGGGTTTTATTTATGTTTTTATTGTTAACTTTTAGGCTTGCGGCACCCTGACACAACGTTTACTCTACTCCATATCGGTATAAAAACGGCGCAAAAAAGTAACAGAACAGGGTTGCATTTATACTGCACAGTAGCGGATTCTTTGAAAACGTCACTTTTCCGGAGCGATTGACCACACTTTCTAAACGTGGTCGAACGAAAACGGAGCGCTACGCATCGTCGTGTAAATAGCTAACCGTTAATATTTCGCTACACTTTAGATACCAGTCCACTTTAATTCGTACCGCGTTGTGGCGCATAATTAAAAATGGTGATCATTTTATGTTTTGGAAAGCTTTTAATGACTGATTCCGTTGTAACTATTGAAAATCGATGTTTTTTATGACCTGTGGCTAGAGATATAAACATCCAGCAATATACAAATAAGAAATGGTGCAATTTTATACAAACAACTAACGAATTTCGACAGCTAGAGACAATATGTGTAAACACCCGCAAAACTGCAGTGGAATTCAAACGGATCAGTGTAAACGCAGTCAAATTCTGCGGTAACTTTTTCGATCCGGCGTAGTGTAACGTAGTCTGAATTCAATTTTGTCACTACGCTGTCTAATTTATCTGAAAAATTAGCAAAAAACAACATAGATTAAAATAGGTACCAACATTTACACCAACATCTGCATCTACATTAACATCGACATCAACACCAATATCAACACCAACATCTACATCTCCATCTCCAATAACATCAACATCAACATCAATACCAACATTTACACCAACATCTACATCTACATTAACATCAACATCAACATCAACACGAACATCAACACCAACATCTACATCAACATCAACATCAACACCAACATCAACACCAACATCTACATCTACATTAACATCAACATCAACATCAACACGAACATCTACATCGCCGTCGTTATGGTCTTTAATTCCATCGTTAGTAGAGACCTTGAAGTTGTAGCCGTACATAAAAAAATTATTCACTGTTTCAAGTCATAAGATACTTGTTTTTTGACGTTGCAAACATAAATACTGCGACTACACTCTGGTTGCCGCATTAAAATTCAACTCCCCCAACTCAATGCCACAAAACGCCAGGCATGTCGTCGGCCAACAAATTTGTGATTTTTCAAACATACCACCTTTTTTGTCAAATACTTTCAACCCAAACCAATGAAACAACTCCGACAAACTTTAAAAAATCGCTGACTGAACGCAAACAAAACGGTAAAGTGAAGTCAACATAATCTCCCTTCCAGACCAGAACATTCAGAGAAAATAGCGGTTTGAAAGATGTGTGAGGACAATGCGATTGGCGATTTTTATATCCACTTAGCTACAACCCTCATTGCATCTGGCCTGCTATAAATGATCCGGAGAAAAGGCATCTGAAACTTCACTATATAGCAGAAGAGAAAAGTTCTATTTTTTAATACTGTCAAACACAAAGTTTGGACTGGCTTCACAAAAATTTTCTTTCGGAATGAATTATGACTTACGTAACAACAAGTAACAGTTAAGTAATCAAAATAACATGCGATATTTTCATGATAAAGAGAAACTCTTCGTCGTCGTCCGTATAACCAACTGTATCCAAGGGTTACGACAGAAAGATGGACTTTTTTCAGTATAGTATAGTGGTTAACCGCGCATGCATACGCGAGCAGATACTCACGAAAACTCAATTTTACATTAATTATTATCATTGGTCTGTTGAACCACAATAAAAACATCCTCCATATTCTTGGCACACAAAATGGACGTTACGCTGTGATTAACGCGTAAGGCGTCTTGGTTGACACAAAAATTCATGAAGTAATATTTATTACCTTTAACGTCCACAACCCAAGCAAAAGGCAACATAGTGATACAAAACGTGACGCTTCCCCAGGCAGCAATAAGATCGATAACCCATCCATCCCATTTATAAACCGCCCGAGCTGTCGTCTCAATTGGACCAAAAGTGTTCCACATCGCATTCTGCATGATTCCAATGATGCAGTACATAATTAAGATATACCAACGTCTCTTGTACACTCGCGTTTCAGATTGCCCGATGTACGAATGATTAGAAGTAACTTTAGGAGGTAACAGACTTTCATCGGCTTTGTTTGGACTTCTAGAACCATTGCGCTGAATACCATTGCTCATCTAAAAATGTAAGAGTGAATGTGAATTGCACAGTATTGTAAGCAAAGGCCCTGGGAACGAGTTTAGGAGAGTTTCGCCTGAGAAAGAGCTACTTACACACGATTTATTTAACGATAAAAATGTCATGCGATTGATGCTCATTTTTAAATGATAACTCGTTCACTTGTTTGCTATTTTATTTCTTATTTTCACGCTCAAACTTCAAATCCACCATATAAGACTGAGTAAATTTTATATTTCAGTAGTAGTTGGCCAACTTCCCATTATTTTATAATGAACAATTAGTTGTTAGTTTTCGCTGAAGTTTTCATATCTGTATGGCATGATTCCAACATTACAGCACGTTCCAGGCACCGTTATAAATGACCAGCAAGACGATAGTGTTGTAAGCTTTATTTAAAAACAGCGGAAGCACGAAAGCAGTAAAGTTTAGTAAATAATGAAGACTAAAAATACTACAAAATATAAAAGCGACTTTAAACATTTAACGAAATCGCCAATGTTGACAGATTAAGCGCACAGTTATCTTGAACTTGTACATTGTGACAGTATCTTATTTGGATGAATTAATCTAAGAATGGGCATCGACCAATCGGAGCATGCGTGGGACGTTGCTCGAGTTACTGAAAGTATTCATGACATCAAATTTGACCAAGGTGTTTTTTTATTGAAATGTAAAGGCAATTTAAAATGACTTAATAATTCTTCAAAAGAATTTTGTTATTCTATTTCTTTTTGAAGCAATGTAACTTTTCTTCATTTTGCATCGTTATGAAATCACAATGATCACATTGCATAATTAGCATTAGGGAAAACTAATTTTTGTCAACATTATATTAAAATATGTTATTTTGGCATTTTAAAAATAATTATGTACACATGTGTTCATGAAACTATTGTATGCTATTGAACTGCATATATTGTTGCAAATGCTCATAGAATCGATTCAACTATCTAAAGAACTTTCCCTGATTCTGACGTAGGCACTTTAAATCTTGCTTTCTTCCCGTGTTTTGGATCAGACTATTCAAACATGGAAACTAGTAAGTGTTCAATACTTAACAGGCAACAGTAAAATTGGTAACTCGATTTGTTGGAATTTACCATTTTATCTTATTTGGAATGAACTGACTGATGAACACGTTATAGAATGACTATATCTTTATTAAGTCATCAAATAAACATTTATGGCTTGTTGGATAGTTTTCTTGTAGTTATTAGTTCGTAGGTATGGGCTTTGCATGTATACATGTATATGAATATCCCACCCTCCTCATTACCATTCTAGAATTGGCCCTTTGAACAGCTATTTTCATCTTCTCTATATTAATAATTGCTTGTGTATTGATAATTATGATTTGTTGACTCAAGTTGATGTTCTTCTCATCTTTCAGTGAAATGGAATATTCAATATTTACCTGATAATTGTTGTTCTCCATGTCATTATTAATAATGAATAAAAATTAAGTACAATAAGTTATGTTATTTCATTTTATAGGATAAATAAATGTCTGTAACCAGAATGTGCATTAAAACTCACATCTGGATCCAGAAAATTTATGTTAAATTCTGAATATTAAGACAATAATTGCATTGGTCGGACTGTTTAACCGAGCACAATTGATTTGCAGACTTACTTCAACAAATAACATACCAATTTATTCAACCTAAGGCTTAATGATGATCATTTTAGTTTTAAAAGGGCATACAATCAGTATAATTTCCTTGCTTCATGTCAATTTCTTGAATTGTTCTGTTATAGGTTTGCTATTATTGTTTTAATGTGTAAAAATTTGTTGAATATGATTCAAAAATATAGCACACTTGTCAGTATACTTGGTTTTTTCTGGCACAGAAAAACTTGCAGGTACCCTAGCAAGGTCTAAGTTTGTAGTACAACAAATTCTTTATATTCTTATTCATTCAAACCTTATTGCTCAAAAATTCTGGTCAGTAATTGTTCAGAGAGTCATTTTTATTTATACTTTTAATAAGTGCGCATAAGTTATCTTGACCATGGTTAGCTGTTTTCAGGCACAACAACCAATCAAGTACATAAGATCCTAAAATCTGACACTCTTACATTAAATCTTACATTAAAGAAGTATTTAGATACATTGATGAAAAAACATTGTGCACAACTAATGATCAATTACTTTCTCCCATACAACCAAATATATATATCACATACAGTGGTTCTTATAGGCAACTACATTACATAGTTTGCTCAGATATTGTTTCCATTGCGAATATTGCTAGCATTTTCGATCACTGCTACAAATTGGCTTGCCTAATAACAAGTGATGCATTTTGTTTATGAAACTTAAAAGACTGGGCCACAAAGAAGATTGATTTTACCTAACTCTATAAACAGTACTATAATGTATGATATATTTTGTTAGTCAAACTCAAAAGGGTGATACATACTATTTATGAACTCAACTCAAATAACTGCAACATAATGGGTGATACATTTTGCTAATGAAACTCAACTCAAAAGAGTGCACCATATTGAAAGTGTGATTCATTTAGTTTATCAACTTGAAAAACTGTACTACAACCATTTATATTAATTTTACTTGTAAGCATGTCATAGAATGTCACCTAAGGTAATATATAACCATTTTCCTCAGCTGTGAACAGATTACACTATGAAAAAAAACAAAAGCTTCTCGCTTTCGTATGTTAATTAGATTGTAAATATAGAAAGCAAAAACTATATACACCAAAACTACGTGAATTTATTCTGGGAAATGTAATCATTCGAAGAAACCGTTTTTAGAATACATCCAACATGGTGACATGAAATACATACTTCAAGTACATACTTCAATTGTTGATGTACTGGAGAATTTACAACTTTAACTCATGAGCAACGGTGTTTCTTTTCAACATATTTATATTTTTCTACAATTTTACATTTTAATACAATTATTGTTTTGGACAGTACTTCAACAGTGCGTGTTTATCATTAAACTTATTAAAACTTCTACAGTTAGAATCACATATAAAGCATACGTCGTTGTAATTAAAATTAACGAAGAAAAATAAAATGAAAAAAATTACCTGTGCAAATTTCCAAAATCGAATTTCCTCGAATGATATTTGTAAAGCCAGCTGTTTCTAATGTAATAAATTGTAATTATTCCAACCAAATTATAATGCATATTTACATGTAAAACTAGAAGTTACTATCGCAGTGAGAAGTGCTGCTCCTCTCATCCCACCCTCCCCTCCCCCTTCCCTTGTCAATAAAAATTGCCATGAATAATCGGACACCTTTAGATCTACAACTTCGTGTACAGCATATTAAAGTGTTCGGTGTTCTAGCATATGTTGCAAATTAACTTGGATAAAATACTTCAAGATAAATCAAGGGGTTTGCTATAACCCGAGCGATAATCGGAGACGCGCCTAATAGCTTTCTGGTCAGCGGCAGAAGCCTTTACATAATAATCGCTAATAAGTACAATATGTTTCTTGTATAAATTTTCATAACACCAATCAACAGAATACAGCACAGTGCCCACATTGTATTATATGTTCATTTGGCTTCTACAAAATATGCTTTATTTATATTAATTGTCGTGCAAGCGGCATCTCTGACACAAAACCAGTGGTCATTTTTATAACAAATATTGCTTCAAACGCGCATTGTGAAATACAGTATTAATTCAATGCGTAATGCAACGTTTGCGCCCTGCATATATTTTACACACTTCCTCTTTTAATATTTTGTACGTTATCAATCTATATGATTGCGCCCATCCTACTTTCTTAGCACACTGTTGTGTCCAGCTTCAACTACGTTAAAAAATTTAAAGGACATCGGCAACGAAAATTTTTAGGGCATATTTTTGAACCTTTGTGATGTCTAACAACTAATATAGCAAATTTTTTTTCAAAAATATTTTGTTGCTGAGATATTTGCAGCAAAAGTTTTATAAATTTCGCCATCTTGGATAAAATTTTGATAAAATTATCTCGAGCGGTATTGACGTCATTGGCTGGTAAGCAGTCAAAACAACAATACAATATACTTCGTGATTGACGGCGTTACAACACATTTAAAGCATATTTTACGGGGTTTTTTGCTGTAATGGATGACATACACGAAAATCAACTGGGTTAGGTTCTGTCCTATCAATATGAACCTGAAATGAAGGCCGAAACAAGTGAAGAAAGCGGTTCCGAACAGGAGAGTGAGCGGGGCGACTTGTCCTCGTCGAGGATGAAATAGATGCTAAAGTTGAGAGAGCAAATGCTTGGCGCCTTCAAACTCTAAGTGTGGACATACTTTGTCGAAAAAGGCAATCGAATGTTTTTGTTGCTTGGAAAAAGCGCTTGAATACGATGAGTATGAGGCTTTGCTAGGCCAAACAGAAACTCAAGGAGAGTATTGCTTGACAACACACCAAGAATTTAGGGACAATATGCTGTCAGAAAGTGTGTTAAAGATAGACGTGTGTCGGTATCTTGAAGAAAACTGCCCTCTGTCTGATGAGCTGGCGAGAATACACAAGCTGCATCGATTAGTCGCATATCAAAGATGTTCTAGGTGGATTTTTCAAATTTTAGGGAATAAACATCGAAGACCATTTCCTGCTTGTGCTTATGCTAGCATACGAAAACCCTTCGCGTCACCAGACGGACTTCATACACATTTTAAATACGCATATTATCACGAGAGACCGTAAATTTAGTCTTAGACAGACGCTCTCTTATGTTCTTTGTTATGATCTGCAATTGCGATGCCATATCATTGTCGAAGGATTGTCACGAACTGCGCAAAAGCAAAATGCATGAGTGATTCACCCAAAACTTGTATTCATTCATAAGTTATAAAGTTAATTGAAAAGTGTACGTGTACATTTTGCACGCAAACACGCACGTAAAACATTACGAATAAACGAAACTCTACAGTCATGAACAAAACATAGCGGCTTATAGCTTATCACCTATATAAAACTACATAATCTCGCAAAGACTCTTATGTATATAAATAATAAATTAAACGTATAACTCTTTGTTGGTCACAGGTTTGTAATATGGAAAATGAAATATTTCTATTGCACGAAATGTTCAGTGTACAAAACGTGCTTATTATTGTCTGGGCTTACACTTGGTATGTCGCGAAAGCCTAGTTGTAAGATCTGCTGAAATAAACGTTTCTACGTCTTAATATTGGAAAAGTATTTAAGCGTGATATACTACACAACTTTTGTTAATCTTAACAACCGCCGACTGTTGTTTTTGTTTTAAAATTCCAGGGAACAAATGTGCTATATATTATTACAATACTGTTATTTTATATTGTGTCATTCAGTTGTTACCAGCCAATGACGTCAATAATGTATTCTGGCATAATTTAGCATAAGGCTTTTTTCCAAAATGGCGGATAAGGATTCAACTTTATGTCAAATTTTTCAACAGCAAAATTCAAAAGAGACACGAAAACACGAAATTAAGTATTCCATAGCTATCTATGATAAACGTATGAAAAAAAATTTTATTGCCATTGTCCTTTAAACATTGTACAATGAACATTGTATCTTTATGTTTTATCATTGAAGTATGCTGTAGTGACGTCAAATTTACGTATGAGATTAAATCTAGAAATTACTATTAGATCCTAGGAAATAGCCTATCCTCAATGCCTATACTCATTATGCTGAATATTCGCGCACTTTTCAATGTACATATAGGTACTTGCGTTTTTCAAGTGCTTTATCGGTCTCGCCTTAACTGCACCTAGATAGCCTATCCTTAATTAATATGTTAAATATTCGCACACTTTTATTTTTACGTACATGTACTTGAGTTTTTCAATTGTTTTATAGGTCTCGCCTTAACTCAACCTAGTTAAGAAAAAATATAAAAACCTCGCATCAAAATTGAAAACAATAGTGCGCACAATGAGTGTAAAAACATTACTGGCTCGTGGAATGAAATTCAAATAAAGCGTTCGAGTGTTTACTCTGACTCATAATTAATCATTTAAATAGACTAAAATATATTAAGGAACAAATTTCGTGTTTCAAACTCGGTGTATGGTGCAAACAATTCTTTAGCGTGAATCTGCAGAATGCTCAAAAAAAAGAAAACTTCCTTAGAGAAAAAATCTGTAAATTCTGAAAAAATGTGTGCAAATTCTGAAAAATTGCTGAAAAGATACATCGATGGAACAGTGGAGCAAATGGAAGAATTTCTTGAACAGTTTCAGGTCTCGTAGTTTATTTTCAATTGTTGCTCCATACTGCAAACAATTTGTAACATATTCCGAAAAACATTATCATGTAAACTCAAAATTTCAGTTACAATATTAAAATATCAAAAATATCAAAATTTACTCAAAATTTCAGTTTTTGTTTTTTTGCGCCAGTAAAGTTGAGATTATATGAAAACACAAAAGTAAGATAAAACAACCCTCACACCCTCCCATTACATCACGTTATGTTTTCTTTTCACGTAAATGGTTGAAGCCGGGAGTATCGTTACATGTTTGTAGATTTAAATCGTCCAGGTGAGTTTAGAGTCCTTGAGAAGGACAGTTGATGTTTATGTTGGCTGATGTTTAGACAACCTCAGCGATAGTCATTTTCAGGTGATGTTCTGCTCACATGAGTCTCTGTCGTGGACATCTGGTGGGCCATTATTTTGGCCTTTCTATGTAGTCTTTTTTAGTTTAGTTATTTATTACTTTTATTACGTTTATTGTCATTAACTTATAGTTGTTTGGTCGCTGAATACGAACTGATGTAAAGTTAGTTGGTGATTGGACTATGACGTTGTATTTTAGAACTTAGTCTTCATCAGCTGTGTATTGCGAGTTATGAGGAATTAAGCATTGTTATAATTCACTTCTGTATTTTCGTATAATCTCAACTTTACTGGGGGCGCTGAGCGCCCGTGCAAAATTTCCAATTTTATGTGTTAGATACGGTAAAACAGAGTAAGCCGTAGTAAAATTTACTCGCTTTTCTAGAGCTGAATGAAGTTTCAGTTTTTCACTGTAAAAATTAGTGCTGTTATGCGCACGAATTATCTACTATATATGATTCTTTAATCGACATAAGCTGGTACCGGTTTGACTTCGTTCCGGTCTCATGTAAACAGGGCCTTATTAGATGTTTGTGTTCCCCTTTTTTTGGAATCAAAATTCTGAGCGATCGTGCCTTCCAGCAAGATACTTCAGCAAGATCGTAATAGAAATTAAAGAAGAATTTTACAAGTATATCATTTTTTACGAAATAAACCGAATTTGTCTTGAAAATTTTGCTGTCAATTTGTGTTAGACAGGAAGTACACTTCAGAAAATCGAATTAAGTAGGATTTATCCAACGAAAAGTCTTTATTCATCGGAAAATTCTTCGCAGTCTGAAATTCTTGCTGACATTTTTCTCAGGCCAGTTTCTATTACGAATGCTTCTTGATGAACGACGGGTTAGTACACATGATTGTACATATTATTACATATGTTTCACTGTAACATAATTGCAAGAGGTTTTGTTGGCGGAAATACTTCACGATTGATTAGCAAGATGTGGTTGGTGCACATTTTACAAACAACTCGATATGGGATATTGGGGGCACGAGTGAAATGGAACTAGAATTCCTAGGATTTCCTTGCGAATATCTGTATCAACATTTTTTAAATGATGTTCTCAAATAGAAGAATTGTTCTATCAAGTTCTATCTCGACGACCGAAATTTGTTCCGAGTTCTAAAACCAAGTTCTATCTCGACGATCAACATTCCTAATCGTCCAACCAAGTTTCCATTTGATCGCTGAGCGAAAAATAGCTATTTTTTCGACGATTGACGATTCGACGTATATATGGAAACCGAGCTGTACGATTACGTACTGTTTTCAAGACAATACAGCTACGACAATATGGTATGTGTTTTTTTTTCGAATTTTGTTCACCAATAATTCTATTTTGTTGCATAAAAAAAGAGGGTATGTGTGATATATATTACAAATGCTAAACATGGTATACAGTTATACTCCGTGTAAATTCAGGGCTTTAATATTTATAAGAATAATCATAACTTAAAGTTGTCCATTTCAAAATATAAAATTAAGAATTTCGTATTGTAGATGAAATATACGGTCAAAGATTCTTATACATTTACATATTTAAGGAGCTTGAAGAAAAATCATTTTCTACCTTTGCACGTTTGTCTACAGAAGATCGGTTGTACGTTTCCTTCACGAAAACTAAAAGCAAAGTGGACGCTGCACAAGTGCCAATAGTTGCCCATAACATCCACTTTGTACCCAAATGTCCCAGAGGTACAACCAAAAAAATTGATTGCAAAAAATTATTGAAGAACATAACAGAACCGGATGTTATACCCTCGGCTACCGGGTATGTCAACTCGACTCCTAACTCATAAAAGAGTGGTATTGTTCCGTTGAGAAAAAATCCACTGAGGCTAAACAAAACGTAGACTAAACCTTTGTTAAATCCAATAACTCGAGTAAAAACGTAATAAATCAACAAAATAGCAAACAACGAAGAAGCCATGAACACAATAAGTAATAATTTCAAGTGTCCGGTAAAACGATCGGCGAATCTAAAAATCAGAATATGAAAATCAGAATATAAAAACCAGAATATGAAAATCATCACGCGGGAAAAATAGTACGTAATTTGTACGACTAAAAATCAATCAAAACAGAAGAAAACAATGAAAAACAATTTTCCCTCTTTAAAAAACAAAAACAGATAATTCTATAAAGCACACTTTAAAAAATCAAAAGTCTTTGTACAAGATATGTTTCGTTTTTACACAAGACATCATTAGACAATGCAAAATAATCACATTAAAATTTACATATAATGTATGTTGTTACAGGTGTTAAATAACATCGAGTAAGTGTGATTGGACAAAAATAAAGTGTGATTTAGGATACTCGATGCAGATACACAAAGTGGTGGATATGAACACAAAAATTAATGGTGTACACGTAACAGCTTGAGTGAGATGAAACTGTCTATGTCTGCTTTGGGCATTTACAGCCATTTGCAATTAATCGCGAGACGTGCACAAATGAAACGTTTGTTATAGTTTCAAAACTTGGCGTTACTAACGGCTAACTTGACATTACCATACAGCTATCTGATTGTTTCTAACTCGTAACCCCAAGATAACAGTGGTTAATAACAAAGTGTCGCTTTACGAGTCTACGACACACTGTGTCTCACCAATACCAACTTAAACTCTTATATCTTACGATAGAGTTTAACGTTTTCAAAAGTCTTTCCATCCTTGCCAAATTTCAACATGTCGCAGTTGTCTGTTAAATAAAAACAATATTTTGCATAACATAACGCGTGGGCCTTAGCAACAATGAGTTAGCCGTTAGTAACGTGAAGTTTTGAAACGATAACAAACGTTTAATTTATACACGCCGCAAAGTCAATTGCAAAAGGCTGCATTGTGAAAGTGAGCTTTCATTAATCATTAAGTCAGGGGAGCAATATGATAAAGATAGGATAAAAAAGTCATCGAAGGAAGCTTAGGTGATTTTGTTACGTGTGACTAGATGTTTCATTATGGATAAGATGCTGGATGGAGGTAGGGTATAATGACTGTTTTCCAGGTATGAGATGATACCAGTTCACCAGATTTCCAGGTACCAGTTCACCAATAACGTGAACTTGACGTGAAAAAAATAACAAATTTTAAGAATTTGGGAATATTGTACTTCAATGAAAAGAAGCAAGAATGCTTGTAGAACGACAGAAAACAATTGCAAGACTTATATAAGGGAATGCCGGCAGCATTGTAGAGGTGTTTAAGTTGAGTGCGTATTTGGAAGCAAGTACGAGCCTGTGCAGGGAAGACCGAAGTAGAGGAGCTTCATGAGCACGGTGAAAGTATGTGGTTTGTGAAGGATGTTGTCAAGAAAAAGATCAAGTCTACCAACAAGTTAACGGGTGAGTAACCGTTCGGACTACTTTTTGCCACCATCTTTATATCAATTCATGGACAGAAATGGTTAAAAACTGTCCTCATCTTTGAAAAACACTTCTATATATTACGTTCACGACGCCTTTCATCTTCTAATGTGCCAACGTATGACTTAGCGATTAGCACTGTTTTGATCACATACATGTGTTCCTCGGTTCCCTTAATCAACAACACACAACATGACATTCACCTCTGAAACCGTCAATTCAACCGTCAATCAAACCGTCAATTCAACCGTCACCTTCATTTCTATTACTTTTAAGCGCAGCCTAATTTTTACCAATATTCATCGCGCTTAGTGTCAATCTTTGCTCAAGATACAAAAACTTTCACAATCAACTCCAAAATAGTTAGAAACTCTTTGATAACCAACGGTTTTCCCCCTCAAATATTTGATAGCATTGACAGTTGCTCTCTTTACATATTCTACCCCAAAACCAGCAACTGTCACTGCACCGAAGAAACTCATCTACCTTCCCTGCACAGGGTAACCCTCTCTTCAAATACGCCCCCAAGTTAACCGCAAAGGCAATGCCGCCATCAATCACATGAGTGATAGATTTGTATTCCGCCCTTCCACAAGCATGGAACAGATTCCCAAAAGTCTTAAGATATATTAATGTTATCACTTCAAGTGTCGATGCTGTACCGTGTCGCAAGTGGGTTCAAACCAAGCACCATACGCAATCTTTATACCATAACACCTGGGATTGCCTTTAACAGGTGATGCCTTACCACATCTAGCATCTTATCCCATATTAACACATCAGATCACACAGCTTCCTCTGATGTTTTAATTTTATCTTTTCATCGCCCTACCCAACTTGAGTTAGTGTACAAGGAAGGTCTCGTGATCTCTAATCTCACATCCAAATGTCCAAGACAGTTTCATCCTACTCCAGTTTTTTTAAGTAGGTACATTTATATCCATATCCATCAAATTATGTATTTTTATCCTCACTCACATGCACTTAGTACTTTTTTCTTTGTTCTATTCGTCACTTAAATCTCACTGCAATTTAAATCTGTAACTACGCTTATAATATGTAAATGTTCATATGTAAACGAGCAATGCGATGACTTCAATGACTTAGAACCCAGTCTACTAGATATCTGACTCCGCCAAAATTCTATAATTACGAGTGAAGTATCGATATGTATATTACATGAATCGCGCATTCCCAATATGGGGAAGGCAAAAAATTGAAGTCGGAAGTAGACAGCTATGATTATATGCGGCGCTATATTGAACAGTCCCACCTGTAATAATAATCTATAGTAAAGAACCACGATAGGAATGAATTTTGGAGCGCATTGTACTTATACAACCTAAAAAATCTTTCAACATAAAGCTAGAAGCGTTATCTTTCAATAGTATCTCTCAAATGGTGTCTTAAATTTTGAAATAAATCCTTTCTTAATAGTACAACTGCTTCCAACACTTAATCTTGTTAAAGCTAATACATAGCAGTTTTGTCAATGCATCATAAGAGATGCTTCTCGCAATTTTTCATAGCAGAAATTCATATAATTTGTATGTGAATCTCGTGAAGTGGGACTGTTCAATATGGCCGCCTTCAGGCTTCAAATTAATTAGTGATGCGCGATCCATGCATTGAATTATAAATATACTGGAATGATAACTCAGGGGGGAAAGTGAAGCCGTGTCTTTTAGGTAGCGCCAGTCCTTTGTAAAGTTAGTTTTTCAAAATACACTTTTTATATCGCTAAATTTCCCCCTTTTCTGTTTGTTTAATACCTTCAATGTTTAGCTTTGACTATAGTAAAGGCATTAATTGTTCACTTAAGTAACTACATTGAACAAAGGTCGTTTAGTTTCTGAAATATTGTCAGACAAAAAACAAAAGTTGGCAAAAAACCGCGCGAAAATATTCGCTTTTTCTGAGTTAGAAGAAGAGTTTAGCATTTTCCGTCTTGTAGTAGTTTGTCAGGTCAACATCGATTCTTGTCGCTTACGTTTTTCCATGTAGAAATCTCGCTAGGTAAAAGCTAAGAATGGTACAATGCTGAAAAATTGTCGAAAAAACGACAAGAAATAAAAATTTTTGATGGAATTCCCGTTGCCAAAAGTAAAAACAAACATCCATTGCCAAGAAAATATGCACTATTTCAGGGGGAGTAGACAAATTTTAGACGTATGTTGGTTTCATCCAATCACAGGGCATTCTTATTTTAGTTATCATTCCAGTATATTTAAAATTCAATGGATCCATGTTATAAATATCAATGGAGTTAGTCCGTATATTGTGGTACTATATTGTTCAGCTTCATTTGGCACCCCTTCGAACTGAGTAATTTTTTGCCATCTTGACATTTTCGACTACGCTGAATCCAAATCCGAAGATTTCCCAAGTCGTAGATTCGCAGTTTTTTTCTAATTTGCAGTTTTAATCATCACTCATTAATAATAAAAAGCTGCCGTCATTAATTTATTACAAGGATAATGAAAGAATTCCATTCGTAGCACTTCCTTAAATTATGGCTCAATCACTCGAAATTCTGACCGTGTAAGACTTTAAATGATGGAGTAAAGGTACGTTTCACTGATATGTATATTAGACTGGATAACGCATCTCTTGCGAAAAGTGAAGCCGGAAGATCGATCATTTGCTACTGGCCTTATTATAATATTAGCGATATGAATAACAAATTGTTTTAAATAAGTAAATTTGTAGCAATCTTCCATAAACGTCATTGCAGATGATATTTTGGTAGCACTAGTAGGATTCTGTAATGTTTCTACATTTTTTTAAGAAGCAGCAGCATCATATAATCTCCAGTTTGTTTCAAAACAATGCAGGTCGACCTTGTACCATCTCAATTTTCTGCCATTATAAAGCCAATAAATATTGTTGCCGGTTGTTCTGTTCCTTTCACAAAAATTTTGCACGAATCAAAACTTTGTAGAACGAATCAAAACGCAAAAACTGTGATTTTGTAATACAACAGTATATTAAAGTGGCACCGATAACCCCCCAAAGGTCATAATTAGATTAGCCAACTTCCGGCTTCGATTATCTTACTATATTTTATACATGGATGCGTTATCCAGTGTAATATACATATCAGTGGTCTGGGGTAAAATCTCGCGTGTCTGGCGTAAGATATGGCTTCAATTATTTGCTTGAGGTAGCGTTCCATGTATTTTAGTTCAATGGTCATAACATACGGACTAAGTGAAGCAAGCCGCCATGTTGAAAGGTGGCAAAACTGACGATATTTACAATTGATAACTGCTATTTTTGAGTTTATGTACAGTGGCTAAGTTGACAATCTAGGTTTAATTTTTAAAATATTTGATAGGATTGGGTTTTTAAACCTTCTTTTAGCATATTTTGAGTTTAGTATTTTTCTAGCTTTCAGAGTGGCGTTCATGCCTCACCTTGACACGGTAGTTAGACATCTAGAGGAATCAGGATTGGGTTCTAAATCATTGGATGATTTCACATTTATCTCAGATGCCATGTGTAAAAACCAAACGTTACTTTAAAAAGATTTTTTTTCAAATGGGCATGCTTAAAATTTTATGTTGGGTAATTCTCTTTTCAATACAAATCTGACAAGATATAGCAAGTAATATACTTACGCGGAAAACGAGACCCCGGAAACGGCACCGCTCATAACAGCAACAAAGCCAAGCCACTCGGCAAAATGCTCATTCACATCAATGCCATACCCGGAAAGATTCTGATACAAGACAGCACACCAGCCACCATAGACACCCGTTGTCGCTCCGTAAATCGTTGCAAGAAGAAGAAAATTAAAGTTCGTAATCAGACTTCTGGCACCATCTTTAAAATCAACACGAACCGTGGCCGCTGATTGACTGGGCGGACTGGGAGGTTTGGATGGATAATATACAAAGACAAAAAAGAAAAAGACTGCTTGCAATCCAGATTGGGTGTATAACAAACTATTGATTTGCTTTTGGTATTTTGCTTCTTCAGTTTCGTTTAATCTGTAGTTATCACCAACTTTAAGAGCATTCGAATCTTTGACATCGTCGACAAAGGCAGGTCCAATAAGAAAAGACATGGAGAATCCTATAAATGCAGCGGCACTTGAAATGGCCGTGGCAGTAGTGCGTTGAGATGGAGGGAACCAAGTTGAAGAAAGGAGAGGAGCAGCAGCTATACCACCTGCTAAACCAATGATTATCTGACCGCAATGAATCAAAGCAGTCGAACTTGTCGTGCTGCCAGTTGGAATAAATCGTAGAACTGAGCCCACCAACGTGAATCCTGCAGATAACAGTAAACCAACACGTAAACCTAAATAAAGACGAGAAATCTATCAAAGCTTAAGAAAGTTTGAGACGATAGAAGAAACTGATCTTTAATGATTCGTTTCAACAAATAACGTAAAGCAGAAATAATATAGACTCGATCTCTCAATTATTTAGTCACTTCAATAATCACGTGTTTCGTCAACACTGATCTCATAATCTGTGACATCAGTTAACACCGATCTTAACATGCACGACAAACTGATTTCGTTGTCCACACTGTTAGACATCGTCTAATTGTTCCACACGTTTTCGTAAAGAATGTGTGCCAACAAAGATGCATTGCGGGTTTTATTTATGTTTTTATTGTTAACTTTTAGGCTTGCGGCACCCTGACACAACGTTTACTCTACTCCATATCGGTATAAAAACGGCGCAAAAAAGTAACAGAACAGGGTTGCATTTATATTGCACAGGAGCGGATTCTTTAAAAACGTCACTTTTCCGGAGCGATACGACCACATTTTCTAAACGTGGTCGAACGAAAACGGAGCGCTACGCATCGTCGTGTAAATAGCTAACCGTTAATATTTCGCTACACTTTAGATACCAGTTCTATTTATTTCGTACCGCCTTGTAGCGCATAATTAAAAATGGTCATCATTTTATGTTTTGGAAAGCTTTTAATGACTGATACCGTTGTAACTATTGAAAATCGATGTTTTTTATGACCTATGGCTACAGATATAAACATCCAGCAATATACAAATAAGAAATGGCGCAATTTTTCACAAACAACTAACGAGTTTCGACAGCTAGAGACATTATGTGTAAACACACGCAAAACTGCAGTGGAATTCAAACGGATCAGTGTAAACGCAGTCAAATTCTGCGGTAACTTTTTCGATCCGGCGTAGTGTAAACGTAGTCTGAATTCAATTTTGTCACTGCGCTGTCTAATTTATCTGAAAAGTTAGCAAAAAACAAAATAGATTAAAAATAGGTACGCAAAGCGAAAACGCGGATAGCCTCATAATAACAACAACATCATCAACACCAACATCATTACCAACATCTACATCTCCATCTCTATCTACATTAACATCAACATCAATACCAACATTTACACCAACATCTGCATCTACATTAACATTGACATCAACACTAATATCAACACCAACATCTCCATCTCCATCTCCAATAACATCAACATCAACATCAATACCAACATTTACACCAACATCTACATCTACATTAACATCAACATCAACATCAACACGAACATCAACACCAACATCTACATCAACATCAACATCAACATCAACACGAACATCAACACCAACATCTACATCAACATCAACATCAACACCAACATCAACACCAACATCTACATCGCCGTCGTTGTCGTCTTTAATTCCATCCTTAGTAGAGACCTTGAAGTTGTAGCCATACATAAAAAATTATTCACTGTTTCAAATCATAAGATAGCTGTTTTTGGACGTTGCAAACATAAATACTGCGACTACACTCTGGTTGCCGCATTAAAATTCAACTCCCCCAACTCAATGCCACAAAATGCCAGGCATGTCGTCGGCCGACAAATTTGTGATTTTTCAAACATACCACCTTTTTTGTCAAATACTTTCAACCCAAACCAATGAAATAACTCCGACAAACTTTAAAAAATCGCTGACTGAACGCAAACTAAACGGTAAAGTGAAGTCAACATAATCTCCCTTCCAGACCAGAAAATTAGAGAAAATAGCGGTTTGATAGATGTGTGAGGGCAATGCGATTGGTGATTTTGATATCCATTTAGCTACAACCCTCATTGCATCTGGCCTGCTATAAATGATCCGGAGAAAAAGCATCTGAAACCTTACTATATAGCAGAAGAGAAAAGTTCTATTTTTTAATACTGTCAAACACAAAGTTTGGACTGGCTTCACAAAAACTTTCTTTCGGAATGAATTATGACTTACGTAACAACGAGTAACAGCTAAGTTATCAAAATAACATGCGATATTTTTAGGATAAAGAGGCATTCTTTGTCGTCGTCCGTATAACCAACTGTATCCAAGGGTTACGACATAAAGACAGCATTTTCTTCAGTATAGTATAGTGGTTAACAGCGCATGCATACGCGAGCAGATACTCACGAAAACTCAATTTTACATTAATTATTATCATTGGTCTGTTGGACCACAATAAAAACATCCTCCATATTCTTGGCACACAAAATGGACGTTACGCTGTGATTAACGCGTAAGGCATCCTGGTTGACACACGAAAATTCATGAAGTAATATTTATTACCTTTAACGTCCACAACCCAAGCAAAAGGCAACATAGTGATACAAAACGTGACGCTTCCCCAGGCAGCAATAAGATCGATAACCCATCCATCCCATTTATAAACTGCCCGAGCTGTCGTCTCTATTGGACCAAATGTGTTCCACATCGCATTCTGCAGGACTCCAATGATGCAGTACATAATTAAGATATACCAACGTCTCTTGTACACTCGCGTTTCAGATTGCCCGATGTACGAATGATTAGAAGTAACTTTAGGAGACAACAGACTTTCATCGGCTTTGTTTGGACTGCTAGAACCATTGCGCTGAATACCATTGCTCATCTAAAAACGTAAGAGTGAATGTGAATTGCACAGTATTGTTAGCAAAGGCCCTGGGAACGAGTTTAGGAGAGTTTCGCCTGAGAAAGAGCAACTTACACACGATTTATTTAACGACAAAAATGTCATGCGATATTTATGCTCATTTTTAAATGATAACTCGTTCACTTGTTTACTATTTTATTTCTTATTTGCACGTTCAAACTTCAAATCCACCATATAAAATTGAGTAAATTTTATGTTTCAGTAGTTGGCCAACTTCCTATTCTTTTATAATGAACAATTACTTGTTAGTTTCGCTGAAGTCTTCATATGTGTATGGTATGATTCCAACATTACAGCACGTTCCAGCCACCATTATAAATGACCAGCAAGACGATAGTGTTGTAAGCTTTATTTAAAAACAGCGGAAGCACGAAAGCAGTAAAGTTTAGTAAATAATGAAGACTAAAAATACCACAAAATATAAAAGCGACTTTAAACATTTAACGAAATCGCCAATGTTGACAGATTAAGCGTACAGTTATCTTGAACTTGTACATTGTGACAGTGTCTTATTTGGATGAATTAATCTAAGCATGGGCATCGACCAATCGGAGCATGCGTGGGACGTTGCTCGAGTTAATGAAAGTGCTCATGTCATCAAATTTGACCAAGGTGTTTTTTTATTGAAATGTAAAGGCAATTTAAAATGACTTAATAATTCTTTAAAAGAATTTTGTTATTCTATTTCTTTATGAAGCAATGTAACTTTTCTTCATTTTGCATCGTTATGAAATCACAATGATCACATTGCATAATTAGAATTAGGGAAAACTAATTTTTGTCAACAGTATATTAAAATATGTTATTTTGGCATCTTTAAAAATAATTATGTACACATGTGTTCATGAAACTATTGTATGCTATTGAACTGCATATATTGTTGCAAATGCTCTTAGAATCGATTCAACTATCTAAAGAACTTTCCCTGATTCTGACGTAGGCACTTTAAATCTTGCTTTCTTCCCGTGTTTTGGATCAGACTATTCAAACATAGAAACTAGTAAGAGTTCAATACTTAACAAGCAACAGTAAAATTGGTAACTCGATTAATTGGAATTTACCATTTTATCTTATTTGGAATGAACTGACTGATGAACACGTTATAGAATGACTATATCTTCATTGAGTCATCAAATAAATATTTATGGCTTGTTGGATAGTTTTCTTGTAGTTATTGGTTCGTAGGTATGGGCTTTGCATGTATACATGTATATGAATACCCCACCCCCCTCATTACCATTCTAGAATTGGCACTTTGAACAGCTATTTTCATCTTCTCTATATTAATAATTGCTTGTGTATTGATAATTATGATTTGTTGACTCAAGTTGATGTTCTTCTCATCTTTCAGTGAAATGGAATATTCAATATTTACCTGATAATTGTTGTTCTCCATGTCATTATTAATAATGAATAAAATTTAAGTACAATAAGTTATGTTATTTCATTTTATAGGATAAATAAATGTCTGTAACCAGAATGTGCATTAAAACTCACATCTGGATCCAGAAAATTTATGTTAAATTCTGAATATTAAGACAATAATTGCATTGGTCGGACTGTTTAACCGAGCACAATTGATTTGCAGACTTACTTCAACAAATAACATACCAATTTATTCAACCTAAGGCTTAATGGTGATCATTTTAGTTTTAAAAGGGCATACAATCAGTATAATTTCCTTGCTTCATGTCAATTTCTTGAATTGTTCTGTTATAGGTTTCCTATTATTGTTTTCATATGTAAAAATTTGTTGAATATGATTCAAAAATATAGCACACTTGTCAGTATACTTGGGTTTTTCCTGGCACAAAAACTTGCAGGTAGCCCAGCAAGGTCTAAGTTTGTAGTACATCAAATTCTTTATATTCTTATTCTTTCAAACCTTATTGCTCAAAAACTAAGGTAATTGTTCAGAGAGTCGTTTTTATTTATACTTTTAATAAGTGTGCATAGGTTATCACGACCATTGTTAGCTGTTTTCAGGCACAACAACCAATCAAGTACATAAGATCCTAAAATCTGACACTCTTACATTAAATCTTACATTAAAGAAGTATTTAGATACATTGATGAAAAAACATTGTGCAAAACTAATGATCAATTACTTTCTCCCATACAACCAAATATATATATCACATACAGTGGTTCTTATAGGCAACTAAATTACATAGTTTGCTTAGATATTGTTTCCATTGCGAATATTGCTAGCATTTTCGATCACTGCTACAAATTGGCTTGCCTAATAACAAGTGATGCATTTTGTTTATGAAACTTAAAAGACTGGGCCACAAAGAAGATCGATTTTACCTAACTCTATAAACAGCACTATAATGTATGATATATTTTGTTAGTCAAACTCAAAAGGGTTATACATACTATTTATGAACTCAACTCAAATAACTGCAACATAATGGGTGATACATTTTGCTAATGAAACTCAACTCAAGACTGCACCATATTGAAAGTGTGATTTATTTTGTTTATCAACTTGAAAAACTGTACTTCGACCATTTATATTAATTTTACTTGTAAGAATGTCATAGAATGTCACTTAAGGTAGTGTACAACCATTTTCCTCATTTCTGAACAGATTATACTAAGAAAAAAAAACAAAATCTTCTCGCTTTTGTATGTTATTTGAATTGTAAATAGAGAAAGGCAAAACTACACACCCAAACAACGTGGATTTATTCTGGGAAATATAATCATTCATAGAAACCCTTTTTAGAATACATCCAACATGGTGACATGAAATACATACTTCAAGTACATACTTCAATTGTTGATGTACTGGAGAATTTACAACTGTAACTCATGAGCAACGGTGTTTCTTTTCAACATATTTATATTTTTCTACAATTTGTACATTTTAATACAATTATTGATTTGGACAGTACTTCACCAGTGCGTGTTTATCATTAAACTTATTAAAACTTCTACAGTTAGAATCACGTTAAAGCATACGTCGTTGTAATTAAAATTAACGAAGAAAAATAAAATGAAAAAAATTACCTGTGCAAATTTCCAAAATCGAATTTCCTCGAATGATATTTGTAAAGCCTGCTGTTTCTAATGTAATAAAGTGTAATAATTCCAACCAAATTATAATTACAACTAATTATAAAACTAGAAAAGTTACTTTCGCTATTACTGACAGTAAAACTAGAAGTTACTATCGCAGTGGGAAGTGCTGCTCCTCGCATCCCGCCCCTTATAAATAAAAATTGCAATGTATAATCGGTTACACTTAGATCCACAACTTCGTGTACAGCATATTAAAGTGATTCCGTGTTGTAGCATATGTTGCAAATTAACTTGGATAAAATACTTCAAGACAAATGTGGTGAACTTCATGCGTTATGATTGCGTGATAAAAGGTTTGGCGCTTTTCCATATTTAACGCTTTCTTCTATCTAATGATTTTAAATTTCTAATCAACGTGCCACATGAGACTGATGCGATGTACATCTGACTTTATATGGGATGAGTGCTCCTGCGCTCGGAAGAAATGAAGTCACGAAGTCAAGCACTCGGAAAGCCGACTGCCAACTTCCGGCTTAAATTTTTCCCGTGCTTTACATCCAGTGTTTAATGTTTACATCATATTAACTTAATTCATTTTACAAATTTTATAGACGAACTCTTTGTAATTTTAAATGACAACAATGTAATTTTTGAGATGACAATCGTATCTTCAAAAATTTGTTTATATATTTGTCTTTTTTTGAAGGGTATGATACTTTGTTCACTCAACCGATAAATCGAACACATGTTTACTACTTTACATACGTAGAAACAAACGAAATTAACAAAAGAAATGAATAATAATACTGTAGTTTGTCGCCAATATTTTCTTAATAACATTGTGATAGGACCTTGTTGCATGTTATTCGTTCCGTGCCAAATGCGATTAAATGATATTAAATCTTCGAACGCGGAGTCATTGCATACAGGAAATTTTTCATTGTATTCTTTGTCCATGCCATGGTTAGACTCGCGCCACGTATTTGACGTTTTGTTAAAGGACACATGCAACATAAAATTCGGATTGTTATTTTTGTACTTTACATGAAGGTATAGCTCCAACTAAAAGTTCACCAAAGTTTGAGACTCAAAGGATAAATATTTTTGAAGATATGGAGGTTTAAAGTTGATGCTTTACTGATAACGATTGAAAATGCCCGACGAGCTAGCGACAGCTACCGATGTCGTTGTGACGTAATAGTTGACATTCGCTGAACGCGGTCAATTGCGCGCTTCGTTCAAAATATATTGGTAACTTCTTAACAACACGACAATTTAGCATTGAAAATATGGTTTATTGTGCCGCATTTAATTGTAAAAACGGTTCTTCTAAGAAACACGAAACGCAGCAAAAGGTTTCTTTTTTTTCGTTTCCCGAAAACAAGCGTATGCGAGGTATTTGGATTGAAAAAATCCGACGCAAAAATTGGAAGCCAACAAAGAGCTCAAAATTGTGCTCGCAACATTTCGAGAGTTCGTGCTTCGTGCAAAATTTTGAAGCGATGCAATCAGTAGGATGGACAGCAGGAGGGCTTCGCCTTAAGAAGGATGCTGTACCCACGATTTTTGAATACTCTTTGGAACCCACAAGTGTAGCATCTAAAAGGAAGCAGCCAACAAATGTTAGAACTGCATTTGAGAAGAGACGAAGGCAAGAGGTGAATATTATAGTTATAGTTAGCAATATTTGTTTACATTTATCAAAAACTAAGCTATATAATCCTACATGTCAAAACAAAGACCAAAAATCGAGCACTACTTTGATGTATGGCATGTAGCAAAAGGTATAGATTGTCATAACAAACCAACCTTTTACACATTTCATCAATAATTAAATTCCAACAGGAATCAAAAAGAAAATTTTAGCAGCATCAAAAAAAAGTGGTTGCAAATTATTGTCGAATTGGGCCCAATCAATTTCCAACCATGTATACTGGTGTGCTGCTTCCAGCAATGGTGATGAAGAACTTGTCAAGGCAAAGTGGTTGTCAGTTCTCAATCATATATGTGACATCCATGAGGGACATAGTGATGTATTCCCAAAATGTGAACATGATATGTTAGAGCCTAGAATGTGGATAAAAAAAGGTATTGTAAGCAAATAAATTTCAAAGTAACATCAACATTCTTTTTCTTTTTGTTAACTAACTTCTGATCTTAGGTTCAAAAGCTTATGTTGAGCTGTCTTCGATTGTTGAGTCCAAGTATCTCATGAGAGATATTGGAAAACTCAGTTATCAGAAGCAGACTTCATCCATCGAAGGTTTCCACCGAGTGGTGATTCTTTTTGCACCAAAACATACCCATTTTTCTACAGATCAATGGAAGCAAGGTAATATAATTATGACTAGTGTATGATTACTTAAAAGTCATCATTGCAAAAGCAATAAGTTGCAATAGTTGTAAATATAAACTTAACATTCATTTGTAGATTGTTTATTGCTGCTCTTCATTTCAATGAGAATGGAAATAAACCTCAGAAAACGAAAATGATGGGCAAACAGAAGAGGCATTGATTTGGAGAGTGGCTTATTCAAAGTCAAAAGAAGGACAAGGGTCATCAAACCAGTGAAAGTTGACAGCACTTATGGTTAGCACAGAAAAATAAACTTACCTTTTCTCAAAGTGCAATGCAAAGCCAACATAAATAATGATTTGCTTTTCAGGATATGTTAAGGACTTGATGAAAGAAGTTTTGTACTGCAGACGCATTAATCCAACACTCTCCAAAGCTCTTGATGTCGCTGGAGTGAAAGAAATACCTGTCCCATTGACTCACCACAAATCAAAAATCAGCAAAGCTGAAGCCATTAAGCAACATAAATCTCGCTTTAATAAATAAAAAGAAATAACGTCCCCCACATGAAATAAACATAATTACAAATGAACAGACTTTGTCATACGCCATAAGCCCTACCATTCAGTAGTGTTGAGCATATTCAAATCCTTTGTATTCTCCAGAAGGCGAAGGAAATGCTTTCCGGATTTTGTCCACAGCACAAGAAGGTATGGGTAGTCGGTACTTTTTTCCCAACCTGCCATGCACCCAAGCCGTCCACTGTCGGTACGCCGTGTAGCGTAATGCTCTGAACGATACAAAATTTTGTCTAAGATACTTATCGGAATTATACACTTGTCGACATACACGTAATTACACTTCTAAGGTAATATTTACTCGTTTTCTTCACTCTCAGGCATAGGTCCAATGTCATGTGTGTACACGACCATAGCTGTTTTTAAGACAGCTTCGTTTGTACATACTGTGGCAAACTCTTCCTCTTGTGTGATGTATCGCCATGTATCAGAGGACCAGTGTTGTTTACCTCTTGGCAACATATACTTTCCCGTCCTGTACTCATGACCACACAAAAGCCACACTCGCACCAAAAGATAAAAACATTCTTTCTACTTTGGGAAAACAATGAAGCATCAATAAAATGCAACTAACCATTCAACATTTCCAATTCTGTGAATGTATTCATCTTCGCTTTCCGATGACGAAGAATTGTCATTACTATGACCACCTTCCGCGTTGGCCAAAGGCTCAAACATGTAAAGTTGTACCTCATTGTTATTGACGACAATATCATAATCGGCTTCTTCAGAAGAAGAATCCATTAATTTTTGTTAAATAAAAAACAGTAATAGCAAACTACCGAAAGCCGTGCAAGAATTGCGTGCAAGTCGTAGAACGATATAAGAACGAAGCTTGTTTATGTCAACTATTACGTCACTCTTTCCCAGTTCCCAGACTTAAACAATCTCACGGCGTTTTAGCAATGGTCATCGAATATCGTGTTTTTACCGATTATAACCCTAAATATCTTTTTAAATATTTCGCGGACGACTTTGAAACTTGGTACGTCTTATTTTTACGCTATAGGCATTACAATGAAATAAAGTTGTCTTCTAGCTTGCATGTGTCCTTTAAATCCATGCCAATATCATATTTTCCTCACCCGAGCACTATGACAAGAGCGGACAAACAATGCAAATAAGTATCAAAATACTGGCTGAATACGGCAACGGTGAATCAAGTGTCGTGTTATTCGTCAAACGAGATAAAATTGATTGATGTTCCGAAAGGTCCTACATTGTTGTGATTGTGCGCTCCTCCTAAAATCGTAAAAATACGCCCCGGATGATGATACCGACAGACATCCAACAATCGAGATTTTACCTCTATATAGATCGGCCGGAAGGACTTTGTCGAATCATGTCAAGATTAGTGTGCTGCCACGCTGTGGCATAGCAATAATGCAAGTGTTTCCGGTTTAAAAATTTAAAACAATCTTTGTGACATCCATGTAAGTACATACCATACCACACGAAATTTCAGTGTGTAGTGAAATGAAAAATCAAAAACATCTTCTCTGTGGCCCCAGTAAATATTTTCAGAAATTGAAATTTGATGGAGAATTAGCGATGGATATATAAGCATTGTCTGTTCTGTTTTAGCTACGGTATCTAAAATTTAGAATTATGTGTAACTTTTTTCAATCTTTATGATTCTGTCATAACGCTTAACTTTAACCAAAGTTTAAATAGGCGAACTAAAAATCCTAAAACACAAATGCACAATTTGCTCTATATCTTTGTAGGAACATTGAAAATACTATGGAATGCTTGCATGTGATGTCAAAACGGCCATGTTGGGGGAGTACATCAAAGTGTTTATGGTCAACAGAGCATGAAACTCCCCCAACATGGCGACTAATGAAAACACTCTATATAGTCGACTGTTACGTATAATTGATGAAATTAAACCAAGATCACATTAACGAAAAAGAAAAAATTTAAAACAATCTTCATTTTCAAAGCTAAGCGTTCGCGTAGGCATGTGCCAACTTTCCTAAAACTTTGTTAACTCGAACCGCATGTGCCATTTTAAACCCTATATGTTTCATTGGATTTTTAGCTGCGACGTTTTCATGCGCAAGCTTTTTCAAAAGTACTTCTCAGTAGCACAATTTTCCTCTAAAATGTTTGTTATTTCCTAATTTTTACTATTTGATGAATAATTGGAAATTCAAGTGACTATTTCCACTTTCCACCAAAGGTTTTTGCAAATGATTTTAGCAACGTTTTCCAAACTGTTCACTTTTTTTTTTACATCTCCCCTCTGTGGTCCTAAAATGCAGGGTCCGACTATTTCAAAGACTTGTTGATCTGTTCATTCGAATATGTTCTTATTAAGAGCTATTAGAATATTTGAAAGTTATAGTGACCCTGTGAAACTTCAAAAAAAGTCTCCTCGACTATACTCATCGACTTCATCCCCAAATGTTAATCTGTTCGTACACCTGCATGCACACAAAAAACAATATTTGGTTTTACCCACACTTCTCTGTACAAATGAGCTTCACTACCTCAAACTAGCAAATCTTCCAAGTCTTTAAACTCGGGGGAAAGACATCCGAAAGCACAGAATAGGAAATGAACAGAAGGCCAACTTAGTGTCGGAGGCTTTGAAGTCAGTGTCCTCGCGCATGTCTCATTGCGCTAGCTAGAAATTCGACGGCCACCATAACTCTGGCAAGTATTGGCTAAGGAATTTGTGTATAATTGTAGTGTGCTAGAACATTGATTTACACATTGTGCAGGTTTACTTTTGAAACCTGCGTTCTAATTATCAGAACATCAAAATACAATGTAAATACTGCCATATTGTCTATTTTGTAGTCAAATCACTTTAAATCGCATGGAAATTGTGCCTCACCTTTTAAAATTCAATTACTGGGCAGGATTCCCATGATTGATGAAATACAATGTTTAAAAGCGCGATTTTCTTACACAAACATTCCACTGTACTGTATAATTTATAGTAGCCAGCAACCACAGTACTTGCCAGTGTAATGGCGGATCTGACGTAAGCGCATAAAAAATCTGGGACACATTACACAACTGAGTTGGCCTTCTGTTCATTTTCTATTCTGTGTACAAAAGTCTGCTTTTATAATAAAAATGATAATTGCTCAATTGATCTAGTGATCAGAAGCTTATCGTACTGATTTCTGTAATCTTAACCAGGTTAGGTAAATGTAATAAACATAAAATGTCAGAAAAACATGCATACTCATGGATCAAAATGAGATTCTTAAATGCCTTTAGTTAGAAAGCAAATGTCAGCAGTGCCTCTCACTACTGAGTGCAAATGTGCACTTTAGTCATATATCCTCGCAACTTTGCATAATGCATTATTGAGAACGTGATCTCCGTGGCGCAATGGATTAGCGCGTTGGACTTCTAATTCAACGGTTGTAGGTTCGAGTCCCATCGGAGATGAAAACTTTTTATAAAAAAAGAAAACCGATTTTTCACAGTGGGTATAAGTGAAACTATATAGTGAAACCATATGATATTTTTTCAAAAAATAAAAAAAAAGCATCAGATTTGAAAAACTTTTGCAAATTCAAAATTAATGTGCAAGAAAATAAATTGTTAATAATCCTTATACAGGACTAATAACTGAATTTATGGTGAAAAGTGCATTTTATATACGCGATATTTCGTTTGGCCAGACGAGATTAAACTGACATCAGTGACATGGCAGCTGCAGTGGCTTGTAATGAGCTAAATGTCTCAAGCCGTTCGCAATTCTCAAATATAAGGTATCAACTGCCATTAAGTATACGTATTTTGAGTCTTACAGTACTTTTTTCTTTAAAAATCTTGTTACTTCACATATTCTTTACTGCAACATTATGCTCAATGATAAGTTTGGACATATTTGCACAATTTTGGACAGTTTTCTTGATAATTCTCGATAAAGCCATTGGTATAAATGTTCATATTTCAATTTATTACTCTTAAGTGGCCAATCAACACGTTTCTTGCTTTGTCAACTATTTTAGGATCGCGTAATTAATGTGAGATTGTGAATTTGAGTATACAATAGCCGTTACGAATTTCCTGTTTGTTGATGCTTGTGAAGGACATTGGTCACATAACCATTATAATTTGATCATTTCGCAGAGTTTTTCTTAATTGTATACTCACTTTAAAGATCTTCGAAGTTCATCGATTGAAATCCATCAAGCCAGCTATTTAGGTTTGTTTTAAAGTCCCAACTTTACTTGTGCATGTAAGTAATCACTTTTCATAGTTCATAGCCCGGTCATAATCAAACATAGAGGATATTTGATATCGTCGTTTTGAAAGTATTTGTATTCACTGACATTATGAAACAGCGTACAGTATTTCGATTCAATGAATAAAATAACTGAATGTGCAAATGCATGGTATACATAGTGTCTTCAGGTGACTAGATAATTTCACAAATTTCATTTGTTAATATTCCTGTTCTATAAATTCATGAGCGTGCTTGAATTTTCATCGACACTTGATCCGCTCTTGAGTTGAGTGAAGTTATACATGTGACTTCCACATGTGAATTCACTGTTCGCTGTTTTGCCATCGTAGTATGTCTTACATAATACAAATTTTGAAAAATTTGCGCCGAAACAGGGAAGTTTCGTTCCTTTTGCTAGAAAATAAAGTTCAAGCTTGCTTAGCGGCAAATTTAACGGCTTTCACAAGGCTTTGAAACAGCCTTTAGACAACTTTGTAAATTTGCCTATGTTAAATGTTAATATGATCTTATTTCCTACATTTTGCCTGTATGATGGACTTGCCTCAATTTCAATTTGATACTCAACGTGACCGGTTAGCTCGAACCGCTTAGCAGTTCCATCCACAGGTAATTACCGGTCAGAGTACGACAGCACGAAATTTCAGCGTGGTGATTAGGATTGGGTTTAGAGGGTTAGATTTAAAGGGTTAAGATTAAAACTAAATAAACTACTGAGAATCAGTAAAGGCACAACCAAATGACGACCTTCAATTCCTTGGTTGAAATAGCATTCCTGATTTTTTACTCAAACAATGCAAATTTTTTCTTTGAAAAATTACTATTTCTTTCTTTAAAAAATTAAGTCGATTCATTTTTTTCAAGTGACTGAACACATAAAATTATTTTCGAGGAGTAAAAAAGGTTTTCACTGCTTAAATTTGATTCAACGCTTGAATTTATTTTATAATCTTCCGACTTCACGGAAATGAATGAAGTAGCTAATTTTAGCATCAAAAAGTAATTCTCTTACATGCATGGTAAAATAATATTTAATGAGGGTAATTTAACTTGCATGTTGTTATGGTCAATGAACAAATTATCTATCATGTTTTCTTTTTTCACGTGTATAGATGGATGATTATAAGTCATATGGTAATTTCAGTTACCCAAGTGAGAGCAATCCATGTCTTCTTCCTATTCATGAACACATGGCTACAAGGAAACATGTGCAGGTTTACAAGAAACGTTGGTACGTTCTGTTGATATTCTGCATCAATGGAATGATGCAGTTTGCTATTTGGAACACTTTTAGTCCTATAGAGACGACAGCTAGAGCGGTTTATAAATGGGATGGATGGGTTATCGATCTTATTGCTGCCTTAGGCAGCATCACATTTTGTGTCTCAATGTTACCTTTTTCTTGGATTATGGATGTTAAAGGTAAATACATGCTGTCACAATTATTGAAACGCCTTCTCGGTTAACTTAAAGTCAATTGAATCACCTTTAAACAAAACGAAGTAGGCCAAATACATACTTGGTTCTTGTGTGGGAAACACTTCTAAACAATCAATATACAGAAAATTGTAGCTTGCATAGCCAATTATATTGAAAAAAACTGGGAAGTTGGGTCTCAAATTAAAAAATCTACATTTTGTCTCTTTTAATGATCGAATCAGGCACGTAGCCAGAGCGACGATAGAAGGTGGGATGCAATATTCATCTATGCATGATTTGCCGTATTAAAAGACATATATTCTGTATGTCTTTAGGTTTGCGTTTCACAGTGCTGTTAGCTGCTGCCATGCAAGTGGTTGGAACGGTTTTACGTGTTTTACCTGCGGGCAAAATGAAAATTTTGACACCTTTAATTTATTGCGGCCAGATAATCAGCTGCTTGGGTGGTCCGGTATGTATGGCAGCACCACCGCTCTTATCGTCAACATGGTTTCCCCAGCACCAACGAACCACTGCCACTGCAATATCAACTGTCGCTGCATATATAGGATTCTCCCTGTCTTTTCTTATTGGACCTGCCTTTGTCGACGATGTGAAAGATTCGAATGCTGTAAAAATTGGTGATAATTACAGACTAAACACAACTGAAGAGAAAAAATACGAAAAGCAAATTAATACTTTACTATACTTCGAGGCTTCAGTACAGACAATTTTATTCTTTGTCATATTAGCATATTTTCCATCCAAGCCACCAAAGCCTCCGAGTCTTTCAGCGTCCACAGATCGTGTTGATTTTAAAGACGGTGCACGAAAACTGAGTAAGAACTTTAATTTTCTTCTTCTTTCCACAATATACGGAGCCAGTACAGGTGTATTTGGAGGCTGGTGTGCCATTTTGTATCAGAATCTCTCGGAGTACGGTGTACAGGTGAATGAAAATTTTGCTGGACTGCTTGGGTTTATTGCTGTCACTAGTGGTGCTATCTCGGGTGTCCTATTTTCTACGTAAGTATATCTTACTATCTGGTCAACTGACGATGTTGTCATATTATTTATGGAGTTTCACAGGGTAACCAAAATAAACGTAAACCGCACAAATAATTATGTATGCCTTAAGTGAAATCGGTGGAGGGTAATTTAGTTTTTGCATTTTGCCCACTAAATTATTTATAATGAATAATTTAGGTCGGCATTTGACAATGTCATCCCTCTTCAGGGCGAACAAAACTTGTATACAAATTTTTGGAGTTTTCTTCCACAAACTTCAAAGCGAAATAGGTAGTGGGAGTGGAAGTTTTTGATCCGAAAAGTAAGCACGCTATCATCTGCTACCAATTTTTTAGCTTGAAAGCTATAATTTGATTATAATGCGGTGTTTCTCTACATCAAGAATAAAATGGCACTGGTGCAAATAAATGTTATTGCTTAATACGTTACGTCAGGGGAAACGAAAGTCTGTTGTCTTTAAAAATAAAAACCATTGCATAGCATGAATTTGGGCTTTAAACGCGTTTCACCTTATTTCCTTTTTGTGTTTTTTTCAGATTTGCTGATCGTTTTTCTGGACATTTGAAGTTATTGCTTATCATCTTTATGGCGTGTTCTTTCTACTCTGTCCTGTTGATTTATTACGTTTTTACTGGAATTGTTAGATTTAATAAAGGTTTAGCTTACGTTTTATTTAGCCTCAGTGGATTTTTTGTCAACGGAACAATACCATTGTTCTTTGAGTTGGGAGTTGAGTTGACATATCCGGTTGCAGAGGGTATTACTTCCGGTGCTATGACGTTCTTTAACAATGTCGTGGCGTCGCTATTTCTTCTTCTTCCATTGGGAAATATTGGTATAAAATGGATGCTGTGGGCTACAGTGGGAACTTGTGCTGTGTCAACTGTACTTCTACTTTTTATAAAAGAGCGTTATAACAGGTCATTTGTGGATGGGAATTCGACAAGAGAAAATGATTTTATCTCAGCTTCAATATCCACGTGAACAAATTACTACAATGGAATGCAATAATCAAAACATTTTCATCAGTTTTAACGGAAGGATTATCCAAACCAAACCCGAAGCTTACTTCAGTCCAAATCTATGGTTGGACAAAGACTTCTGAGGATTAAAGACGCATTAAATCCTTGATTGGTTAAATAAACAAGTATACGTTATTACTTAATATATAGCTAAATAATGTACTACTTGTTCTACAGCTGTATAACTAGATTGTCAGTGACTAGATTATACTTTTATACCTTTAATCCAATATTTTTGCTTTTCCCAAAATATTCGTTGCGTAGCTATAGCAGTATTAAAAGACCAAACAGTCACAACCTTATAACGACTCTATATTATCCTGAAGATTTTGACTTACTTTGTCACGTTTAGGACAATATGAAACTGAAATAGTATAAACTATAGTTTGCAACACATTACATCGTCTCATATTCTCACTTTGGTCTCTGGTCCCAAAATGAATGGTGTCCAAATTAAACGTTTAGGGTGCTGATTGACGTTTTTTGACTGTTTCATCGGTTATATCTGTTAGACTGTTACTCTCACAGTCATATCACATCCAAAATTCATTACAACAGCCGACAAGGTCCTTTGAAAATTCATTGCAACAGCCAACATATATTATACTCTACACAATCCGACATTGCTTAAATTACGCATGGGCAGTAAACGTATTGTAGATCGTGTTTAACAATGTGCCCTCCTGGCTATCACTATAGTGCAAAAGTGACTCCCGCACTTGTGAGACAAGATGTACAGTTACAAAATGTATGGATTGTTTTGCAGAGTCACCAAAGTGCTCAAACCTATTACGGTGAGCTTGGCAATATATTCAATATTGCAAAGAATCATATATTGCAATATATGATTTTCTTAAGAAAGCTTTAAAAGGTCTTTTGTAGTTCCATCTTGAAATGTCACTTTTATCTTTAAAAATCCTTTTAATGATATTCTTTTTCATACATTTATAAGACAAATATGTATAAGTATTTAATTTTGTAAATAGTTACTGAAAAGCCCTATAAGGAGTACCTATTGTTTGTCATTAAAGTCATGAAAGTCATATATATATTTGTATGATACGCTCACTTCATGTATAAAAAGAAACAAATAAATATTTGCCATAAACTCAAAACATCGCAAAAACCAGTGTACAGATGCCAACTAGCAAAGGTCTGCTTCCATAGGCTTAGAATTTCGTAAGGTCTCTTATATACTCTTGCAGTTTTGTAAATTGCCGAAAACCCTGGATTAAGTTTGAAATTATCAGAAAATAACGGATTATCGTGAAAATTGTTGTTGTCCTGAAATATGTTGAGCTATGAAGATTGCCCTGTCATTGAAGTATTATTTGTTTGTAAATTTATATACTTTCTTTATTATAATATGATAAAAATGCAAAAGTTACGAAATTTTGGAAAGTTCACAAAAAGTTCACAAATTTTAATGTTCACGAGATGTTCATGAAGAGAACAAAAAGTTCACAAATCCATGAACTTTTTCACGATCTGGCAACACTGTTTTTATGTTTTCAAGGTATTATCAATACGTCCGGTTTGGATTCATCGATTTCAATGCAGCCAGTCAGATGTACTTCTGATTTTAACTAGCCTAATTTTTTTTTGTTGATAATCGTTTATATCATTGAAAAAATTCATTTTGGTATTTTACCATTACTTTTCTTTTTTTTTACTTTGTTTGTATTATATTAAATTGTTATTTAATACGTTAGCTATGACTTTGACTTCGTGTGTATGTATACGATAGTATTTACAAATTTCTACGGGGGTTAAGCCTCCCGCAGTAAAATTTCTAAGGAGAATCAAGCCCCTCAGCTCACCGCTACGCGTATGTTGGTTGTCATTGACAATATATGTACTGGTCACTCCGATGTTGTATTTTGCTTCTTTAAACAAACAAATATAAAAAAAAACAAAGAAATGATGTCATGTTTTTAAGAAGCTTTCCGCTCAAAACGGTTCCACATAAACAAATTCAAGCATAAAGCTAAAACTATTGTGAAAGTCAGATTACAATAAATAAAACCAATGTGCAAGTAGCAGAAAGTGTAGTTTCATTTGGTATTACACGTCTCAGTAGGACCAGAAGGTGTAAACCTCAACTTTGTTTGTATACTGGGCTTTTCAGCTTGTGACAAGTGAGTACTTCGCTTTCTTTTAGTTCCCTTCCCACTAAGTATCAAAGGCACATAGTGATTGTGTTTGAATGCAGTTGCTTGAGAAGCTAAACCTTCAAAGCAAAACAAAACTCGCAAATAATTACTAGTGGAAGCACAAGCTCTAGATAGAATTCGAGGTTCAATTCTTTGGTTAAATAATAAATTCCACCTATAAGCACAAGAGTATATGTCAGGATAATAAGAAAAAATGCTACAAGATGTAACTGAAGAGAGTGCCAACAAACAAACAAACCCAGTCCATGCCATATCTTTTGCATTTAACACAGCTTCTGCACTGACCAGTTCAGCAACAGAACAACCACTCCAGCACTATCAATAGCTTCAAAAGAGACTGACATGGCCACCATGCTTGAGATAGAATTAAAGTGTTTGTTATGCTGAGTTTCAAAAATACTTGAAAAACATGAATGTTTTGCATAATAATCAGCATATAGAAATAATACTAGAGGTCATCAGCCTCAAAATAGTCACCACAGAGTTGTCACCAACAAGCAGAATAGACAATGAACTATAGAGGCAGTTGCCATTTGTAGCAGATCTGAAATAATGTTATGTAAATATCAAATATCATGCTCCAGTTCATTTTTGTATATCTTGTCTTAAGTATACTATTGAACACATCAAGAAATAAATCAATACAAAAGTTTTAAATATGATCGAAATTCGAAAATTTGTTTTGTTTTGAATCACATAAATAAACCACAAATGACAAATCCATCGGGCATCAATTCAAGTCAATTTATGTTTTCCTATATATTCTTGTGTAAGCATGCATGCATAACATGTCATAAGTTTTCTAACCATAAGGCAACCAAATATGTGTTCTTTGTCTTGGCACTGTGTGGTATGTAAAATTCAGCATTGATATTTCGGAAAATATCAACATTGAGACGATCGAACAAATTATCGTTGGTGACAATGCTTTGACTTTCAGGCAATCCAACATCTCTCCGTAGAGTTGAGCCATAAAAGTCCCATCTTTCCTCGTAAAAGCATCTTCGACTTGATCAGTAAAAGATGCCATGTTTCTCATTAATATTGTTGGTTTTGAAGCTCAAAGATAAGACCTCGGCTATCAGCAATCTCAATCTGTGCTGAATTTTGCACAACACCGCTTGAACATTTCGGCAAAAACGGCGGCTCGTTAGTCAGCACAACGGCAATAAACCAATCAAGAGACAGATTTTAGTCTCCAAATTCAGCACAATTTTAGCAGTGCTGACTCTGTGCGGGTTAGCTATGGGTATTTCTTCCGCAAGTGAATTATAAATATTTTTAGCCACTTGACCCTTAATCCCAGATGGTGGACTAAGAAGGTATTTTAATTAATAGATGTTTATATTCATTAACCAATTGATGGACAGGAACGGACATTCAGTTAATATTTGCCATTTTAATTGTCATATCTATCACTTAAAAATTGTGAATAATTGCAATAATTGCCAATATATTTTCTACATTTAATGTGCGAAAATGTGCTTGCCAGTTTGCAATCGGAGAAATTCTAGCCTACATCTAACTATTTACACATTATACAATAAAGTTAACAGTTAAACAACAACTTTGCACCTCCGGCGTTTCATAATTGTACCTTTAATTTTCTCAAAATTTTATCATTTGTATAAAAATTTTTGGATTGGACTTCTACTATTACATCGAAGAATGGATAAGGTTTGCTTTGAAGTCACTTCAACACAGAAAGCTCAAAAAGAACGAGTGTGATACACTATGCTCAGATATAATATTTCTCCTCATCACACGCTGGTGGGAAAGACATACTTTTCAGTCTGGCATGTAGCTCTCTGTTGTAAATTGTCATGTCAAGTTATATGTAACGTGTGACTGTGTTATATTATCTTTCATCTGTGCAGCGTGAAAAAGCTAAGGATGTTGAAACTAGAAATCGAAAAAATTACAACATTGATAATTTCAATAACCATATTTTTTACTTATTGAGAGACTCTACTTGGAATCATTGTGATCCTGATATTTTATGGGCACAATTTAAAGACATTTTTAATTACGTATCAGAAATTTATGGTCCAATAAAAACTAGAAAAGTCAGAAGTACTTATGCTCCTTGGCTAACAGCTCAGATTAGAGGTGAGATGAACAAGCGTGATTATTTGAAAAAGCGAGCCGTTAAAACAAACTCAGAAAATGTTTACCACGCTTCTCGAGCTAAACGTAACGAAGTTAATAAGTTGATTAAGTCTACATAATCTTGATATTGTAAGGAAAATATTGAAATGGACAAAAATAATCCAAAAGAAATGTGGAAAAATATAAATCAAGTCATTAGTGAAAATGGTCGATGTTCCAAAATTACCACCATTAGAACAATCAAAGATGAAATGGACAATAACATTTATAATGAAAAATCAATAGCTAGGCAATTGAATGAATATTTCATAGAAATCGGCCCTAAATTATCAAATAAACTTCCAGACAGTCCTAAAGACTTCTCTGGTTACTTAAATCCGTTAGATTGTGAATTTCAATTTCTTAGAACTTCTGATGAAACAGCTTACCAAAAAATATCAGAACTTAAATGCAATAAAGGTGTTGGATTAGACAAAATATCTTTCAAACTTTTAAAAGATTCTGCTATTGTCATCACTCCACACTTGACCCGCATTTCTATTCTATCGTTAGATGAAGGAAAATATCCTAACGACTGGAAACAAGCTAGAGTTTCTCCAATATTTAAATCCGGAAACAGAGAGGAGTGTAATAATTATAGACCCATTAGCATTCTATCTACTGTTTCCAAAATTTTTGAAAAAAATATTTTTGACCAATTAAATCATTACCTTTCTCAAAACAAGATTTTATCGAACTATCAGTCAGGCTTTAGGAAAGGATACTCTACTTGTTCCTCCTTGTTGAGAACAACAGATGAATGGTTATTTAACATGCACAAGGGGTTAATAAATGGCGTAGTTTTCTTAGATTTACAGAAGGCTTTTGATACCGTAAAACAAAGTATCTTGATAAAAAACTAGAACTTTATGGCATAAAAATAATGCGCTTAGCTGGTTCATCTCATATCTAAAAAACAGATAACAAGTATGTAAAGTAGGAATGTCTATTTTAAACAGCAAAAATATAACGAAGGGTGTACCACAGAGGTCAAATTTTGGTCCTATTCTTTTCTTACTTTATGTAAATGATTTGCCGAATAGTCTTAGTTTCTCCGTACCAGCACTTTTTGCAGATGATACAAATCTTACAGTTTGTGCCTTTGTATCAAACGAGATTCAAAAAATTTGGAAATTGAATTAAATAAGGTCCATATGTGGCTTTTAAGTAATAAACTGACCTTAAATGTCAAAAAAACGGAGTATATGTTAATTGGAACAAGACAAAAAGTTGTCCCAAGTTATTGCTGATCCAATTTTATCGATAGGGACTGAGGCTATTAAACGTGTTTCGTCCACTAAGACACTTGGTGTAGATGTGGATTAATGCATCACTTAGAACAATCATATTGAAAATGTAGCCAAAACTGCTCTCAAGGGAATTGGCGTACTCTGTGGATCAAAAAAATACTTGACAAAGACACGCTTAAAGTCATGTATAATGCTTTTGTTTTTGCAATATTTTGATCACTGTGCTTTAGTATGGAACAACTGCTCCAATAGTTTACAGATTAATTTACAAAAACTTCAAAATAAAGCTGGCCGAATAATTACAGTTGATTGCTATAAATCTGTCTCAGACTCTGTAAGAACTAAACTCTCTTGGGACACCTTAGAGGCAAGGAGAAAAGCACAATTAGAGAATTTAATAGTACAAATAATGAAAGGTAATTCTATGGATTAACTGCGACAGTTTTTCTCAATACGTACGAATGAAATGTATGAACTACGAAATAACAATCACGTTCTCAACTTGCCAAAACCAAAAACAAATGCCTTAAAACGTAGCTTTGTATATAGAGGTGCAGAGGCTTGGAATAACATCAAAGATAAAAGAAAATATCCATTGCATGCATAAACTTTATAGATTTTATATTTTTATTTTTACATAGCTCATACTTTGTTGTTTTTTTTGTTTATTTTTTTATTTTTATCGAGATGTATTATCCTTTTTAATTTTATGTTATCACACGGCTATCTGAATATTTTTATATGTAATTGTATTTTAGGATCCAAGTTGAGATACTATCGTGTTTAAATAAATGTAAATGATAAATAATAATAATAATAAGTAGTAATAATATTACACATTATAAGATTATAACTGATATTATTAAATTGATAGAAAATACGTAGATAGTTCAAAAATTGTGCTTTTTATGGAAATCCTGTACGTAAAGCTAATTTTTTTGAAAAAAAAAACGTAGGCAAAATGTTTTGTATTTATGCAAAAGCGATGCCCACAAAATACATTTTGTATTGCTCTAAAACGCTTAAAATGGCATTTCCATGGCTCTGAAATTCAAAACGTTTGAAGGGGAGAAAGCCTCGGACCCCCCAGGTACGGAGAGCCTCCGACGATTTATGACTGATGCTTGAAAAATCCTAGATCCGCCCTGTTCAGATTTATAATTAAAAGAAGAGTGAAGAGAACAGAGCTTATGTAAAAATAATTGGTGATTATTGTCGTTACGAAAAAGGGAAAAGGTGTCGTTAACATAACGTTTGTACTACAGCACTTCTGGAGGCTCAGAAGAAGCAAACATCTTACATTTACAACAGCCTACGAAAATTTTAGCGAGTACTGGTCCAAGAGGAGAACCCATAACCACCACATCAATTTGTTTGTACATGATGTCATTAAAACTAAACTCGACTCTTCTAGTGACCGCTAACATTAATTCTCTAAAAGCCTCCTCGGACATATGTGGTACAGCCATACCCGAGCGATAAAGATTATTAACACAGATTTCGATGGTTTCTTCTAAGAGCCTTCTCTAATTGCGCAGTCATGCACTTTTCGAGTGCTTGTGATTCAGTATTCTATACAACGCTATGACATATCTTCATGATTATGTATCGAGTTTGTTTTCGCTGGGACTTTGTATTGTGTAATTATAGGCTGCATTTGAAATCAGGAGGGAGTGAATGATAAAAGCAATTTTTTGAGACTACCTCCTATTTTGGGCCGCTCCCAGTTAAGCGATGCATTTATGATCGGAAAAATTTCACCAATCGCTGCGGCGCTAAAACGAGCATGTGTGGCAACACTACTTTTAGGGAGGTAAACGTTTGCTCTGTATCCGCCCCTGATTAATGTGCATGATTCATTGGTTACTAGTGCATCACTAACTACGTAATTTGTTGTCGGTGTGTGATTGGTATGTACATTTTACATTATTCGTACCAAATTTACAGATATTTGTTTCACATTCATAAAAATTTGTATCGTATATTTATAAATAATTGAACAATACAAATCGGATGTTTTAATTTGCATTATAGCTATTGAAGCATAAAGCTGAAACTATTGTGAAAGTCAGGCTACAATAAATAAAAAACTAATGTGCAAGTAGCAGCAAGTGTAGTTTTATTTGGTTTTATTTTACAACGACTGTAAGACCTTGCATTTTCAAATAGACTTAGATAATGTTTTGCCAGTTCCGAGACGAAATTAGAACGTAAATTAAATATCTTTAATGCCATCAATCGACCGTGTTTCCTGCTTTGTAAGATCGCGTCTTGCAGATAACATCAATTGGCCGAAAAGTGAAGACCTTCGAAGTTCACCAACCAAAACCAATTTGCACAGTCATCTGCTTTATATAGGTTAGTTCAAAGTTCCAATGAACTGTACTTGTGCATGGTAGATAATCTGTATTTTGTATTGACATGCATATATATCGAAGCTGAACCACCTGAATGTGTTATTTCCCCTAGGCAATGTATTAACATAGAAATTGTGTGGGGTGTGTGGATTGCGAATATTCCCGTTTGTAGTCATAGATGAATGTCGACATTGTCGCCTCAAAAGTATTAGTAATTTGTTGCTCACTAATACAACAAAACAGAGTATATTATTTGATTTATTTCGATAAACGAATTTAACTACTGGTGAAAATGCTCAGTTTATTTATATTGTCAGTAGTGATGTCTTCATTTGGATGCTGATGATTTAAAAAATCTATCTTGGTAGTTATTCCCGTTCTACAAATAGAATTTAACTGAAATTATCTCCAAACTTTATTTGTTCTTGAGTTGAGATACGCTTTGTGCAAACGCTCTCAATATGTCTTCTCATGCAAGATGCGCTCTTGCGATAGTCAAGATCGATAGACGACATTTAAGATTGTACGAACGTCTTAACCATTTTCAGACTAAAAATGATAACACGAAGAGACATGAGACAAAATTTTCCACGGCGACTGGCTACTTTCTATATATTTAGCTACTTATACGGTTCAGTGATCAACTAAATTACAACAGTATACACTGCAGAGTGCGGTAAGGTACGGTTTGGTGACCACAGAACAAAGAAAATGTTAAGCGCTATTAAGTGGAACATTTGAGCAAGTTCAGACTTTTCTCAATAACGCTTAACACTACTCAGTGCCACTCAGAACACTTCTTTAACAAGGTATGTAAATCTCTGAATAAGTTGAGTCTACAAGGTAGAGCGTACGTTGTCTTGAGTCAACTTGTTTACTGTTGAGAGCGTTTGCTCGTCTTATTGACCTCTCTAAATTGTTGCCATTGTAGTTTTGTTTTACATTATGCAAATTTCTGAGTTTTCTTCAAAGCTCTGTATAGCTTTTGAAAGTTAAAGAAGCTGAAGTTGCTTCTTCTTTTAAAGACAAAATGTACTCCACTTGCCTGGTAAATGATCCATTTTGATCAATTCTGGCTAATTTGTAACTGCCACACAATTTACAAAATAGTCACAAAACACGAACAACTCATTGACAACAGCAACGATACCTTACATCAAAGGTACGTCTGAGACTATCTCGCGTATCTTACGACCATACAACATACGTGTCGCACATAAGCCAATCACAACGTTACGACAAGTACTAACGAACATAAAGGACAAAGAACAACCCAACGAACGACAAGGTGCAGTTTCCACAACAAACTGCTCCCACCACCACGCCTCCTATATCGGAGAAACTGGCAGGAACTTAAACATAAGACTTAATACACACAAACGAGCTACTACGAAACAAGACAAAACTAATCACATTGCCGAACATCACCGAATCACAAAGCACAACATTGGCGGGGACTCGGCAAAATGCATTACTTATTGGACTGACTATAGACAACAGCTTACATTAGAAAGTTGGTACACCAACTTGGAACAAGCCCCCCTGAACAGATCACACCAATTACCAGCACCTTACAAACGACTTATTCAAAATACAAACGTTCAACTAAAAGCATTACACTTCACACTAATTCACAATGACAATACACATTTCCCGTACACACAATACAATAACGTAAGAACCAGGTAACAAGTACGGCCAACCTGACGTTTATTCCTCGTTTGACTCTGAAGATGACTACCGCTAAGGTTGTCGAAATGTCAGTCAACAACAACAAAAACAGTCCTTCTCAGGACTATACCAACCTGGACGATCTGCATTTACAAACATGTCATTACTCAAATGTATTATATACATAGTACAAGCACAGAATAGACATCTAACAGAAGGCCAACTCGGCTAGAATCGTGGCATATTTTTTCACTGCGCATGCGTGACTTCCCAGCAAGATAGTTGCACAAAATCAATATGGAATAGTATTGCACGAGAATGCTATTTTACTAATAACACTGGTCAACAGCAAATTTGGTGTCTCAGTTTTGTAAACTGATTTTGGACAATTTTGATGTGCTGAGTCCAAAAATAACACTATTTTTGCTGGGTCAGGTCGAGATTTTAAGCTATCGTTAATTTTCTATTTTTAACTTTTAAATACCCGAGAGGTACAACAGAAGTACTAACCATTTACCTTTTAAAGTTCTATTATCTGAACAAATTTAAATTTTTAGCACTAGCAATAAAAGAAGAAAGCATTTGAATAAGCAATTTTTGATTGAATATCAATTAGGGAGTTTAGGTTTTGCGATTATTATGTGATATTTAAAGATAAAATAAGGCCCATACTGGAATTCAATGGTAAAACTTGTTAAAACACACCAACATATTAATGTAAGTAAAAAATAATAAAAAGTAGAAATAATAAAATAAGCCAGATGTTTTTGCTATGTTTGTGGTGAATACACACTTGCACCAAATCGCAATATTGTCACCACCTTTATCAAGCGCGTTTACTATGCATATTTTGGCATGAAATCAAGACAAAGGTTGGACACCTCACATGGTTTGCAAAAGATGCACAGAGCATCTCCGTCAATGGAGCAAAGGCACGCAAAGTCCATGAACTTTGGCATCCCCATGATTTGGAGAGCCTTAAATCATGCAACCGATTGCTACTTTTGTGCTATCAATGTCATGGGAATTAACAGAAAAATCGCACAACACTGGAGTATCCCAATCTACCGTCAGCTATGCGCCCTACTCCTTATAGTGAAGAAAATTCCGTACTTGTATTTGAAGATACAAGTATTGAAGAAAGCAGTAGTAGCCAGGATGAAACTCAAAGCATTGCCACTACCGATGATGCAACCTTTCCCGATGACAATGATGAGCAGCCAAAATTGTTTTCCAAAAACGAACTAAACGATCTTGTTGGCGATTTAAATTTGCCAAAAGACTCTGCCGAACTTCTTGCATCTCGTTTAAAGGACAAGAACATGCTAAATGGTAAAGTTAAGGTAAGTTTCTTCCGTACCAGGCACCAGGAATTTTTAAGATATTTTGCTCAAGAAAAAGAATTAGTCTATCGCAATGACATAGTAGAGCTACTGAAACATCTCGTCGTACCTGAATACAAATCAGAGGACTGGCGACTTTTTATCGACAGCAGCAAAAGGTCCTTGAAATGTGTGTTGTTACACAATGGAAATCAATTTGCATCTGTGCCATTGGCACATTCCACAACATTAAAAGAACAGCATGAAGCAATTAAGTACGTCCTAGAAAAAATTTCTTATGACCAACATAAATGGCTGATTTGCGTTGACTTAAAAATGGTCAACTTCTTGCTTGGTCAACAGTCTGGATTTACCAAATACCCATAATTTTTATGCCTCTGGGATAGTAGGGATCGTACGCATCATTACGTGAAAAAAGAATGGCCAGTACGTGAAGAGCTTGCAAGTTGTAGAGCAAAAAATGTGATAAACAAGCCTCTAGTTGACAGGGGACGTATTTTATTTCCTCCACTGCACATAAAGTTCGGTTTGATAAGGCAATTCACTAAAACTTTGGATAAAGATGGACGGTGTTTTCAGTTTCGTTGTAAAACCTTCCCAATTTGTCAACTGAAAATTAAAAGCTGGTATTGATCCCGAAAATCTTGCTCTTTAAGCGATGAGCAAGGAGAGCGCATTCACCATGACTTAAGAGAAAGGTGATACATGGTGATGATGGCGGACTACTGTTGGAATTTAAAAAAAGATGTGCAAGCACCAAAACATTCGCGACAATCAAAAAAAACGAAAATTTAGACTGTAATAATGCAAACATTAAGTTTTCATTTTTAGTTACATGTACTGTACATGAAGTGTACATGATTCTTTCTTGGAATACTGAAATTTTATCATAAAAACTGACATTTTGTTTTGAAACATCTTGAAAACATGTAAATCTTGAAAACATTGTTTTGAAAAAATATAACTAAAGTCGCATAATTTTAAATTCAAATTTTCAAAAAAATTTGACCTCCGAGAGCAAAATGAATGTTATTTCTAGATTTAGCATAGCAAAAATATAGTAAATCAGTCAAAAAATATCAGACACCTTTTAAAAAGTTTCTTTTTGTTGACCAGTGTAATCATTCTGGACCTTCTGTCAAGATGTCTATTCTGTGGTACAAGTGTACAACAATTTTATCCCAGTCTTATCTCATGTTAAGATGAGATCAAGCCACCCAAACACAGAGAATAACATTGCTGTGGTAAAAATTTCGAATATAGTAAAAAACATATAAGATTTTGTGTAAATTGCTTTGGAGTGCGTTTGTGTCCGAGTAAATACACTTAATTTGCATGATTTTTTAAAACGTTTCATATAAGGAAACCTCGCTGCAGTAGTTTTAGTGCTTTTGACTGAGCTGTTTACTATATTTTACAGCTTCTTTTGCTTGAGACAATTTAGCTTTAATATTTCCAGTTAATTCAATAAAGCTAACAACACCACCCTCTAAAAGTGCAAAGCACTCGCTTTTGGCGCGTGATTAAGCTAATAAAAAACACAAACAGTTTTGTGCTTGTTATTCATGTTGAACGTGTCTCATCCTGATTTAAAGTTAATAAACGAATGATTACGTTGAAGATACGTGTTTCACACATATAGATGAATAACTATAAGCAGCGTAGTGATGTCCTTAAACTAAATGAAAGCAGTCCATGTCTTCGACCTGTTCAAGAATACCTGAATACAAGCACGCAAACTGAAGTCCAGGTTTACAAGAGACGTTGGTATGTACTGCTACTATTCTTCATCAATGGAATGATGCAGTTTGCTATTTGGAACACATTTAGTCCTATAGAGACGACAGCTAGAGCAGTTTATAAATGGGATGGATGGGTTATCGATCTTATTGCTGCCTTAGGCACCATCGCGGTTTGTGTTTCAACGTTACCTTTTTCTTGGATTCTGGATGTTAAAGGTAAATATTACTTTTCACAATTATTGAATCATTTTTGCCCAAAACAAAAAAGGTGAAAGAAACAGATCTGCGATCTTTTTTCTTCAAGCGTAAAAAAATTTTCTAAATGCATCATCGCACTGGCTGGTGTGGTGATCCAACATTTTTCAAAATATGCATGAACATTTTCTTTTAATGTGTAAAGAAAAATTTACACGACTGTAAATTTTTGTCAAACAGATCACACAGATGCTGGTGCTAATGCATAGGAAATTAATATGAAAGTCAGCGTCTCTTTTGTCAATGTATTTAAATGACTTGTAACAAACTTTGATAATTTTAGTGGCAACGATAAGAAAACAAAACTAAATTTCAAGTTAAAAAGACATGATTTTGTGTTTTTAGGTTTGCGTTTTAGTGTTTTGTTAGCAGCTGCTATGCAAATGGTGGGGACGGCTCTACGCGTCATACCTACTGGTAACAAGAAAACTTCGACAGCTTTAATTTATTGCGGTCAAATTATCGTTGGTTTAGCTTCTCCTGTTAGCATGGCAGCAGCAGCACTTTTGTCGTCAACATGGTTTCCGAAGCACCAACGAACAACTGCCACTGCAATATCAACTGTTGCGGGATATGTGGGATTTTCGCTATCTTTTCTCGTCGGTCCTGCCTTTGTTGACGATGTAAATGATTCAAATGCTGTAAAAATTGGTGATAACTACCGACTAAACATAACCGAAGAGAAAAAATTCGAAAAGCAAATTAATACTTTTCTATATTTCGAGGCTGTACTTCAGACAGTTTTGTTTGTTACAATGTTAGCATATTATCCATCCAAACCACCAAATCCACCCAGTCTTTCAGCATCCACAGATCGTTTAGATTTTAAAGGTGGTGTTCGAGAACTGAGTAAAAACAGAAACTTTTTCTTCTTGGGACAATTTACGGAGCTAGCATTGGTATTTTTACTTGCTGGTGCGCCATTCTGTATCAAAACCTCTCAGACTTTGGTAAACAGGTGAATGAACATTTTGCAGGACTGCTCGGCTTTCTTGCTGTCACTTCTGGTTCTTTTTCCGGTGTACTATTTTCTATGTAAGTAATTTTTTCTATATGCATAACTGATAACGTCGTCGTATTATGTATGTTGGTTATGCATCAAGCTCCCCTTGGCCCATAGGTTTGCTGGCAGCATGAATTATACTGTAAAATAAAGCTTTGGGAAACATGCGCTATGCTTTTAAAGAACTAGCTGCACGGTAATGTTTTACGTGCGTAGCCATAAGCAGGTAACCATTTTCTCGATACCCTAAAATGGCAGCACATTAGGTTGTCAATTTAATGCAATAATTAAAATGTCTACTTCTATTGCTAAGTGCTAAGTCTGGTATAATTCGACACCTAAGCGTAGTCGGCTAAGAAAAGAAGAAAAATAAAAAGGAGTGTATTAAAGAAAGATGTAATTCGTATTTGATTGCCCATTATACGTGTTTCAAGTTTGTCTGTAGAAGTTTGTACTAAAGTCTAGTCTACATAATCAGGTTGTTTAACTAGCTATTCTTTATAGTTGAAATTTTATTCTTCTTGATAACGTATTACAGTCAAGTCTTCATTATATTCAAATACTTACATTATGGCAATAATGTAAGTAAATATTCATCTACCCAATATATGATAGCGGAGTTAAACACAAGCGCACAAAGCACTAGAGTGCGACTAAATCATTGAACACAACAGGAAAATTTAGATTATGTTTTCGTGAACGAATTAGTCAAACGTCATTACAAATAGAGAGTGACGAGGAAAGCTTAAAGCCTAAAAACTATGCTTTACTGGAAAATTTCGTGACAATAGATTTCTTAGATACGATTTAGCTGCTTCCCAAACACATTTGCTTTCTTAGATTACGTGAAATCCTTCGCAGGAAAAATAAAATTTGCACGTTGGTAAATGGTAAATAAAATTATAACACATCACAAAACGCATTCGGATCAAGCCCACCTTGCATACATACTGAAATAATAGCTGTTATCTTTTGCGCTGTTAATTAAAGGGTGCTTAATAACAGCTTTTTCTTCCTGTGGGGAAAACAAACAAAAAGACAAAATTTTTTGACGATCTGCTTTCTGAAAATTTATATCATCATACAACATAACATTGCGTTGTGAATATGTTTCATCTTCAATTTACTTAATCTTTGTTTGTAGATTTGCTGATCATTTCACTGGACATTTGAAGTTGTGCCTTATTATCTTCATGGCGTTTTCTTTTTGCTCTGTTTTGTTGATCTCTTGCGTTTTTACTGGAGCTATCGGATTTTTTAAAAGTTTAGTTTACGTTTTGTTTAGCTTAAGTGGATTTTTTGTCTACGGAACAATACCATTATTCTTTGAGTTGGGTGTTGAGTTGACATATCCGGTAGCAGAAGGTATTACTTCCGGTGCTATGACTTTGTTTGGAAATTTTGCGATATCGCTATTTCTTCTTCTTCCATTGGTAAATATTGGTACAAAATGGATGTTGTGGGCTACAGTGGGAACTTGTGCTGTATCGACTTTACTTCTTCTTTTTGTGAAAGAAAGTTACAATCGATCATCTGTGGATGAGCATTCATTGACAAAAAACGATTCTAATTCAAGCTCAGTAAACACATCAACAAAAAGTCTCCATTGAATGTAGTTATCTTATAAGAAACAACTTGTGCATGTAGAGAAACATTCCATTCATTATAAGGACAAGATTGTCTTAGGCAAACTTATTCTTATAATTTACAAATATTTTTCATATGTTGACAGTGAGCCAACTTCAGACCAAGTCTTCCTGGACAAAGATTTTTAGCTTAAATGGGCTGTACCACTTCTGATGATGTAGCCCTTTTCGAATAACATGCATAATTCATACTGCTTTAAGAAATTTCTATATGATATGGACACCTGCTTCTCGCTAGTGAATCATCAGATTGATAATTAAACGAAGTAGTTTGATTTAATATTGAACAAACAAACTGCTGACCTGTGAAAATTTACTTCCAATCTGTGAACATATTACTAACCAAAAATAAGAAGTTCAGGGAAGTAAGCATATCATTCTTCAAGGAACTCGCATTTTATATTTCTTTATGTTTATGTTTTTGCAACATATTATTTTAAAATTTGTATTTTGATCGAATAAATGAATCAATCATACAATTATCGAGTATTCTTTTCTAATCTGCATAATCCAACAGTTTCGACTCTTTTAATCCTAAATATTAGTTCACAAGAGTTTTGACAATACTTCAACTTTCTTTTTATGAAAGTAAGTTACAAGCGATCGTCCGTGGATGCGCCCTCGACGACAAAAATGATTTCACCAAAAATTCAGTGAGCAAATGAACAAAAATTAAATTTCAAATTGAATGTGATTATTGCCATAAGAAAGAACCAATGGGGAAACAGTTCAACTCTTTCGACAAAATTCAATAAATATAGCTTCCAGTTTACGACACGAAATAATTCAAAACACGTAAACATTGGTTTAATTTTGGTATCTACATGGTTGTTGGAAGTATTTTCTGTATGCGAAACTGATACATAGTCTTAAGCTTAACCCAAAGTGCTTATGCTTTGACAGTTGAGGACTTATTATCATGCAGTGATGTTGTGTAGGAGGAACACGGTGAAACGACGTTCCCCAACTATTTTACAAGGAGAACGGCGTTCCCTTAATGAAAAATAACACGTGGAAGAGCGTCGTTCCTCCAGTTAATATTGCATTGCAGCTAGCAAATTTAAATTATTTAGAACCCAGTCTCAGTAAGACTGTTCGCAATTTATCACGTGTTTTGTAAAAAGGCGTGTCGATAACAAGTAATTATAAATACAATTAAATGTGAGAATATGGCGCAGAATTAAGTGAGAATAGCCTGAATTGGTGGTACAATTCTTCGGAAAACCTTCTCAAAGATATATTACCATTGTTCTAAGAAAGGATCCTTCTATAGCGTATGTTATATTTATAAATAGAAGTATTGATTGTATAATGCATGCAGTAATAAAATGGGGAACTATCAAATTCGTGGTCAAAAATCAATAATATAATAACATATGTTTACCGACTGGAGCTCTGTTAAAAATAGTGGCGAGTTCACAAAAGCGGTCGGACATATCTTTTTTTATTTTTCTATTTATACATGCGATGTGTTATTTTTTGATTTCCCGCAATTTGATTGGCTGTAGCAGCAAGCTGCTGTTTACGTGGACTAAAACTGATGTTTTTTGAAATGTATTCATTTACAAAGTGAAGTTTGATTTAAGAGCTTTTTAAATTGTTCAATGAAAAAGCAAATTGTACTCGGATAGTATTTATCATACCGAGAATTTTAGCATATAGTATTGCATACAAAAATCTAAAATCACTAAGAAAAGCATTGTGCTCCAGGAGGGGATCGAACCCTCGACCTTCGCATATACTCATGTACTGCTTATAAGTACGATGCACTAACCGACTGGGCTACAAGAGCATACATGTCTTTCCTTAAAACAGTAAACTTATCAAGATAAATCTGTGCTAAAATATTAGGTTAAGAATCACACAACTTAAATTTTAATGCACTGGTTGAAAATGGCGTGCATCAACCATTGGGTTGTATAAAGAACTGGAGGAAGCACAAGGACTGTTGTCAAAAACATGGATGCAATAGCGGATTTTGATTCTCAAAACTTCCACTTTTAACATTGTTTTTAATATTCACTCCCTCCCAATGTCTAATACTGTTTACAAAAGAGTAAAATAACAACCAGTGAAAGTCTCACGATACCTAAAGCAAAATTGTTTCGACCGAGAGTAAATTCATTGCCATTGCTTTTATCAATAAGTCTTAGGAAAATGCCCCTTTTTAAAAGAACAGAAAAACTGTATGCCAAGCCTTACTGCTACAGCAAGTATGACTAAAATTATAGTCATTTTAAGTTAACCTTGCTTGAATGTAGACTGCTGTCTCATATATAGTGACAATAGAATGATATTCTATCAGTTCTGCTGAGTACAGGTAATGAAAGTATTTTAAACTTTGTTGGCTACAATATAAAACAAAATTTGAAATACTATCATGCAAAGATTTTAAAGCAGGATTGTAAATAATTGCAGCTAACCCCTGAACAATTTAACATACGTAAGTAAATTTCTTTTAACTTATAGTTTTTTTGGCTTTTCTGACATAACACTGTGTACTGTTTCGCAAGAGCAGAAATAGTTTAGTATAAATGAAAATGTTCAGCAAGTTTTATAACATAATTGTGAAACATTTTGTCATTGTGTATAGTGTTGAAAGAATCATACAAAGATATTAAAAATCCGTTTGGGACTGAGATAGCTTCTTTTATCAAGTTCGACTTGACTCTTAAGAATTTAAGTCTGTTTATGATTCTGATTTATTTCAATCAGTCATTTTATTTATTTACATTTCATCTTTATCAGACACATAGATATGCTTCGCCTTCTTTGTTTTTACTTTTTCCAGCCTGAATCCTAGATAACCTAAAATTATGCGAAGAGTGGAATTTTGTCGAATGAGGCAGTCTACATTGGTCTATAATCCTAATTTATTTTTACTTATTAACCTGTTTACTGTTAGAAAATATAATTGATTTGCAGAAATATTCGATTTTAAAATTAGTATAGTAGCATTAAGCAAGCATTTACTCTCCTTATCTTTATTGTCAATAAATTTTCACAATGTGTGCACAAGCAGAGCTAAATGAAAATATTTTTACTCTACGAATAATACCACAGAGTTTTCAAATTAATGTTAGCACCGCATTTCATCTTAACTCAACTCTATTCCTAACGTTTTCTTCATATTTTCAGAAAATCGTATGAAAAACTCCTATACTCGTTTCTTAACCGTAAACTCAATACATAACACTGACAATGGAGAAATGTTGCTTGATAGAAACTTGATTAATCTTTAAGCCTCGCAGCCTCTGGAGACCAATAGTGTAGAGAACATAAAAGAAACACAAAAAATTACAGATTACATGCCATTACAGTGAACAGACAACAAGAATTGTAAGTTTGTGGATATTTTTACAATCGCAACTGTTATTGTCAAACCCGAACGGGGAAAAAATGTTTTCATTTTGCTAAAACGCGCCTTTAGGCTGACTTTGACATCCAAAATTGGCCATATTTGGTATGACGGCATCCTTGTTTTTAGGAACGGGCTGGGCGCTAATAATTTATAGTAATTTGGATGACACGCTCCCTCCAGTTCTTTATACAACACAATGGCATAAACTGACAAGGCATTAGGAGATGGTCACCTTTTAAAAGAGTAACATCATCTACTAAGTTAACTTGTTTCCAACAAAAATGATAGGGATAAAAAAACAATTCCAATTAAATTGCTCCTGAAGTTAATCAAACCTTAACTTTTATGCAATAAAGTCACAAAGAGATTTAAGATGCTCCTTGAGGGAATTAAATGCACCTTCTTTGCTTTACTCATGCAATGCTTGTATGGTTGTAATTATTTTTCTTACATGCTGCACAATTTTGAAAATGGTCATGTAAGCGATCAAACCCTCGACCTTCGCATATACTCATGTACTGGTAAAAGTACGATGCACTAACCGACTGGGCTACAGGAGCATACATGTCTTGCCCCAAAACAGTAAATTTTACCAAGATAAATCTCTGCTTAAATATTAGCTTAAGAAACTACAGAACTTAAATTTTCATGCACTGGCTAAAAGTAACGTGCATAACCCAACAAGGCATGAGAAGTTAGTCACTTTTTAAAAGAGTAACATCATCTACATAATTAACTTATTTCCATAGTACGGTTTTAAACAGCATAAATCGTCTAAATGGAGAACAAATTATGTACCCCGGTATGGCAAAAACTAAAAACTAAGTATGCCTAGATACCACGGGCGTCTCAAAAGCTCGAGCAATTAGGCATAAGACTGATTTGAGATGGAAAAAATCTTCTCTGTCAATGATTATCATTAATTATTTTTAACAATTTGAGTTTAAAACACATAAACGCGATATTTTGATGAAGTTAGACACTTTTGTTGAAAATGCTAATTAAAGAAAACAATTTAGGCAAGGTTTTGATTTATTTCAAACGTTGTTAACTGTGAAATATATCATAAATTAGGAGTTAATTGTTTGGTTGGAACTTGCTCAAAATGAAAGTAAATGCAATGTTTAAAAATAAGTTAAGGCATAAGGAGCTAACTACTTTTTAAAAAGTTGCATACTATACACAGTTAAATTATTTTAAAGATATTTGTAAACATGAAAAAAATTGCTATTAGTTTTCCCCTAAAGTTTATTATAAATATTTTAAGCAAAATATTACAACGTTGTAAAAGATTTTTAGAACAAAATCACTAAGAAAAACATATTGCTTCCGAAGTTAATGAAACCTAACCTTTGCTTATAGTTGTGCACATTTTATAAAGATATTGCACAATCAATAAAATCAAATAAATTTGAAATGCTCCTGGAGGGGATCGAACCCTCGACCTTCGCATATACTCATGTACTGCTTATAAGTACGATGCACTAACCGACTGGGCTACAGGAGCATACATGTTTTGCTCAAAACAGTAAATTTAGCAAGATAAATCTCTGCTAAAATATTAGCTTAAGAAACTACACAACTTAAATTTTAATGCACTGGTTAAAAGTAACGTGCATAAACCCACAAAGCATTAGAAGTTTGTCACTTTTTAAAAGAGTAACATCATTTACACAATTATCTTATTTCCATAGTACGGTTTTAAACAGCATAAATCGTCTAAATGGAGAACAAATTATGTACCCCGGTATGGCAAAAAGTAAAAACTAAGTATGTCTAGATACCACGGGCGTCTCAAAAGCTTGAGCAATTAGGCATGAGACTGCTTTGAGATGGAAAAAATCTTGTCTGTCAATGATTATCATTAATTATTTTTAACACTTTGAGTTTAAAACACATAAACGCGATATTTTGATGAAGTTAGACACTTTTGTTGAAAATGCCCCTTAAAGAAAACAATGTAGGCAAGGTTTTGATTTATTTCAAACGTTGTTAACTGTGAAATATATCATAAATTAGGAGTAAACTGTTTGGTTGGAACTTACTCAAAATGAAAGTAAATGCAATGTTTAAAAATAAGTTAAAGCATAAGGAGCTAACTTCTTTTTAAAAAGTTGCATACTATACACAGTTAAATTGTTTTAAAGAAATTTGTAAACATGAAAAAAATTGCTATTATTTTTCCCCTAAAGTTTATTATAAATATTTTAAGCAAAATATTACAACGTTGTAAAAGCTTTTTTAGAACAAAATCACTAAGAAAAACATATTGCTTCCGAAGTTAATGAAACCTAACCTTTGCTTATAGTTGTGCACATTTTATAAAGATACTGCACAATCAAAAAATCAAATAAATTTGAAATGCTCCTGGAGGGGATCGAACCCTCGACCTTCGCATATACTCATGTACTGCTTATAAGTACGATGCACTAACCGACTGGGCTACAGGAGCATACATGTTTTGCTCAAAAACAGTAAATTTACCACGATAAATCTCTGCTAAAATATTATCTTAAGAACTACAGAACTTAAATTTTAATCCACTGGTTAAAAGTAACGTGCATAAACCAACAAGCCATTAGAAGTTTTTCACTTTTTAAAAGAGTAACATCATCTACATAATTAACTTATTTCCATAGTACGGTTTTAAACACCATAAATCGTCTAAATGTAAAACAATTTATCTACCCCGGTATGGCAAAAAGTAAAAACTAAGAGTAGTATAGGCCGTTAGGGTACCAGCTCAAAAATGGACTGGTTTTGAACCTGTGTTTTAAAGGGGGGTAAAAAACTCGAGTTTACAATCTATTTAAAAAATTTGGAATCTATATATTTTTGAAATATATAGGTGCGTTTAAATTTTACAAGCAGTCTTTACAAATAAATGTTAACAAAGCATCTTTTCGGAGGGGCTCGGCAGCGCAGATCACGAAGTGATCGAGCAGGGGATGGAGCCCCGAGAATCCTCAGCGACGGTGGCTGATTCACGAAGTGAATCAGGAGCGCACCCATGTGTCCGAAGGACAACAGACATTTAACATATGCTCTTTACAAAATTTAGAGTCTATATGTTTTTTTGAAATATATAGGTGCGTTTTAATTTTACAAGCAATCTTTACAAATAAATGTTAACATAGCATCGTTTCGGAGGGAGCTCGGCAGCGCAGAGCCCATAGGGCTCGAGCAGGGGAATGGAGTTCCCGAGAATCCTCAGGGCTCGGTGGGGAAAATTTTCACGAAGTGAAAATTCGGAGCCCAAAGTGGTATTCGAGAATTCGAAGAATTCGAAGAATAACAGACATTTAACATATGCTCTTTACAAAATATGGAATCTATATGTTTTTTAATTTATCTGTAAGGCGCGTGTTCCTTAGTGCATGTTTTTAACAATGGTTGTTTAATGTAACCAGCACATGTAATTCGGCGCATTTTTTATATTATTTGTCTGTCAGGCGCGTGTCTTAGTGCATGTTTTTAACAATGGTTGTTTTTATGTACCCAGCACATGTAAGTCGGCGCATTTTAATAATTTAATGTTTTATATAATTTTTGTTAAAAGTGTTTGTTACTAATTGTTTCAGGATTTTGTATTTTTTGTATATCACTTTTGTCTCAAAATTTTACAAACTACCTGCAGCAAACAGTTATTATGTGTTAATCCATCTGAATAAAATACTTTCACTACGAGTGGTTAAAAGTTATGTGATATGTAGTCAAACCTGAGGATTATAATTATTCTGAATTTTTAGCTTGATAGTTATCTTTAATAAATTTTTTTAATTTTTCGATTTCATCATTTACAAATTTTTTAGTTGATAGAATATTATCTTCTATAGTAGCCCCAAAATTTTGTGAAAAACCATTAGACGTCAACATCAATCTACATTGATGTTGTGAATAAACTTGCATTTTGGTTAATCCATTTAATGCTGTCAGCCATTTTCTTTTCCATTCGTTATAACCAAATGAAGCTGTAGATTTTTTTGGTTCAATAATAATATAAATATAGTTGAAATCATCATCAACACAGTATACGTACTATAAATCTAGTAATGCATTAACTATCTTTTTTTCATTATCATTTGTTAGTTTAATGATAAATTTTTTTTAATCTTATCTACCATCATATCTAATTTAATTGTTTTAGAGTTATCAGACGGATTTATTAATAAAAGTGTAAATTCAATAAATTTAATATTATTAAAAATAATTCTGATAATAGTTTGTAGGCTATTAGAAGGTGGGTTATAATTTAATTGATTACTATGATATACTACTTTACTATTTACTATATCATCTATTTCAGTCTTAGTATAATAGTTAGTTAAATTAGAAGTCAAAGCATACTTACCATGTGTTTCAGTCTTAGTATAATAGTTAGTTAAATTAGAAGTCAAAACATACTTACCATCAGCTTGTGTTTTAGTATAATAGTTAGTTAAATTAAGAATTTAAAGCATACTTACCATCTGTTTCAGTCTTTGTATAATATTTATTTAAATTAGAAGTCAAAGCATACTTACCATCAGCTTGTGTTTTAGTATAATAGTTAGTTAAATTAGAAGTCAAAACATACTTACCATCAGCTTGTGTTTTAGTATAATAGTTAGTTAAATTAGAATTTAAAGCATACTTACCATCTGTTTCAGTCTTTGTATTATATTTATTTAAATTAGAAGTCAAAGCATACTTACCATCTGTTTCAGTCTTTGTATAATATTTATTTAAATTAGAACTTAAAGCATACTTACCATTTGTTTCATTCTTTGTATAATAGTTGACTAATCTTGAAACAAAAACATATTTATTATCAGATTGTGTTTTAGTATAATATTTATTTAAATTAGAAGTCAAAGCATATTTATTATCAGCTTGCGTTTTAGTATAGTAGTCATTAAATTTACCATCAGCTTGAGTTTTAGTATAATAATTATCTGATAGATGTGTTTTATCTACAAATCCTTGTATATTTAAATTAATATCTGTTTTATCATGCCCATAAAATAAGCTCATTTATATTATTACTCAGATTTTATATCCGGTTTATTATTTTTATGTTCGTAAACATGTTTAACGGTTGTTATACGACCAGATAAAAACCCTAAAAAAGGTAAAAATGGCGATACTTTTTCTACTAAACTGTACACATCTCGTTTTAAAAGGTCGTCTGATTTAAGCTGTTTTGTTAACTCTTTGAGATCTTCAATAGCATCAAACCCTTTTAATATATCTGAAAATTTTGATATAACTAAATCAGTTAAAAACTCATTAGCTTTTTGTAATCTTTTTTTCTCGTATTCAGTGTATAATTTATCAATAATTTTTTGACTAGCTTTTTTAATGTAAGCAACTGACTTGTCTAAATGACCATCTTCAGCTAGTTTAAGTAGTTGATCTCTTTTATTAAAACCCTCTTGCGGTTTATCTTGTATATTTTCATCACATACCGCGTCTTTGATAATATCATTTGTGGAATCAATCTCATTAATTATATCATCAATTGTTTCAGGCTCTTTACGCTTTGGCATATATATATATAACACATGTTTCATTGCGGAATAACAATTTTCCATTGGTATGGGTATACAAGTTGGATTTCTAAATGTGCATACTTATTATTTTTCAATTTTTTGGTTATTTCTTCTATATCATCTTTCTCAACACCATAAAGATAATCATCAAATATGGTTTTCATATCATTGCGGTTTGTATTATAAAATGTAACTAAATAACTTATATTTTCGCGATAAGGTTTAGAAATACTAGTCAATTGCTGTGTAATCACAATAGTAGAAAGCCCATAATGACGAGCACTAAATCCTAATTTTATTAATTGCGATGTCCTATTTTTAACATCTAAGCAACTCGCACAGTCATCAAGTATAATAAGACTATTGGTGCCTTTATATACATCACTAACATATTTTAAAACAATATCTACCTGATCTTGGTCATATTCTACTTTAATTAAACCAGAATCATTTATATATTTCCATTCTTGATAGGTTTTATTATATGTTAGCGTTGGACATAATAAAATAATATAATCAAAATATCTATTAAAGTTTTCTTCTAACATTTTGAGAAGGTAAAAAGATTTTCTACAATTAGTCATGCCTAAAATAATCATATTAAAAGGTGTCTTCATTTATATATTACTGGTTATTTTAGTATTGAATACTTTGTAAATCATTATTAACAAATTGAACAAGAGCATCACTAACAACATAGATGTAACAGTTTAAATCTTTTGCATATGCTCTTTTTTTAATCTCTAGTAAAATACCATTTTGAGTATTAACGATTCGTTTCCCGTTCCCAGCAATATTTTTTTCTTGAAAGGTGCGTAGATCGATAACCAATGCAAATTTATCCTTATAAAATTTTTCAATTGTCATGAAGCTATTTATTGAGATAGTTTTATCAAAAAATCGTCTTGTTTCTTCATAAAATAGTTTTTTATTCATACCTTGGGCGAAAATAACATTAGGGACCCCCTCGACAGTTATTTTAACTTCATCAATGGCTGGATATATAAATTTCTCACTATCACTAACTAAATTTTCTGTGAATAATAGTACAATGCCTTTCATACTTTTACGAGGCACATTGACGTTAACATTCTGTAATGTACTTGACTTATCCCATTTTTCCTTTTTTAAGAGGGTTATATGCTGATAAAATAGACTTCTTCCTATAGAATATAAATTTGTCACCTCATCTGCAATTTCTTGATTTTCAATAGTTTCATATTCAAGCTGAATATTTTCTAATTCATAATCACCAATAGATTGACCGCTTTGAGGTATAAGGACTTGATCACTTGGTGCTAATGTTATTATGTATTGAAAGTTATTATTCATTTTGAAAGGACAATAAAGACCATGATCTTTAAGAATATTATCAATATTAATTTTCTGCCTAGTACCATAAATATCATACATTAATTTGTCTGCTACTTTTTCTGAATCTCCACTTGTTGCAGCACTATCATCCTTAGAAATAAGTTTTCTTAGATTTTGGCTACATATACCATATTCAATAAGGCCTTGTCGATCACTTTTCGGCATCCACAAGTCTTTGTATATACTTATAACATTATGATTATTACAGTCGTATAATGTCTCACCAGCAACTTTAATTTGTAGTCTATTTTGTAAAATCTGACTGAGATTATTTAGAAAGTGACTTTTTGTATTACTGATTTTAAGAACAAACGATAGATTAACTGAACCAGGCACTAAGCAACTATTTGCTTTCAATTTCGGAATATTAATATAAACTTGTTCATTCGGTTTAACACTATTTGGGTTAAAGGTTATACTATAAAAAGTTCTATTTCCTTTAAATTTTGCCATAATACTTCTTCTATAACCAGATAAAAGCTCTTCTTGTAATTTGTTCATATATATATTAAAACATATTTAATTTTTTTCTTTGTTTATACTGGTCATATATAATAGCTAAAATCATAATAGCTAAAACCCAAAGATTAGAAGATAACCATGCTAAACCTTTAGCTCCCCAAGATATAGCCTGAGCGATAATATTAAATAATGGTCCTAATACTGGCCATAATTTTTTACCTAGTTTTGCTAAAGCCTTAGAAAATTTACTAGTAGCTTGAGCACCTTGTAGGATTGCTTTTCTTGCACCAATGACAATGGTTGTAATTATCCCAGCCAAAGATATAACTAAAGCTGATAATCCTGGGATTTTTTCCTTAACCCATTCTTTAAACTGCTGTAATCTAGTAATGTCTTCTTCTTGTTTCTCTCGTACATCCTCTTTCTATAATTGTTCTTCTTCTTCTCTAATTATAATTTCTAATTCTGCGGCTCTTTCGTGCAAACGAGTGATTTCATCAATATTGTTGTTAATACTATTTTCATTTTCTATATCATCTATTCTAGCTAGAGTTTTGTTTAGCTCTTCAGCAAAGTGATTTATTTGTGCTTCTATGAATTGTGGTCGTGTTCTTTTATCAATAGTTCCAGAGGGGGCCATTACACCTATATCTTCTTTAAGTTCTTCATTAGTTATTTGGTTGAAATTATCTGTATATGGAGCTAAGAGCATGCAAACTCAAAAAGTTTTTAGGAAATTAGTAGAGGATACTATAGTACAGAATGATACGACTGTATTGATATCTAACATGAGAAAGAGTATAAAAGACACGAATGTTGTTTTAAATATGGCAATCACACCAGGGATGATTATTATACCTAGCCGTATGATCATATTGGATAAAAAGTTTGATGGGTATAATAATATTTTAACATTAGCAAAAAAAACTATGAAATTCGGTTTTAACTCTAAAATAAATTATTATGGGGTTAAAAAGGAAGAACCAAAAAAAGTACATCAAAATAATACAACCTCACAACACCTAGATACTCTAGATGAAGTGCATAAAAAACCAGTAGTACATAAACATACAAAAATGATAGTAAATAATTCCCATCAAACAGATATGATTACTTTACTCGGTATATCAATGCTATCATCATTCATATTAATTAAATACGTCTTATAATATAATATGAAAAAAGTTCTAGATTTTAATCATATTTCGAGTGAGTTGAGTCAAGAGGAATATGAAAAGCTGAAAAAATTGTATTTATACTATCACAAGATGTATACTTGTTATAAATGGAAATATAATAAATTAAAGAAAATTAGACTATCATTAAACATGGGAAGTATTTTTCTAGTCTCGACTGCTGGTATTGTTGGTAGTATAACCGTAAACCCGATAGTTATAGCCACTCTGAGTGGTCTAGGTGCTTTAGTTCAAGGTTATATGGTTAAGAGTAAGATTAATAATAACTTAGAAATGTGTAAATTTGCATATACATCATATGAAAAAATACTTATAACTATAAGATCTTATTTAAGAGGATTAGCTTATGATGAAGTGATATTTCTATCAGACATAAAAGTTATCGATGATATTATAATTGACTTTTGTACTACTATAGATGGTATGGTGAGTAAATATAACAAAAAATATAAATGATCTGTAAGTTATCTGTTAGTTATCTATAAGATTATCTGTGAGTTATCTATAAGATTATCTGTGAGTTATCTGTGAGTTATCTATAAGTTATCTGTGAGTTATCTGTGAACAAAATCTACAGTATTATATAACATGTCTGAAGAAAACCTAAAGATAACTACAGTTAAGAAAGAGAAAGACCCTCTTAGAGTTCAAACTGGTAAACGCTTGGCTGCTATATCGAAAGCTTCTAAAGAAAAAAAGATGCGAGATAGGATTGAATTAGAAAATAAAAAGAAAATTGATGATGATAGCTGGAATATTAATTACGGATTCTTATTTGGAGCAGTTGGAGTGATAACCGCTATTGCTAGCCTCTTTATGCACGTAAAGATGATAAAAGGCAGGAAAAATTAACAAACGATAAAGCGAGAGAAGAAACAACTAGTGAAAAACATGTTTTGATACAAAAAAATAAAAAATATAATTTGAATAAAGTATTTCCTATTATATATGAGTAATACTATGACTAAGAAAAAATTTATGAATGAAGCTTTTGATGCAGTGCTTGTGACAACAACTGCTGTAGGTCTTTTTATGGCGTCTAAAAAACTACTAGGCCAAAAATTAACAGATACTGATAATATTAAAGATTTTACAAAACTAGCTATTGCTATTACAGCATCAACAATGCTAGTTAAATATGCTCAAGACAAAAAATGGGTTCCTGAAAATCCAGTTAAATCTGTATAAATATATATGACAAGTGTTATTACTAGTGGGGTTGGAACAGTTTTTGGATCTATTGTCAATTGGTTATGTTTTTCCCTAGCAGGCTGGCTATTTCATAAACTTGATAAAAATGGTTATGCTGAGGAAATGAAACGTCACAATAAGGCTCTAGAGGACCTATCTAAGGCTAAAGAGGCGTTCTATGAAAATGAAGTCAAGCAGCATGATAAATTCAACAGTTAAGACAAGAACTTCAATATGCTGATAATGACATAGAACTTACGAACAAAGCTTTAGATATGCTTAGAAAAGTAAAAACAATACATTACAACGGATTAACATTTCATAGAGAATCACAATTAAATGACTTTTACAAACCATCTAAGAATATGAAAAATTATCAATCTATTACAATGGTTGGGTTTGGCATTGTATCCGGATATTTATTATATAAAACTACTTAAAGATATAATATTATATTATATTATATTATATTAAATGTATTGTAATAAATTGGTTCATAAAGAGTTAGAAGAGTTTTTTGGTTATGTAAATTGTTGCTTTTGTAATAAAAAGATATGTGATAGTTATATTAATAGTTCTGTTAAGACATACTTATGTTGCCAAAATCAAGAAATTATTTCAGATAATAGTAAAATGAATGTTTGTATACACTGTGGTACTGTTCACTCATATAAGATAGTTAATGAATGGATACCAGAGATTTGGAAGTGCCAACGATCAGTTCATTCAAGGAAAAAATGGTTTTATAATAAAATTAGATTGTGTGTAACTTTTGAATATGTTGAGAAATTGACAAATGATTTTATAAAGGTTGTCAGTACTATGATTAAACATAATTTAATTAATAAAAAAATGTTAGTATGTATAATTATTATATAATACGTTTAGCTAGTAGGAGAGGTATACCATTAAAACACTCTGTTAGAGATATGAAAAATAGTAAGACAAAGAGGATTTTTGATGATCGATTATTTGGTGAGATTTATAAAATTCTTGAGTGGGATAAAGATATCGACTGTACTTATTATAAAAATTTGGATCCAGTCAAAGAAATAAAACATGTACTATTCTTATATATATAGTCAGTGTATGCTGTTACTTTTGTTATTAATTTAACCAAAAATATCGTTTGTTTCTGGTTATTTATTTATATATTATAGAACCTATAGTATGTTATATATG